TTCATTGATTTAATACTGCTTCCATGCTTTCACTAATTGTCCAAGCATCACATCCATAGAGTAAAACTGATCACACACAACATATTAACACTCTGGTCCTAGTTTTCACTTTCAGCTGCCTGTTCTTAAATACAGCATTCATCTTGTCGAAAACCTCCTTTGCAATCCCAATTCTTTTCTCGGTTTCAGGTACACTTTCCATCTAATGCTATCAAGCTTCCTAGATACGTAAACTTCAAAACGTTAGTTATTGCTGTGTACAAGGAACATTTGTTTTTCCGTTGATATAAGCATACATTCTGTGTATTTTACATCAATTTGAAGACTTGTCTTTTGACTTTCTGACACAACTTTATTCAGGGCTGCTTAATTTTCCACAGTTTATACAGTGTCATCCGCATATCTAAAGTTGTTAATATTGACAACATTAACTTTCACACCTGGCATATTCTTTATCTCCCTCGGAATGACTTCACTGTATAGATTAAAAAGATGTGGGGATAACACATATCCTTGTCTGACACCTCTCATAACTGATGTCAACTTGCTGGTCTCTCCTTAAATTCTAATGGATGCGCTCTGTTCCCAACATAAGTTCTCTATCAGTTGTAGATCTTTTCCATTTATCTCTAATGCTTCCAGAACTATAATAAAATTTTAATTGTTTACTTTATCAGATGCCCAATAGCGTAGCTAGGGTGGCAAGATTTTGGGGAGGGGGCAAAGACGAATTGCGCAAGGGAAAATTGGGAGTCAAAACCCTTTTAAATGCCAGAAAAAGCTCTTTTTCAAAGAGAATTCTTGCCAATGGAGGGGGGGGGGAGTTCTCCCTGGTTATGTCATCGCATAACAAAGTGTAGGCCTAAAAGACAAATGACGTCATAAACTGATTTTCATTGATAAAGAAAACGACGAAGAATAATATCTTTTAGCTCCTATCTTTATCTTTTCTTTCTTTACTGGAAAACGGCACAAAGCTTTGGGAAACCTTTTAAGACTAGCAGATTCATTTAAAATACATTTTTCGAATGAAAACTTGTATGGCAAAGGGACGAGGCCACCCGTGCTGTCAGTAATTGTAAGGTATTTATATATCGAATATTTTTAACATCTGTTTTATTTACGGTGCTCGTTGGCTTTAAAGAATTGAAGACTTGAAATTCCTTTAAATCATTTTTAAGCTGCCTATTACCCAATATAACAGGTGTGTCCCAGTATAAAAAAAGCAATAGCAATCCGGGCCTTCCGATATGTAATGTAAAGGTAGAGGAGATTTTTAGAAAATAGTCAGGTTTGTTAACAAGATGGCTGAACAATGGGCAGGTGTTGCTCATGAGCTGGACTTTGTACGGAAAAGAAGAAAAGTGACTGCCTGAAAAGGTAAGCAACGATGATGAAGAGGTATATAATACAAGTTTGGGAAAAAAGGCTACGATAGATTAAAAGAAGGTTTTCGACGAACCAGAGATCGCTACCTATATTTGGTCGTAAATATTACAGCCTTGAAGATTTGCCGAAGCTAAAATAATGCTGGCAAGCAATAAAAGCCTTCTAGTGTAACATATGTCGACTTGGAAGCGCTCGGGGATAAACTTCTGGCATACCAGCTGTATTCCCTTTGTGTTCAAAATGTTATCCTTTTATAGAATGCATGTTGCAGCAATGCCTCGCGCAACATTGCGTATAAATGCAAGATGACACTTTTGCTGCATATGTTTCTTGCGAAAAATTATGTAGGGAGCTGGATATCGTCAAGAACAGGCTGCACCTTTTTAGAGTCCTGTATCTGATGTTTTAGTGCGTATGAGTTTTGAGGTGACTGATTTTGAAATTGTGTCAAGTTACTAAACTGATGACAGGACTACAAGGTGACAAACAGGTTGTATTTCTTGGCCTAATTTGTAAATTTCACATTTGTTAACTACTATCTAAATGTCTTATCAGAATTGTGTTGGAGTAGCATATATATGTTTTTATTGTGCATATAGGTTACCTGTAAAGAGCATTTGATTCAAATACAGTACAAACTTGCAAAAGTTGCATCTCAAATTAAAGATCATCTCAAATTGACTGACCGTATCTGATATCGATTGAGCATGCAATGGGTGTGGGTCAACAAATTTCATCTGTCACACCGTGAACCGGGCACTTTTAGTTTCTAGCCACCCTGTCAGAATGATGCCAGACCGCCCCTGAGTATGGAAGAAGGTTCATAATCTAACAAGCATTCGTTGTTACATTTAACAGAGAAAAGTTCCTTTCTAATCTAGGGGAGGTTATTGCATGATGCCCTAATCTGCGAAACAGGCTATCATGAATAAAATGAATAAAAATATGCTGCTTTCTTTAAAAGAAACTGATAAAATGTCACGGCTCTGGCGCAGCAGAAAGATTATCGTTAACCAATCATATACATTGGTCGATTCTGCTCTTAGCTTGCCGAGTCGCATCGCACCTCTTGGGATGAAATTTTTTCATGTAAATGTTAAACTGTCTGGAAAGTGGAATAAAGATCTTACCTATGTACATGGGTTAGCATTCTATAAATGACATGCTGTGGTATTAGGGAAAAGCTCAAAGGTAGGGTAAAAGAGAAGCCATACGCTTGAAGGTGGGGTAGAATTTGCATGTAAACTTGCGATGATTTAGTCCAGCCTGCCTATTCATAGATTGCAAGGTGGAAAAATATGTGCAAATAAACATGCTTTAAGACACATTCCTATCGTGCTTGCCAGAAGACACTTTTTGCAAAGAAGCAAGAAGCCACACCACAGCCCAGGATTATATGCCTCAAAATCAGCATCTTTGACTTTTCTGATTTTGAGGAGCCATAGAACATGGATAATTTTGCCAAAAATTTGAGATAGCTCTTCACAAAGTTTGATTCGGTTTCATGCCCCAACTTTTTTCCCAAAAAATTTAATTTCCCAAAAATTGTCCTCAGAAAATTTCCTACCTTTGTAAGTTTTCTTCCGCCCCATTATCGGTCAGACTAAATATCTTCTCCCTCGTAGGAAAACGCTTTGGCTCTCAGTGACTTTCTTAACAGTTGATTATAAGTTCATAGTATGGTGTCAACATTATTTTTAGATGCATTCCACGAAGGAGGTTAGAGTCTGCACTCACGGTAGCCTCGATGCTGCCTGGCACATAGTACAAAAACTAGGCAATGTTTGCAGAAGTTCGGTAATAGACCGCTAGATACGTTTCTTATTAAAACCTTGCGCTTTGCTAGTGCAAGTAAAACTTTCAACTGAACAATTTACGTTTGTCTTTGAGAGTGGTTGCAAGCTTCAGAGATTTGCCCTTTCACAGCATTGAAATGGTTATTTTCCTGAATTTGCAGGTTCCTCTTCGCAAATTCAACCATTGATGACCAGATCAATATTACAAATCGAACCTCTTTATTAGGATAAAAAAAGGTAACCACAAGAATAATCTATTAATCATGCTTTTATTTGTCATTTTGTTGAATGTGAATTGGATCCCTGCAGGTCCAGCTAAATGTATTACTTATTAATGAATTCAGATCTTAACGAGACAACATGCCATATGAAGATACTTGACCCAAGTCGCTCATAGGGATACTGCAGCCAAGCAATCAAGATGCGAGCTGCAACAAAAGTCCTGTTCGCAGTTATTCGTAAGTACTGCTTGAGTTGTGAGTGTTATTGATTAATAAACTTTCTATTGGAACATGACACAGATCAACACTGAAAGTATTTGGAAAGTACCTGTTTTTCAGCATTTTAAAATCTTTTAAAGACTATTCTATCAAGATGATTTTCCGTGATCCACGGATCGTTTGCAGTCAAATTACCTGTTTGAAATAGCAATGATTCTGCTAAGTAATACTATAATGACTTCAGCTAAGTAATACTATCGACTTAAATCAGAAGCATACTTAACGAGTGCGGTTTTGTCAATATTGATTGTGCGCTACAAGATCCGCTACAAGAACTACTTGATTAAGGCTATAAATATACAGTCTGGTGGTAAGGTTCCACAATCCTATTCAGGAATACTTGTCGAGCTCGCTTTGATCACTTTTCCAAACTTTTGCTTGTAGTCTTTGAAATAATAGTTGGTCTTTAGCAATCATGAATATTAATACCTGCAATTAACAACTAGCAAGAAATATGCTGAACGTGAGCGAATCTAAGTGATTGCCTATGGAAAATCTCACGTTTAAGCACATGTTTTAGCGTAACTTTCGATCGAAGCACAGCTTGGAATGTTGGATTTTGCAATGCTTGTAGAGTTGCGGAGGTGTTCCGGCAGAAACAACATGCACCGGTCCTGATCTTTCTGAATTTTCAGCTATCTTGCAGCAGGTGGTGTAATTGTCAACCGGATACGTTGCAAAAAGTTACGATTAAAAATGGAATTGGACAGAAGGAACCTTCTTTGAATTATTGCAGCTGCATGAAACGCAGTATATTTGAAGCTTGAAAGAAAAGAGGGAAGATTAGAATAGAAAGACTCGAAAATAGCGAGAAAACTTTTTCTGTCTCAATTTTCATAGGCTATCAACAGATAACTCTTCCTTCTACATTTATTTCTGCCACTGACAAAGCACCATAAAATTGACGCTTCTTCCAAATTTTCAGAAAGAAGGATAAAAAAGTTCGCTTAATATGATATATATCGCATGATAGATTTTATTATAATAACACATGTTCTGAATTTTAAAGGTGATTCCTTTTAAGGAATAACAGGTACAATAAGCTTTAAAGGTGATTGCAATAATTCGTCTGCAACGAAGCTACATAAATCTCTAAGGGAACTCGTTGATTTCATTTACAGCCACCATAGAAATTCAAGCAAAATCTTGTCAATATGATGTTTTAAAATACATTTTGGTGAAAAGTTTGAATTAAGATGAAAACTGATGTTTAAAAAAGCAATTAAAAATTTCGGGCAAAACGTTTTTGCGAGCAACTTAAAATCTGTTTGCAGCAGCAAAAATAGATTCTATTTGAAACAGAAGGCATTTGACAGCCGCAAGTATGTCAGCTAATATTTTTTTCTGGTATTTTTCCAATTTTGAAGTGCAAAAAGTAGTGGAATAAAAACCTTCTAGTGTTGAAACTTAACAGGAATTGAAACGGCGATCACGATTAGGTTGTTTGCTTAATACTTGCGAGAATTTATTTTGTATGCTCTAGCATGGTGAGAAAATTTCTACCTTGCCTGTGATCGAACAAACCTTTCACCGATGATGCCATTGGTTTTAAAAATGGCATCATGCGGGTAATTCTTCTTTGCACGTTATACAACATCTTTTGTTTTGTTTTGCATTTTAACAAAGGTTGTTCTACTATCTATGTAGGACAATGTTTGAAAAAGCACTAGATTTAAAAATAAGGCTACGGGCATCTCTTCAGTCTTTTGATAATTTGCCAGCACCAAAGCAAGAGTGACATCATTAGAACCCTGACCATGGTGCTTCAGTTTGATGGAATTTTAAAAGTTTTCCAGTTTGAATCTAAAACGGGTACATTGCCCTTTCAATTTTGAATCCTTTTCTCTCTGCGCTGTTTCAGCGGATAAAAAAAGGCCATAGTCTATAAAAAATCTATTGACTATGCAATGACAAATTACTTGCACGCACGATAGATGTGCTGAGATGTTTCAGAAATAACAAATAGTTTCTTTCGAGACTAAAGCGTTTCAAAGACGCTTCACTTCTTCTACTTAATGTCCAAATTTCGATTTATTTAATTTGCATCTCTAAAGGTCTCTCTTTGAACTTATAATAAGTGACTATTAAAGATAGACGGCAGGAGCATTGACATATACGGAGGCAAGTGCTGTCAAAAAGGAGCAAATTTGTTGTAATGTCTTATAATAAAGTGAAAATTATTCTGGTTCAATGCTTCAATTCAATGCAAAACAGCTTCAAGTGCTGACGTAGTGCTGACGTAGTGCTGACGCAGTTTACTTGCCCCGCGTGATGGATCAGAGAAGCTGCTGGTCCCAGACCTCAGATAAATTTTAGTAGAATTTAGGATAATAAAGATTTACATTAATTAAGACACTGATCAGCACTTAAATTATATCATCTTTATAATTTCTGGTCTTTACATTCAAGCTTAAATTTCCATTGCTGCAAAGTTCAATTGTAATACTGAAGCTTAAGCAGCTTGTAACTAAGAAAATTACATGATGCAGCCTTAACAACTATCATGAACCTGTTGTCTCAATCCACCACTCAGTTATAAAAATGTCTTATAAGGCAAATTATTACTATCGGCAGGGTTTATGCTTCACTCTCTTGCTTATTTTACAACGAATACTATGAAAAGTCCTTTTTGCTGTTATACGAGACCAATTTTGTTAAAGCAAATGCGGGACAAAAGTCTAACTGTAAAGTTTTTTGAAATAACGTGGAATCTCAATAAATTGCATTTTTATATATAAACTTTCCAGCAAAATGAGACTTAACGTCAATTCTGCCTTACATATCCTAACGTAAGTACATCAGGTTAACAAACCCTCAGATTAATGAATTATTAATATCATAAACCACACACTCTCAATTTGACGAACAATTAGATTGCATTACTTCATTTTCCCTACTTTTTTGCATCATTGCAATCTCTTTTGTATAGTGAACTGTGTATAGTAAACTTATTGTTTTAAAACGAAAGCTTTAACCTGAAATGCGTGGTTGTTACGTTTTTATAAAAAATTTAAATTTTCAAACGGAAATGAAGGACGACAAGAGACTATTTTGTAGTATGTCCTCAAAATAGCTTATGAGGATGTAAATTACTGATATATCTTTGGCGTCCAGGGTTACTGGCTTGCTTGCTTCAGATTCCAATTGGCTTTACTGTTACCGCTAAGGTAGTAGAAAATTGTTTGATGTGGAATATAATGCGTGTTTATCAATCTTTGTTAAAATTATCTTGATTGGCTCTTTTGCTTATAGACACGAAAATTCGAAAGCCTTACGTGCAAAAAATTATTACCACTTGCGCCCTTTCTTCTTGTCAACATGGAAATCCAAAGTCCAAAATGGTGGAAATTACCAATTTTCTGTACTTGTGACTTGTGCATATAATGACGTCATCAAAACATTGACACATGATAGTCTTTAATGCGTTGATTTTAGAATATAAGCTTTCAGGCATTTTTTGTTCATTTTTTTACTGTTACTATTTGCGTCACCGATCACATGACTTCTCGGGAGAAAGGTTTTTGGACACCCTTCAAAATCTTAAGGTTTTACCCCAAGGAAGTGGAAACAGGTGAGAAACATCCGGTTACCCTGTATACCAGTTTGTTGGGAAAAATTCCCTGTCAATCAGGATTCCTTGATATTTCTTAAATTCCTTTACATTGCGTTATGGGACACAACTGTATCACCACCCTAACCCCCCCTCCCCCCACAAGGTTCTATCAAACTCTAGGCTACTCGAATTCTTAGATATGAAAATTAATTAATGAAATTGAATTAGCGATTTTGACTTTTCTCAAAGATCAAACCCAACCTAAACTTTGTTAGCTGTAGTATCTTGGCGATGCCATAGTGATAACAGTGACAGTGTTGATAGGGCCCGGTCACAACCATTTTGCTGATTCAGTGGAAATGGGCGCGATTAGTAAAATCATTTTGCCATGACAACAAACTTACAAATAAACTTAACCATGACAACAAGAAAACATTGACTGGGTGACATCAACCACCAGCATTCTAGAAAGCAGCCGCTTGAAGCCAGTTAATCCGGTTTTGGTAATTCTTTTCAAAACCAAATTTACTCAATTTGGTACCTGCTTTTCATCAAGAATAATTATGATCTGCATAAAAAGTTTTTCATTCACAAGGCAATGGAAATTTTCCCCCATCTATTCACATTTCACCTCCCTTGTCAGGTTTTCTCATACGCAGCTTCGATTTAAGAAAGGGCTGACAAAGCTGTTTTGAAAATTTTATAAATACCAGCGTTTACAGTGGTTTTTGGCAGGTATTTTGAAGGGAAAAATTGACCACCTTTCAATTGCAACTTTTAAAGGAATATTCACGGTGAAGCAAGAACTTTAGAATTCAAACAATCTTTTGGTGGTACAAAACTTGTAAATGGCTTTGAAAAAAGCAAACATTTAGTAAACTAAAGCTTTTCGTCTATCACGTGTTGTTTATAGTACGAAAAAGGCTCATTTACAAGGCAATGGAAATTTTCCCCCATCTATTCACATTTCACCTCCCTTGTCTGGTTTTCTCATACGCAGCTTCGATTTTAGAAAGGGCTGACAAAGCTGTTTTGGAAATTTTATAAATACCAGCGTTTACAGTGGTTTTTGGCAGGTATTTTGAAGGGAAAAATTGACCACCTTTCAATTGCAACTTTTAAAGGAATATTCACGGTGAAGCAAGAACTTTAGAATTCAAACAATCTTTTGGTGGTACAAAACTTGTAAATGGCTTTGAAAAAAGCAAACATTTAGTAAACTAAAGCTTTTCGTCTATCACGTGTTGTTTATAGTACGAAAAAGGCCCTTCCGTCCATTCAAAAGGACTGCGTTCCTGCCACAAAAAAAAGTTCTGTTGTATATGAATTTACGTGCCAGTTTGATTCTGGCTACGTAGGACGCACCACCCAAAGATTGGAGGATAGGATAAAACAACATGTTCCATCTAATATTAGAAACAAAACCCATCCCCAAAGAGAACAGCCACCTCGATCTTGCAAATCTAAAATTACAACTAAAACCTGCGATTCTGCTATCGGGCAGCATTTGCTAGAAAACCCAGATTGTGCAAAAAACTATAATGGCGACATGTTTCGGATTATTGGTAAAGCCTGATCGTCGTTCCACCTAGCAGTTTTAGAATCTATCTACATAAGCACGAAAAAACCGCTACTGTGTAGACAAAAGGAGTTCGTTTTCACCTTAGGACTCCATTGGTAACATTCTAATAGGCAAGCGGCACTGATTGGTCAACCTTTACAGTCATGTGCTCGTGTTTCTGGATGGCCTATTTCGATCCACAACTGGGTATATATATTTCTTAGCGTAGAGTTTTCGATCTATGTTCTGACGTTTTAAACTCTGAAGAGTGTCAGACGAAAAGCTTTAGTTTACTAAATGTTTGCTTTTTTCAAAGCCATTTACAACTTTAGAATTCAATTTTCAATTAACAATCAATAATTGCCGAACTATGCCACGCGGATTGAAATCCACACTGGCAGCAAAAAAACTTTTAAGGCTTTTTTATAAAAGTATGGACTGCACAATAGGTTCACAATGCAAAGAGCATAATCTTTGGTAGCGTATGTAGACATAAATTTACGTGTATATGTTAAAAATATTTAAGTCACACATAAGGATTTGTCATAAAGAACAGGTTACAAGTAACAACTTACCGTAAAGGCAGTTGAAGAAAAGCTCGTGGTTTTTTAATGTGTCACTGCAATTATTTCACAAACTAGCATTGTCTTGGAAAATAACAATTGATCTGTGTTAGTAGAAGAGGAAATTTTGATTGTGACCTGGCCTTTGAATGTGAATACAAGAAGTAAGATTTACGTCAGCGATTCACAGGAAGGTCAAATGTAGTAATTGTAGTGGCCATGAGCGTAGCGCTTTGCCAAGGACAACAGGGCATCCATTTATGCAATGAAAAAAGGAAGGAGTAAAGTAGTCTTTTTGGATTAACGACTTCCAAGTGTGTTGGCTTGATGGGGAATGAGCTCAGTGCCCCTGTCATAGTCCCCGTCTGCTAGTAGCAGCTCTGTTGCATTCGGAAGCATTTTAATCGTATCCAATGTAACGATCAGGGTTCTTGTTATGACGGTGAAGAATCAGTGAATAACCAAGCTCGTTGGTGGAGCGATGGGCTAGGCCAAAGGGCCTAGGCCCCGAATAAGTAAGGCACAAAAGATACTCGTTCTCTGATGTTTTCTCTAATGCTTCAATCAGAAGACTAACTCATATCGTGATCAACACACACTAATACATAAAAGGAAGCTAATTAACCGGACAATACAAGCATCACACTACATGTTGAAAGACAAATACATTGCCATAAAAAGGCGTTCACTAACACAACAGGACTAAGCGAAACGTATAAGTGACCTCATTTATGGCCGCCTTTAGAAGCAGGCCAAACGTTTGGCTGACCATATATTCGGCCGGCCTCGTGTGAATGCAGCCAAAAGCATTATTCTTAGTAACTAAGCCTCTCATACAAAATTTAACAATTAACTGTTATATTTCTACATCATGCTGCATGTTTATTTCTAGACTGCTTCAGTGTTGCGACTGCTAATGAGTTCATGAAAGACCGACCGCCTCCATGTGATGGCCAGGTATGATCTGCTTGTAATTGATTTGCATGAATAGTTGCTTTATGAATATGGTACTGTATATCGTCTAAAAAAATGTTACATGAAAGCACAGAAACTTTATTTAAACCTTGGAACATCGAAGAATCTACTGGGTGACGCTTCATAAAAAAAATATAAGAAAACTTGTCACTGCATTTGATTCTCCTCTTGTCGTAAAAATTTCCACTGCTCCTAATTCATGAAGCACAGCAAGGAAGATGTTGGTTTTTTACATTTATATAAATTATTATCAGAATAGCGTTTTACGTTGACGACATTTCAAGGTAACTCGTTCATAAATCATAGTTTTCTTCAGTTCTTGACTTTGTTTTTCTAGATATGCCCTTCGAACTCAATTCAGTTCAGCAGGATGATGGGTACAGTTGCAAAGATCGAAGTCACTCGTTCTTTGCTAGGCCAATCAGCATGGAAACAGCATTCCCATTACATCAAGCCATATCCTATGCCATCACCGAAAGATCACCAACTGCATCATTCAGATAAACTAGCAGATCCAAAGGAATCTCTTGCAAAATTCTATCGCTATATTTCAGCATTAGTCGATGCTGGACGTGCCATCCGTCAACAGCAAAACGATGGCTCCACATCTACGGAATTTTACCACAGCACCCACTACTCAAGTCTAAAGCCCTCTCCTCCAGGAACACCGGGTCATTACCAACCAGCAAAAGAAAGCTTTTTCCGAATTGCCGATTCGCTACTGAATTTATTGATGAAAGATGTCGGCTTTAGAGCACGGTCTTTGAATGCCTCCATGTCCATAAGACCTACAGCAACTTTTGAAAAACCTATCCGTGCTTCTCTCGCTTCAATGGACATTGACAAGACAGGGTCGGCAGATATTCATACTGAAAATCAAAATATGATGAGGAAGTTCATTTTACATATAGTCAAGAGTAAACTTCCATCTATAGAATCTTTTATGCTGCAAGAAAGGGTTGATATGAGAAACATTTCCGCTTTGAAACATTTAGTGAGCAAAAATTTGACCAAGATGGCAGATAGCTACTTGAAGTTTCTCAAAATGTTTTTGGATTTCAGTAAATCATATCCTTGTCCTGGAGGTAAGAAATAAGTGAACAATTTTCTGCTTATATTATTTATAAGTATCTTGAAGCCTCGGTCTTTTAGAAAAAGAATTTAAAAATTAATGTCTACCAGGTGTATAGAAATGTTCACATTGTCGAGCTGATATTCAGTAAATGGAAGTGTTTCCGCATAAATCTTTCGTAGGCGTTTAAATTGTATTTAGACTGACTGGAAACAGCGAGATAATTGAACTTGGCAAGTTTAAATCCTTCTGTTATAGAATTATGTGAAACAGAGCAATATGATTAGATTTGAGAGATAAAAGAGCAAAGGAGATATAAGTTAAGAAGTCAAACTCGTATATCTATTTGGAAAGATATTTGCAAGAAATTGTTCGGAGATCTGTACTTAAAATTATATCTTGAAGAGTCCTAAGAATGAGAGAAAATTTTGAAATGAAGAAATTAAACATCGCTGCTGGAACGAGACCTCTTGGTTCGAGAAAAGGCTTTGATATATCAATCCAATAAATTATAAATGTATGTAGAAGACACTGCAGCTTTTCTACTCCATGACCTGTTGATGAAACGAATATTTTCTCTGTATTTTCTCTGTATTGTAAATTGTGACAATTGTGTTATTTTATGCACAATTGTAGGTCCATGTTTCGCGTAAAATTGATAATCTCTTTACCGATTTTAGTTTGTCAACGGATTGAGGAAATGGTTACCTTTTGCAAAAAGCAGCACATTCGTTGTAATCGGGATTCATCTCTTTCATCGCTTCAACCAACTGTAAGCCTGCATGATGCTCCTGAAAAACCATGTCCTTCGGGCACTCGAAGGTGTCCTTTTCAGCGTGAGTGTGAGGCTGAATCGAGTCCTTGTATTAAAGACATGGACCTGTTTCTACATACTCACCCCAGACCTACCGCATCCAGCAAGGAGCCGTTGTCGTTCGCGTCAAGGACACCAAACATGGGTAATGCCAACAGCCGTGTGTTTGCCTTTATATGCGTAGAAACCAGAGACTCTTTTATTGCTCAAGAAATATATTTGCATAAATAGTCTTACGGATATCGCATCCATATATAGTTCAAAATTGTCTTGCTTCGCAAGATGGCTCCTATTTTGAATAAGAGGAGTCAAAACAAAAAAATGCAGTGATTCCTTGCCCAGTGATTTCAAAATTTTATCATGGCATAATCTAACGCACTCTGGATTTTATTTAAAAGTCATATAGATGCATCACAGCTACCTTTTCAAGTTGTAGGAAAAGGTGCATCCACCATAGCTTTGTTTCAACAGTTTTAATATAGTTGTCAAGTATTAGATAGGATCCCTTCACAGGGTATCTGAAATATTTGCCTTGGAACTTCCAATACAAAATATTTTTTGTGCTAACTTATTCAACAAAATATTAAATTGAATTCTAGGCCCGCAAAGACCAATGGCCAACAACAGCATGCTTGGGTTTGTGTGGAAAGAGGTTGCAAAAGTGAACTCTTCAATGAAATCCGAAGGCTTACAAAAGATATTTGATGCATTGCGTGAGCGGGTCTTGGGTGAAGGTCGAGGCGGGGAGCCAAATAGAGAGCAGGAACAAATGCCTGGCAAATGTGCAAGAATGTGCTCTCAGAGAAACATGACATTTTGTTGGTCGGAGATGCGTTGCAAAAGAATCGGTGAAAGATGCAGCTCTATGCACTTAGCGTTGATGATGAACCGATCTGCCTTTGAAGATCAGTAGGTGTTTCAATCTTTGGCTACATTAGTGCATTTTTCTTCCTATGTAACGTTGAGTGGGAACCAGTTGTCTGAGAAAAATGAGGGCGATCAATGTTTTTAATTCCCTTTAAGAATTGGTGCAACAGCATCAATTTCCTTCAGCAAATTAAACACCCGAACAGTAGCATATTGCAATGATTCCAACAATGCTACGTGGCTGAGTTGGCAGGGAAAACATCTTATTGGTTGCAAAATTAGGCCTTTGAAGAGAATTAGACTGCTTGCTGCCAACTTGAATTATTCTGTGTTAAATGTTTCACATCGCTAAATTAGTATTCTGTTAATCCTTTAATGCTATTTTTATTTAGATCAAAATGCCGTGAAGGATTCTATTGTCCTGTATATGGCAACTGCACCAGGAGCCCGGAAAGCTGCAATCCAAGAATATTTATGAATATCTCTTGTGACGAAGAATGTATGAGAGTTACTGGTGGTAAGGGAAGAGCCCCAAGCCCAGAAGATGTCAAAATTTTTAGACTCAAATGCAAAGACGGTGAAAAATATTGCCCTAGAAAGTTTGGTTGTGTTTTAACTGCAGAAAGATGCGACGCTGATCCAAAGCTGGAGGTTCCATTGGAAATGGGTCATGCAAATGAAAAGAAGGTTTTCTGCAGAATGCGAGATCTTCTTTGTCCAAGGCAATTTGATGTTATCATAAAGTTTTTGACATTAGTACTCTTTCATGATACATGATTTTGAATAGCTTATTGTAAGAAAAAATAATGCTATTGGCAGTCTTGTATAAAACGAAGTGGTGGAATTCATAGAAATGATTATCTTAAGTATCATCAGCCAGAAGAACTTAGTATTAGCTAAGATCAAAATTACTTTACCATGATTTTAACTGGCAAATGATTACAGTTACTTTATATTCCATGTAACAAAGCAAACCAAGATTAGGGGATAAAGTACTCTTTTGTGGTTAGTCAATATGCAAAAGCTTAGAGGCTTTCCTTTAAATTGTTCCAAAACAAATTCTATTCCCACCTTTAACATTTATTGAAAACAAAACCTCTAAACTTTGCGTAAACATCTTTGACTTAAATTATTATAAAGAAGTGTCATTATTATATTTATGACTTTTTTAGTAACCAATGCTAAAGTGTTCATTGTATCATATTTTATGTTTTGCTGTGTTAGTTTTAATTTCCTTGTATTTTTAAACAGAGTTTTCAAGCATTGGATGAGGAATAAAAGAATGTGTGAATCGAATAACGACAACATAACCATGACAATAAAAGCGAGGTCAGTAAGAAATTAGTTAACTTACTTTTTTCTCTACATTAGAAATTGAAGTCTTTGAATTTCATTCCAATTTTGTACATTAAAAATATGTTTAGATATGTAAAATATGTATGTTTACTACTTATACAAAGCTTAGACAATTGCGATTAGTAGAATAATTAATTTGGGTAATGTCTGCCATCTACTATTGCAATTGCATAACGTCTAGCCGTCGCTATCGGGACAGTGCCTATGCCAAGACTTAGCCCGGACCACCGAATTTTAGAGATTTTTCCTGATCTTAATAGTTTGTCCCGATACATGTTCTTCAAGCTAAAAACAAATAACAAAGACACATGGAAATTGCTTATGTGCATCCAAATAGCTTTTCATCATTTCACCTTAGTGGAATGTATTTTCTAAAGATATTGCTTCTAAAGGGTGTCCTTCCAGTGAAATTGAAGAATCAATATTCAAATATTGAAGCAAATATTAATAAAACAAGAAATTAGACTGATTTGGTATAAAACTGTTTGATTTTCAACAAATACTTTGGGTAACTCTAATCATTTTTAACCTTACTATCAGCATTGATTACGCCCCTTTATTCTACCTTAAAAAATGAGTAATTTTAATACGTTTTTAGGTCTGTATTTTTTGCAGATAGCCATTCAGATTTTTATCGAGTAAAGATATTTTTATCTAATGTAAACAACAATCTTTCCTCAGCCCAAAGCCAACAATGGTGACCAGACCCACTCGTGGCTCTCCTATATCAGCCAGTTATACAAAGCCCGTAACACATTCGAACCATAACTCCAAAGTACCTGGACTAAGAACCAGTCCTTCTTCGGCTCACAGACCAACACCACCGACATCAACAGAATCCAGTGGACAGAATGAACCATTTATAACTTTGAAAGACTATTTACCTCTTCGGAATCAAATCAAACTGCCAGGAAGAAGCAACTTTGTCGTCGTAGCATCCATGCCTTGTGGATCAGCCTTCAATTTCAAGCTACTCACTCGCAGCAGTAGAACTGGTGAAGAGGTAGTCATGCCAGAAATAAAAGCAGGAAACAGCCAGATAAGGGGAGTTTTGCTGCCTTTAGATGCTGTGCTAAGGTAACCTATTTTTGAGGTTGTTAATGGCGATTGACATTTTCTCTAGACACCTATAACTTTGAGCGAGTGCTCATATCCTTTCAAGAGCAAGTGGCTTAAAGAGAATAATCAGTTCTTAACTCTAATAATTTTGGCAGCATGGAAAAGATGGACATCCTCTTAAAACAAACATGCCTTTTTGCTATATTGTAAAATAGTCTACGCCGTGTTTGAAGCATACATCTCAATTTATCATTTGAGATTAAATAATAAAATTGCAAATACAACAAAAGATATTTAACAATTTTAAGTAAAGAAAGTTAATAAATTTATAATGTTTTTACATTCTATCAAGATTCAGCCCAGTTGCAGAAAACTTCTACGGTGTATGCATCATAAAATATTCAGTGTTTCTCGGATCAAGGCCTAGGCTCCTGCAAGTTGCTGAAGTGGCCGCTGAGCAAATGTATGGGTCGATAGCATTGGTCGTTTTACCTAAAGTATCCAAAGCTGAAGCTACTTTGTTACAAAAACGACAAATTGTGGAGATGAACGAAGACACCAAGAGCCCCCCGTGCTTCAAGGTAGGAAGCAGCTGCAAAATTCGTTCAGCAATTTGCAATGCATCTTTAGATAAAACATAGATGTTAATGGCGCTATTTGATAAATGCATCGTGCCTTTTAAGTTGCTGGTCTAGTAAAGAGATTCAATTTGCTTTTTTAAGAGTAACCGTGATGTTACCATTTAGGGTTTTGTCCTGAAACAGTGTTCTGCTCTCAACACATGCGCCCAGTTGAATTTTGGCTCAACATCTGTCAAAAAAGGATGACAGCATTATATTGTTGCGCATCAGGTATACTTGGATCTGACCATATTTAACTATTGAAATATATGTACAAATTACCAAAATTATTGCTTTTGTTTTAGATCAGTGACAAGTTAAACGTTACAAAAGATGCGTCTTTAGCAAGACAAGCTATTCCTGCAGAAATTGCAACGAAACTTGATTCTAAGGTTTATGAAAAATATATCTCCCTACTGGCAGCTCAAAGGAGTGCAAGAATGAGCATAGCAGTGGTAAGCTGTGAAGGACATCCTTGGAAATTTGGTATGGTATTATCTTCACTTTTCTCCGATTATGCACTTTAGTAGAACGATGACTTACTTTTGCCTCGGAACTAAATTGCCATAAATATACACCACGATGATAAGCTGCTTAAACACCACGAAATTTTGCTGGCTCCATGCAAATTAACAATGATTTTTTTCAAAACATAATTCGTCCAGTTTATATTTATTTGAAAATGTTTGTGAAAAGATTCAAAATTCTGCAACTTGAATCGGAACAATGCATTTTGAACATTTTTAACTTAATGTTACATTTATAAAGGTAGTGCCGTCAAATGGGGGTATTTAGTAGACAAGAATGGCTAATATTATGATATTATGTAGTATGTTTTATCATATGATTATGTTATTAATTAAAATTAACAATTCTCGTGTATGTAGGTGATTTGTTGTTGCACCATCAGCTTGTATAAGAGGGTACGTTTTGAACATCCTTGACTTGCTTCTTTTTAGGCACATGGAAATACAGAGATGGCCAATCAAGAATGCTGTCATTTCCAAAAGAATGTAGCAGAAAAAGACCTTTCATTATAGGCTTGGAAACCTGCATTGCCTTTTATCCAAGAGAGGATTTTAACGGGAGACTACATTTAGGCATTTTGGGAGCTGTTACTCCAACAGATATCAAGGTTTGTGGACTCGGTGTCCAGTTTGCCATTTTATAACGTAGAAGCTTTAGTACTGCTAGTTCTAGCGCTAGAGGGGCGACGACCTCGGCCTTTTGAATATTGCAATAGTTCAGCAACTTATAGAACAAAAGTTTTTCAAATGTTGATTGAGAATTATTGTAATTGATAATTGAGAAAAGCAAGAATTGTTGTAAATTTTCCACTATATTTTCTACATCAGCATAATGTGAAACATTTATGAGAAAAAATGACTCAATTAACTTACAAAATATTAAAACCTTGATAAATGCTGATGTAGAATATTTTGATGATAAATGGAAAATATTTTGATCTGAATCGCAGATATCGTCCCCGATACTTGGTGACAGAATCGTGAAAATTGAAGTGAATGTAAAAGAACAGCCTGACGCTCCTGAATTGTCGGTTGTGGACACCTGTCTTCCTTCTCTGCCCTTCGATTTGCAAAGATCTTCAAATGCTGGGTTTCAAGTTGAAGATATCATTAGAACTGGAAACACACGTTGTGGCAATGCAGGCGGTAAAAAGGCGACCGGGGAGTCATTGCTAAGGAATGATGGCAGGTTTGACCGAACCAAAGTTGGACTGGCAATTAAACACGTGTCAGAGTGCGGGCATTTAGGATACTGGGAATACAAATTACCGGGCAGATCCTTCGAAAGAGTCAATATTGCACAGGGTAAGCTGGCAAGGCAACACTTTTCAACTTGTCATGCCTTCCGAAGTTGATATTGTGTTTTTAGAAGAACGATTTCTTGAATTTCTATTTTTAGACGATTATGCATGATGGGAATGATTTGCCTATAGAAACGTTAGCCTCCTAAAATGAACAAATGAATCGCTCCAATAAATGAATAATGAATAACAACAGGTATATTAGTACAAAATTGTGTCATTTGAAATAAATACTATTACCATGGGGGCATAAACGAATATCTAGTTACTGACGCACCATTAGGACCATGAAATACCTGACTAATGCTCTAATTGCGCCATTTTTCAGGAACAAATTTTAAGAAAAAATGTATTTATATTTAGTGTGTAACATGCAACACATTATTTCATTTCTGTATGAAGATATTTTTTTATTAGGTGGACTAGCTCTTTGCTTGAACTCATCTATGAAGATCCGCTTTGTACCAGCCAACTACTCAAAGTTATGGAGCATTCAACAAGCAATGGGTTGCTCATGGATCAAAGCCCGTGTCTGGATGTCGCTGTCTCATACCGAGTCCGGTTCTTGCAATATCTCTGGAGATGCAAATAGACTGTTTAGCCAGCAAGCTGTACAAATGTCTGTGACAAGAAACGGCTGTGACGATGTGCCAGGATCTATGAGGCAACCAGACGGCTGCGGAAGGTGTGGCAGCAAGAAAATCTCAAACATCCATTGTCCTTGTGACGGTGTTCCTGCATCGGGTGCTGTTTTGGGTAATCTAATTTTCACGAATCTTCTGATTCACCTAAATAGGTTGTCCCTTGCTCCTAGGAAGGAAGTAATTATAATTTTTTTATTATCAATCAAGCAAAGAACTGTTTCAAATTTGGTTTAATATTTGTTTAAAACCTTAACCCCTTTGTCAAACGCTCTACTGTTGCACTCAACGTTTGACAACCATTTTTGGTCACCCAGAATGGTCATTTTGGAAGTTGGATCAAACTGGATTAAGGTAAAAAATGTTGGTGGCCGATTTCCAACAGTTCCATTGTTATAGAATGATGGGTAAAACGTTGGATCGTTTGACCATCATACCCTACACTGTTAGCCGTGCGAAACCTACGGTTGGTTGAAGAACGCCAAATTCAATATTACAACATTGTTGACTTCGCAGGATGGTTTCGCTTCTATCTACAATTAAGTACATTTGCAAAATGGATTAATGAAGACAGAAAATGAATTCAGGGTAAAAGAATGTGCACCAAACGCCAATGAAGAGCCTGCGTTGTAGGAATAGTTGATCTGCCAATGCCACTCTCACTCAGTCCCTTTTTAATTTGCACGAAACAATTTCGGATGAACTGTTGGGTGCAATGTTGAGTGACATGTTCAATTTTTTGAACAGCAACGATTGAGCAATTTCCAACATCGACGAAGTATGTTAGGTGATTTGTTGGGTGACATGTTGGAACTTTTGAGAGGGGCTTTACAAGGCCATTATCACTGGATTTTTCTACCATCATCACCATTTTTAAAAAATAATAGTGATAATTCTCTAATTTCTTTAATAATTAGAACGTTCATTGGAATTTCATGCAAAAATTGAAATGTGTCAAAAAAGTTTCAAGTAGTGTAAGTTAACGATAATTCATTAAAAAGGAGCATATGATATTTTTCCAATTTATCGTAAAAGGTAAAAACCTAAGAAGTTTAACTAAGGAAAAACCAACTCAGTAGAACTGTTTTGTGCAAAGTCAAAACAAGGCAACAGGAATCTAAAAGGAAAAGCAGAAAACCTCAGATGAATGTAACTTTACGTTTACATTTCCCTGTTGGACTTTGCAAACAATATATTTTTCATGACAAACTAACCGCTTGAAATGAAAAAAGATTTAGAAAGTGCCTCATCAAAGCAGTGAAAAATTTTAAAAGTACCCAGGGCGCTTTTGAGAGAAAAAACGGTATTGGGAGATGGGACAGTAAATGGCGACTAGGAGTCTACATCAAAATGAAAATATCTGCTACAAAGTGCAACCGTGATGACTTCATAAAAACCTGCTTTATAAATTGTTGGAATATGAGTACATGAGTAGAATAAAACATGGTGACATGCAAAATCACTCCCTGGAAAATTTGTCAGTGAGAGTTTCTTTCAGTTGTTTTGTTCGAAATTCCTTGTATCAGAAAATAGGACTAAGTATGTTCTAAAATGTTTAGTTTATTCGAAGCCATTTTAGAATTAAAAACAAAATTCCTTTTCGACAGATGAATGTGGTCGATGCAGTGGTGGTACCACTAGGAGAGTATTTCACAAACGAGATTGTGCAAGAAAGTGCTATGCAAATGGAACTCAAAGTGAAAATGTTGTTGATGCTTGTGGCAGATGTCAAAAAAGATCGTTTGTAGGAAAAGACGCAAGGGATTGCAACGGAGACTGTGTGTTTGGGAGAAGCAGAGCTTGCATAAACAAGTGTGGCATCTGTGTGGGTGGAAGAACGGGAAAACCACATAACCAAGGTGAACATTTTTTATTTCATCAAAATGTCATTAATAATGTAGGTTTATCAAAAGCATTATTACGCAATAATTGTGTTTTAATGTCCTGAATATGATTTCTTATGCATCTTTCAAATTTTTAATGTTTTCAAGGGTACAAAAGGTCCCCAAAAGAAGTTTTTAAAATCATAACTAGAAAGACAGAAATGACTTCAGATTTTGAGGTCCCAAACACATACATTCAAAGGGCTAACAAACTTGGTTGACTCTTTCGATTGTTGATATCAAGCTCTTTGCAGTCTATTACTAGAACAGCATTCGTGCATACATTCTTATTTACATCTGTCACTATGTCGATATTGTAACTTAAATCGAATTTTTTTTAATATAAAAACGTTCGTGGGAAAAGCTCTTTATGTTTTCTATTTATCTTTACCAACAAAGGTGTCTAGGACAAGACCGCATTCGTATTATTTCGGTCAATAATTTCTTAGTTTTTTGGCTAGTGTCATCGACTGCTTTCATTTGAGAATAATCAGTCTTTTACTCGGCTACTCAGCAAATAGATTGTCAGTGATGGAATGATAGATTAAATAAAAGCATGCTTTGCATATTTCGATAAATTTAAATAAAATTGTTCTAGGAATAAAAAATAGATTATTAAGTAACGACATTTGCAGCACAGCCCGCTATTACACCGTTATTACACTTGATAATGAGCTCAAACCGTCGTTAATTAATAATCTATTTTTTATTCCTAGTACAATTTTACTTAAATTTCTAGCTATTTGCCATTATATTGTTCAACACACAAACTAGTGTATTTATGGAATCTTCATGCTTTGCATATGTGAGAAAACAGAATATGTATTTCTAGTTTACGCGCCAAAACCAGTAGGTTCCAAAATCAAGAATTCTTCTTCTTTGATGACAATGACTTTACAGCTGTTGGGTAGACCATACTGGGCTAGTTTAAAGGAAGCAACACTATGGAAAATTACATCTCATATAGAAATTGGATCTTATCATGAATAAAAACAACTCACAAGAGTATATATCAGCAAACATAGGTATATTTTGCACAACAGAATTCCCCTGTCTAGTGGCGTTGGTGCTCAAAGAAAGAGATAAGCATTATTCTTCAAAAGAGCTTCACTTTTCGGCTTTAAAAACGTTACGTTTTCTCAAATTCAAGTAAATGTATAAAAAAATACTTTGCAGAAAAAAGAACATCCTGTGTGTAAAAAAACAGATATTGAGACTTTACCCATATAAACAAGAAGTTAAGTGGGGGAAACTTGTTTCATCAACATTCACCCATGCTTTTTCTGCTATCCTCGCCTATTAAACGATCATTCAAAGTATTCACTGAAATTCCTTACATGCTATCAAATAAGCAATTTTAGTGCTAGTTTCTTTGAGATGAAACCAACACAATTAACTGTTACTGTAATTGCATTGCTGCTTTTGAAGGTCACTGGTTGAAGCCTTATAATGGCAAAGATCTTTTATAGTAAATCCAATCTTGACAAAAATGCTACAGTTACTCACGAACATCATTTCATTAAGTTAAATTTCAACATGAATTCAAATCAGTAGTTTTAGTGATCTTTTCAATACGCTCGATTACTCGCTCAATAGTTCGTTCAAATAAATCTTAAATACCTGGGATATTTGATTTGAATCTTCTGATTTCCATTCAATGCATTATAATTACAATTTTATAATGTATAAGATAGGATATTGCATAAGATATTTTTTCTGCGTTGAGGCGATCACAGCATTTCATTCAATTGCATAGTGTGCACTTGTTTCTACAACAAAAGTTGCTTCCATTTGCTGAGCTGGCAAATTTAGAGATGTTGCTGTTGCTTATGTTGACGTTTTAATTGATTGTAAACCTCTTGCAGACATCAACCACTGTGGAGTTTGCAAAGCCAATGCCACCTCTGCGTGTGCAAAGAAACTTGAATTGGTTAGTGAGAAGGAGGTAAATTCTGAATCAAAGTTTGAGATCAAAATGAAAGCAGTTGGATTCTCGCGCTTCCAATACTTGTCTTGTACCCTGGAGAAATCTGGAGGGTCGCCGAGGTAATAAAATGATAGTTTCGTTTCCATTGTGGGTACTGTCTTTATCAAAGACACTGCTTTTGAAAATATTGTCTATGCTGGCAAGTACTTTTACTTAAATAAGGTAAAAATTCATCATTTCCATAAATAATGTTTAACCTAAATTCGTTAATTTTGCTTAAAAGATAATTAAAGCTTTGTTTACAAAATATTGTTCCTTGTACAGCTATTTAGAAGGTTTGAACGATAACTGTTGAAGACGTTGCTTGAAAGGAGCTGTTGAATTGAAAATGTTGCAAGTTTTTGAATAAAATTGAAAGACGTGTTATTTTTTTGCACAACTAATCTAACCTTCGTCACAGCGACATCATCCAAATCGGCAAAGGACTATCTCGACCCTTTATACAACAGAAAAGGACACAACAGAGTGATGATTTGTGTGAAGATCCAGTCATTTCTGAGTACCATGTTCAAATCTATACTTTTGTGAAACAAGTCGGTGATTACACAATGAAATGCAAAATCGATGGCGAAGGAAGCGATATGGCCGTTGATGGCGGAGTTTTGAAAGTGACGAGCAGCTCTTCTTCGGTGCAGGGAATTTTTCCGTCAGAAATCGACAGCTGTCAAAATGGCTCTTTTGTTATAAAGGTAAATAGCTTGATTCTTTGATGCCTTTAACTGACTGTCTTATATATCAATGTCTATTAGCAATCGACAGAATCCATTTACTGGAAAAACCGCTACTGTGTCCAACAGACGGCGCTCATTTTCACCCTTGAACTCCATTAAGTGATGTTTTTAATAATCAAGCGCCACTTATTAGGCCACTTTTACAGGGATGTGCATGGGTTTCTGATTGTTTTATTTCGATTCACAACTGGATATACATATTTTGAGTTTTCGATAAATATTCTGACACTTTTTACTTTGAAGATTGTCTGACGAAAGCTTGACTATGACTTAAAATATTTGCTCTTTTAAAGCCATTTTCTCATTCTGCACTACCAAAAACGTTTATAATTACGTAAAAAAAACCACGGAGGTTCCACAAGTCTTTTTACAAAGCATTTGAAATGAATTTTCTTTTTCGATTCAGTAAGTTCAAATTGCTTTATATTACCCAATGTTTTTACTAACCTGACTCAGTGACACGGTGAAGATAAGTAAAGCAATTTTGATACCCAAACAAGAGACAAAGTAAGTTGTAGCACAAACATTTTGTTAAAAGGGGTAAGAAAAGTACGTTTAAACCAAAAGCACGTTATTACCGAGTGCGCTAGAAAGGGAATGTTGTGTACTAAATTCATGTCTAATGGATACATATATTTTAATAAGTACACAGAAAATTTCTTTGGTAAAAAGTGAACCTTTTTACAGAGCTTCTTTATATAGTTTGCTTATGCAAACTAAACAAAAAGGATTTTTATGAAAAAAAAGATTTTTTGCGACAATTTGCTTTGAATTTGTTTCAGGGATCTGGATTCCAGAACTCTGTCAGTTTGGCTTGCGGTGCATCGTGCGAGAGGTATTGTGATTTCAAGACCAAAGCAAGGTTTATCAATGAATCAGCCATTCAATGCAGCATAATCATAAGCAGCAACAGAAAATCTTGTTATGCTCAGATGTTCAATCTACATGTTCTGAAGAGCTCGGCTGTGCGGCCACCGTCATTTGCAAAATCGTCGCCGACCGTATCCGTACGCTGCCCACAACCCAGGGCAATCTCGGCTGCATTCTCTACCGGCATGAGACGGCTGCTAATCAATCTTGATAAACCAGCGTCTTTTGTTGCGGCAAGTCAAGGTGCAAGTCGGGATAAAGGGAACGTGAGACCAAGCTGTGAGTCTTTTTTCCATCATACGACAGTCGAAAAGCTTGGCGGTTCACGCTGTCAACTGACGTACAAGAGGATTATCATAAACATCGCAGTTGGTTCAATCTTGATATCGACAGCTAACGGCTCCAAGGTCCAGTTAACACTCAATAGAGAAAATTTGAAGTGCCTCAGGGAAGAACAGTATTCTGTACTCAAAGGCGAAAGGTTGCAAAAAGTGGATATCAGTTTGCCGGGAACCAACATCCAAGCAAAAATAAGTGGCCAGTCGTCAATCGGTACGCAATTACAATTTCATCTGTTCTTGGTAGGAATCTTGTTCATGCTTTGTTACTTTCATCCCATGCAAGATATTAATGGCTGATCAGATTAAATATTATTTCAAGTTTGATATTAAGAAATATTAATCTTTGCTTAGTATAGTGAAATAGATCCAAATGTAAATTACTTATTCATATAAAAATCAATATATCGTCCAATTGAATACCCAGATAAATATTGTTTCATCGTAAGACATTTTTTGGTTAAAATATTTGCAAAACGAATCATTCTCTTTGCTAGGAACGTGCGAAAAGACAACTTTCAATGGTATAAAATCTTCTGGAGCTGGTGGTGGAAAGCTGAAATATAGTTGGGAACTTCTGGAAAAGGAAAATAGAAGCACTGTGGTCCAAGCAGAACAAAGAAGATCTTGGTTCAAAGTAAAGTAAGTGCTATCAAAAATATATTTGATGTGAAATATTATCGATCAAAAAATCACAAAATTGAAATATACACAAAATTAATCTTTTTTAGCACGATGAAATTTGGTAAAATTTGATTTTGATTATTTTCACTCTGAAGAAATTGGCCCCATTGCAATTCAGACATGTCAAGTTAAAGACAAAATGTTTTGTTTTAGCGGAAAGACGCTAATTGCGAATAAAGAATACATCCTTAAACTCTGCGTAAGAAATGTATTTGGCCAGCAAAACTGCATGGAGAAAGAGATCAGAACTATTGATAACCATAATTCTACAATGTTGGTGAAAATTTTAGGCGATCAGCAAAGGAAACTAAAAGGAATGAGAAGATACCACTTAAAACGTAAGTAGAAACAGCTATGAACGAAACTAAATATGAACAACTTTGTTTCTATAAATTTTCACGTGAATGTTAACTCAAAAATTCGAATTCAAAAGTATTTTCTATCCAATCGTTTCTATCCAAATGACAATAAACATTTAATTGTTTATATTTCAAATGATTTACAATTTCTATAGCAATCGCAAGAGTTAGCCAATGTCAGACAGGAAAAAAGCCAACTTCAATGAATTTCTTGTGGGAAGTTATTGGCCTAGACCAAATAATTGTAAAGAATTATGAAGGAAGAAATCTGCTGGTCAAGCCGGGAGATCTTGAGCCTGGAAAGGTATTCTTTTTTATGTAGATATTTCAAGGTAGTTGGAGTGTGACTTTTGATTATCTTTTCACAAAGTCTTAGTGATTTAAAGCAGGTTGCTCAGGTTTCTTTCATTGCAAAGATACTAGCTTTAAATAATCAAAAAGTTTATTAACCAAGTTAAAGAAATAACACGATAATTTTACTATGACATATTTCTAACATACTGTTCGTACAATTTTTAATTTGTTCCTGCATAAATATAATCAAATTTTCTCCCGTAGAATTACACATTGAAAGTTGTTGCAAGGGCAACTTTGGATTCAGGCAAAGTGTTGACGGGTGAATCTTCAATCAAAGTTGAAGTTGATGGATCACCTTTGAAAGCCAAGATAAGAGGTATTGATTTGTCAAACTGCTATATCCTTTCAACCAGCGTTTTACAACCGTTTTTTATATACGGTACATTTTTTCATTGAAAATTCGTGCGCCACCCTACCATCAGAAAATATTAACAATGAAGCTCTGTGGCCTATATTCACAATATAAAATCGCTCTCATCGAAGTATCTTGGATAGGAATAAAAAACACAAAGAGAATGATGTAATATGGAAAAGTATTACATAGCTGATCACCAGACTACACAGCACGGCACATTATTTGCGGATAGCGATTAGTTTTTTCAGTTTTTAAGACCATAAAGGTGAAAATTTAAATTTTTTTACTGCACACAAGACATTATCTCGAGGCACAGTTGTTGAAAAACACGGTTTATTCCACTGGATATCAAATTTCTCCTCTCAACTATTGAAGTTTTGCATTTCAATTTGAAATTTTGTCTTTCATAATATTTTTAAGAAAATAAAATGAAAAACTATAATATAAGCACATAAGATAGAAATATAGATACTCAGAGCAAGCTTTAACGGAGTCATTCACGTACGCACCTTAAATGTACAGATCTTTGCAAATTATAAAGTTTTATAACGTTAGTTGTAAATATTTTCTCGGAAAATTTTAACTAATTACTCCTAGGACTTGATTTTTTGACAAAGCATAGATTTTTACAAACGAGAGTACTCAAGAAAGGGTACATCTCAGCTCGACCACTGCTCTAACTAAATTGGTTTTTTTCGTTTTCTTCTGTCAAGGTGGAAAGAAAATGACTATTGGTTGTAAAGACAAAGCTGTGTTCGATGGACGACCATCAATTGACCCTGATGAAACAAGTCAGTCTGCGAGGTATGCTTGGGAATGTACAGAAGAAGGCGGAGAGCCATGTTTTGAAAAATCCAATCCGACAAAAAGGCTTGTGCTGGAGGAGAAAAGTCGCATTGAGTTGAATGCTGACGAAATTCTTGAATGCAAAAAAAGGTATGACTTCACTTTCAGATTCAAAATTATTTCACAAGAGTAAACCATAGCAAGTGTACTCGTGCCAATACAAAGAATGTTATTTTGCCTAAAGTACAATCCGAAGCAGGCAAGAAGAAAGGCCTTTTCTTTTCAAGGAGCAAAGGTTTTTAATAAATTAACAGACAAAATGAAGAGTGAAACTTTAATTTCAAGAATTAAGACTTTTTGTAAAAATTTTAATATTTTATTTTCGTCATTGTTACTTTAAATGTCAATTTCAGACAGGTCCTTTATTCATAACAGCACGTTGTTACTGAACAAATTTAACCTGTATAAATATGATATTATTATTATTATCATTATTAATTGTGGTTGTTTTTTCTCAGTTTTCTCTTTTACGTTGCGATTGTTAAAGTCATATCTTGTAAACACAGTTCTGCCAGTTGCAAGCTACCGATGTAATAGAGAGATTTGTAATTGTCGTTAAATTGAATTGAAATGAAAAGCTTTCATTTATATTTGACCTAAAATCGTTTCAAGTTCTTACGCAGTTTTTAAATCTACAACATAATGCTAACGATTTGAAGCTAAATGCGTTATTAACAACTGCAAGCTCTTACGGTTTGCTACAATTGACATTTTATTTTGCATATTTTAACTTATGTCTACTTATGTATTATGTCTACTTATATATACTTATGTCTACTGCAGCTATGTGTTCAAATTGACATACTCCAAAGGTGAGAGGCAGAGTTCGTATAGTGTAAATGTGAATTTAAAGCCCGGAGAGCCAGCAGAAGTGAAACTTGATCAGAAAAGAAACAGAAAGAAGATCATCGTAATAGGTTACATCAAAACGACGACTACAGCGAACACAACTTGGAGCAGCATTGAACAAGAAGGTGCAAACTCTGCTAAGTTTATTTCATATTTTCTTAGTATCTTTCTTTGATAAAGCGATGAAGTCTGCTATTAAAGATATTTCGTGACTCAGTCTGTACAAGTGTCAAAGAGATACCTGGCATATTTCAAGCGAATGGTTGTTAATGTTTTGCGCAAATAAATTATGAAAACAGACTATTTCCTTACCAACAAAAGATACAGCGGACCAGAGCTATTTCTCTTCTGAGTCTTTTTGCAAAATTTTCCAGATGTTTGAGTATCGTGAAAGAAAATATGTTGTAGCTACGTTTATATCTTATAGTTTCAACCAATCAGAAATCATTAAACACATCTAGTATTCCTTAAAGACCGCAATTTGTTAGCTCAGTTCCCTGTGATGGTTATCTATTACTGCGATTGCCCCCAGATGAGTTTAAATGGTCTTAGCTTGTAAAACATACCCAATTTTTTAGTTGATTTTGTTACCATATATATACACATATATGAATGTCAACTTTGCATTTTCAGGCTACACAAAACTGGACCTTTCTGACCAAAGCATTGTCAGATTAGTAGGTTCTGAGTTTGTTAAAGTCAGAGGACCCCGCCAGAAGACATTCCGAAGGAAATTTTTGGTAATAGACAGCGAATTTCTACCTGAAGGAGAGAAATACCTAATCCAGTTGAATGCAACTAATGAAGATGGCTGGAGTACAGCACACATTGTTGTTACAACACCGTCACCACCGACTAAAGGTAAGCTCAAAAAGACTTGTTGTAAAGGACTGCGTATCAGACCAATACTTTTATTACATGTACTGACAAAAGTCATCTAACAATAAGGTGACAAGAAGTTCTTTGATTTTCACCAACTGCACCTTTATTCTGAAACTATTTCTTTCCGTTGTTATGTCTAGTAGTTGATTTGAAGCAGTCAGGCTGCAAGACACTTTAATTTCTGTGCTCCTAATAATAATCTACCAATAGGTCAGTAGTTAAAACCTCTCTGCCAATAATTACCTTAAACATGGGTTAATCATTTCAAAAAATGTTTTATCTCTTACAGACGTACTCATGCAGACTTTTCTTGACTGAACAATGTTGTAAAAAAACGATAAATGATGTAAATTATTTTGTAAAAACATAACTATCTTTCATAACAGTTTGGAAACAAATTAGACAAACAGACTAGGTTTTTTGATAACAATATATTTAGATTTTATATTCTACTGAAGTATGACATTAGTTTGTGTGATTACCGACATGTTTGTCTGAAAGGTGAGATAATTGTGGAGCCAGCTAATGGAACAGCCTTGAATACCAGTTTTACGATTACTCCTGGTGATGGCTGGGTACAAAAAGACGAAGAAGAAATTAGATACGAGATTGGATATGAAATGGAAACATCTGAGGGGAAAAAAGATGTAATATTGAGGCCGTTCTCGGAACAAAATTTCATTGATGGAGTACAACTGCCCCCAGGTAGGTTGCATAAAATAAGACTTAAGAATTGTCAAAACGGTGAATAAATAAATAACAGAATTTCAAACAAGCTTTGTCTTGCAATATTCTGAAAAACATCAGCTTTAAAATAAAATTGAAAGATAGTTCTTATCAACAGGTTTGATTTTAAAAGTTTAACTTAGTAATGTAATTTTTTGTGCTGAGACTAAAGAGTAATTTAGCGCTATGGATTTCTTATTGAAGAAAATATTCTATGCTCTACTTAACAGGAGATAACGCTAGGAACAGCACTATAAAGCTGTATGTGAAGGCAAAGAATAGCGAAGGAATGACTGCAAAAGCAACTATAGCAGTGAAGGTGAGACAGCCAGAAGCAATCAGTTTAGAAAAAACAAAAGATATGCTGGACATGGCTGACCAGGCAATCAAAGAGAGAGACATGTCAAAAGCAGTTGGTAAGATGATTATTTTATAGAATGATAGTCGTCACATTATTCAGCAATAGATGACAGCAAATGAAAATGAAATAAGTATCGATAAAAAACGCGTTTTATTGAAGGAGAACTCATCGTGACCGACAATTTACTTTCTCTATAGAGATTTTTGAGCAAGCGTGACTTTCAAGAAAAGGTTGAAGCAAACACATCTTGTATTAAGCTAGTTCGTATCATTTACTAGAATGTTATTTGTGAGGAAAAAATGCAAGTATTTAAAGTTTGTAAGAAGGATTTAAGGATTCTTTTGGCTTAGAATCACAAAATGTTTTATTGAAGCTGAGCAAAAAATTAAAGTATCATATTAAAAGAAACAGTATACGTTTTGTAGGACTCCTTGCTACAATGGCAGAGACAGCCAAATCTGTGACTATGGATTCACCCAGCGATACCTCAATCAACGAAGATCTCACTAAACAGGTAAACTTGGCCTATTTTGCACTTTACTCTCTCAGTCAATATACTCTCTTTTCTTATTTTTGTCATATGTTAGCTTGTTTTTGCAATTCTTCATTACTATTTCGTCTCTAAATAACGAGCTAGAATTTTCAGCATCTGAAATCAACCACTTAGCTTCTATTCAGTTCCTCTTCGATCTTCTCTCCATATCTGTAGTTGTGGGCGTATTTTCATTTAGTTTAAAAAACTCTTTTGTTCATGTCTAAAAGATGATTCGTGTAAACGAGAAGGGCTTTTCAATTGAATCAGCAGCGAATGAGTTGATGCAGTGGATAAGATCCACTTTAATCATTTTAAATGTAATTATTTATATGCATATTTGAATGTATAGGATATTATTTACACAACAGGTATCATCCATATTGGAACAAAGTCCTTCAGATGAAACAAGACAAGCTGCATTGACTGTTTTAGAATCAACGACACTCCCAAAGGAAGGAGTGGAATTAAAAGGAGAGACCAAAGAAAGCATTGGTGCTCAAATTAGCAGGGTGTTTGTCACAAGAGAGAAAGTCAATGAGCCATCTGTAAGTAAATGGATGCAGTTGTATTTGTTTTTGATTGGATGATTTAGATTGATTCCTATAGTACAGAACATTGAAGATGGCCTTCTACCAAAGAATTCCCTTAATTTATTTTAACCATGCTATCTTTGGTAAAGTACTTTGATATGTCAGAAATATGCTTCTAACTACATTGAAAGATTAATCTTGGTTTCATCTTTCTTGTCAGTAGAAACAGAGAGAATATCAAATGGATGCTGAAACCTTAAAAGATGCACAGTTTGAGTTTTCATCTTCTAGAAGTATTTTAAACGAATTTTGATCGATGTCAAACATAAAATGTTTATTTCAGACATCTAGAAGACGTAGAAGGAGCGCCGAGCAAGGCACGCAATCCCAAGAGACATTTACTGCAAAGACGAAAGAAGAGGTGATAAAGCATTGCTTTCTTGTGAATTCAAAAGCTATCTCTCACTATTTTGTTGAAAGAAGCATTCAAGCAACCAAGAATAACGAAAATCTTTGCGGTAAAAAGAGAGCAGGGGCCTGTTCCTGGCAAATCATACTGATTTTTTAGCCGATGGGATTTGTTTTATATGTTTATTCAAACCCTCAAGATGCTTTTATGCTTTCTTTAGACTAAGAAAGTTTCACTTTTTTTTAAATAAACGTCTTGATTTCAAAAGATTTATGTCATTTATGGCAAGTAATAAGGAACATTGTACTTTTTTAGGTCGATTCAACAATGACCATTTTTGATAATTTAATTGATGAGCACACATCAGGAAGCTATCAAGATAATTTGAAAGACAACTTCACCACTACTGTGCCTCAATTGCTGCGGTCTCTTTGTGCTGGTACAGTGACAACTGGCGACTATCTCGTTTCCAAGAGTAATCTCTCAACCATACGAGCAAACCGGCTTCCGGGATTCACGTTCGATTCAGAACACGTGAATGTGAGCCATAACGATATTGGTCCACAAGTGCTCCTTGGTTCTCACTTCAAGAAGATTTATGAAAGTTGGAATTGCTCTAAGAGCGGTCTGCAGTGTACTGAGGTCTGCGCCGCATCAGTATCGGTAAGTGAACCTGTGTCCGTTGCGAATTGCTTATTCATTCAATGGAAAAGCTTTTAACTGAAAGTGCGATTGCCAACATCCGCGATGTATTTTGTGCATTTTAACGAATCTTTTGCGCAGATTGTTTGAATGGGAGCGATCATTATCATGTCACTAAATTCTATCATGTGAAGAAAAGAAACAGCTATCCAAACGTCTTAAATGCGCCTGTTGCGCATCAATTACGCGCATGTCGCGAACTAAAATGTTTTATACTTCCTCTTTAAATTTCTACTACATATAAATTGCACCAATAAATTATTTTAAAATAAGTGGACTGAAATAGCGCCATGTATCGGGTCTTTAACAAGAGCTTAAAAACAAAATGTTCTTGACATTAACAAATAAGTGTTTCTTAAATCCCTTGTTTACAAAATCAATAATGTATGTTTTAATTTTGCAGTACCACTACAACATGTTTCCAGGCGAATTTGCAGGCAGAATCTCAGACGTCGTAAAGATAATGTTGATCAACCCTGAGAGCTACGAAATTCAGAAACACGAAACAATTTCACCTGCAGTCCTGTTCAAGATGACCCTAAAGGAAGTCCCAGATGACCAACATTATGTAGAGGTAGGAAAACGTGGATATCAAACATTTGTGTAATATCTTGAGCTAACATTAAAAAAAACTTTATGCGAAAATATTTTCTGTTTTAAAGCTGCTAGAAGCTATTTTGATGCTGAAAGTCACCTGTGTAACGTTCTGGGGTTATTCTTACGACTTTGAATATATGGTCCGTAAGCATACCCATGGGTAAGACCAAAGGGGCTGCGCCACGAATAGACTAGAAGTTGGTTTATCCTCTATTACTCCAACAGCTAGACTGACCAAACAATTCTCTTGTCAAAACAACAACAAAACACATTTCTCTTTTGAATTTGCGACGATACATTCTTGATAGGGGACATCGTTTCGCTGCGACGAACATACCGTCTTGCAGACTCTGAATTTTCAATTTGATTGTGATAGCACACAACCAAAACTTTACTAAACTGTCTGAATACAAAAGCAATCGTTTCACCTGAAAGTCCAACGCACTGTGCGAAATAGTGTCTCGTTGTAAACCTCATTTTCAGGGAGTTCCTCACAAAATCGTTAAAAAGTTGTGAAAAATTTATTTTCATACTTCTTGAACTTTTATGTTTAATGAATAAATGCTAGTCTAAAATGTGCGTTGATCTCCTTTGAACCTAGTGCAGAGCATGGAATGCAGCCGGTTCAAACTGGACTAAAGATGGATGCGCTACTTGGTATAAAAGTGGAAATACAGCAACATGTAACTGCACCAAGTTGAAAACAGTTGCTGTTTTTAAGGTTCAATTGCCCGTTGTCACCACTTTCTTTCCACCCACTACAATACCAGGTAACTAAATTTCCGCTTCCAGTCACATATAATTAGCGCTTGTATTTTCACAGAATGCTTTATTTCTAAGGACTGGTGACTCGTTATTGTGAACTTCAATGCGTAGTTATCTAAGTTAACTAACTTAAAGGCATTTGACACAGGTAAAAGTGGCTTACAACCACTCGACCATCAGCGGTTGTCCAATCAAATTTCGCTCAAAGGAAAGCACGTGAACAGTTTCCACCTTTCTGCAAAATGGTAAAGTCCTGGAGTAGCGCATAGTGGTTTCATGTGAGCAATTTCCAATTCCTTTCATACGCGCGTGCTCTGATCAATTTGGCCTAGGTTATTTTTGGATTCGCTGTACTTATGCATGTCAAATGCCTTTAACCTAGAAGAAAAGTCTTGTTTATATGGTTAGACAATTAATTTGAGGCAACATATAATTTTCAAAGTGCACGCTTACTTTGTCACTTGAATAATAGCAACAAAGAAAGTTCTTTCTCTCGCTTGTCAGCATACGGTAACTCTATAGTCACGTTATGATATTCTGTTGCTATTACACAATAGTTAGTTAGTTAGTCAATCAAAAATTTGATATTTTTCAAGATTCATCGCCTACACAATCAATGCATCGCAATGGTTCACAGTATATATCTAGCAACGAGACAAACAGACCAACGAATCCACGAACCCGCTCAAATCCGTCTCCAATTCAAACCACAGGAAAAGTTGATGTTCAGCTTCCAATTGTGGTGAGTACGACGCACAAATCCGTTATTCGTGTTACTCAGTCCCAAGAAAGGTGAAAGAAAGAACAGCTATTGCTCGAGCTCAAGAGATTGTGACTGTGATTCTAATGTTCTGATTTCCATTCACATTCTTTGCGCTTACTTTACTTGCCGTCTTTGCACCTTCAACAAATTATACCACTCATGGGTTTGTCATGTCAAACACTCAAACAAGCTATTTGTCATTTCATGAATATAAATAAGTTACTGTCTGAGGGCCATTGTTGTAGGAACTGTCTAAGGGCCAGATAAAAAAATTTTTATGTGCTGCCTGAGCAAACATTTGCCGAAAGTATGAAACATTTTTAGACAATCAAGTCCGATTTTTAAACTTCTCATTAATTTCTTTTAACATTCTGTTATTTTGATTAAAAATGTTCAGCAACATCTTCTCCTCGATGGGTGTATAAGTAGTTTTGAGTTTTGATGCCAATGCTACATATGTTTATTCAAGGTATCATTCAAATTCCCTGTGGATTTCGAAGCTTTCAGTAACAAAGTTGATGATCTGAAGAAAGCAATCGTCGATATGCTGTCCATGAAACTGAAGATATCTAAGATGCGTATTGCCAACTTGGAAGTAAGAGCCGGAAGCATAATTGTCACGTTTACTCTTCTTAACAATACTTACCATAACAGTGAAGGCAATATAAACGAAGTCAAGAGTTTATTGGTTTCAATGGCAAATAATGGAACACTCAACTTGGTTTTTGACGGGAAAAGTTTAGTAGCAGAGGGTGCAAGCCTCAAATTTACAAGCCCTGCCGTCACGCAAGCACCAACTCCCAGTAGCAAGCAGGAAACTTCCAGTAAAACTATTATCATTGTAGCTGTAGTTTCATCTATTGTGCTGGTTGTGGCTGTGTTCATCTTAATAGGGTGCTACATGAAGAACAGACAAAATAACCAAAAAACAGATCAATTTGCAAAATCAAACATACTCTTTGCTGATAACATAAAGCTGCAGGAGCGGGATCCATCTCCAGAGTCAATGGGCACTGATAACCAGAGGTTCTTGAGCAGTCCAAACGAATTCAAGAGCTCTTTTGAAAACCCCGTTGCAACTAGCCCTTCTCCTGAAGAACCTCGTGTTGTAACCCCGATGAGAGATGGGCCTCCTGCTTCGGATAGATCCAGTGCTGGCACACCAGGTAAGCACATTTCTTATTCCTGTAAGGAAGTAGAGGAGAATCGATGAGACTAAAAGTGTGAACTCAAATTCAAGGAAAGTGGGCATGCATGTTCGGCAATGTTTCTGCATTGATCAAGATTTTCTATACTGTTGAAAATCGAAAGAATAGGTTTCAATCTTTTACGTGCCATTCGCAGAGCTGATTTGTCAAATTCTTCGTATTTTTACTTTGGATTTTCCTATAATTCTTTTAATCAAGCTACTGATTTTATAAACGTCCAGCTACTGATCTCGGTTATTTGAAATCTGATGCCTTTCTGTATGACTAAATATTGTCTGAAACTACATCTCAAGTTGATTAAATTTTTTTTCCAACTATGTTTCTTGGTCTATTTAGTTGTTTTTTGAAGGAGATCCTAAATGAGTGAAGCCTGAAACCAGACTTTATAAATAAAACAAACCTTACTGATACTTAATCTTATCTCTGTTTTCAAACCACATTGAACGTTCTTTCTGCACTGTAGAACCAAGGATCTTTCAAGTTTTGTAATCGAAGCCGCAATCACGAAACCGTATTTTTTGCAGGTGCAATGGTTTCAGTTGGGATTGGCTCATCTGCATCTCTAAAGAAGTCCTTGTTCAACACATGAAGCATTTAAGCTGAGGGAAAAGACCCTGGTTTATTTAGTAGCATATCAAGATTTTGTAAAATAGATGCACTAAACCTTAACTAAAAATAGGTTTTAAGTAGTAAAGAGCACATGAAAAACCTACAAAAGTCTGCAACATACTTCTAAGCAACAGTCACATTTATTGCGATATTTTGCAAGCAGCTTGAACATTTTAAATTTCACACACTAGCTAGTTAAAAGTCTTTTTCGGTATAAAAGTAGCTGCATCTTTCTGTTAATAAATTCTAGCATTTAAGTTATGTAGCGATTTTGAAGTGTGAATTCAGGGCCGGTGAAACGTGTTTCACAGTACAGGGGCCAAAGTGGTAAACTATGGAAAGTACTAGAAAAAGTCACCTGGATTGACAGCATGATAAATTTTAGAAGCATGGTATTCAAAAGATGGCCAGAAACTACAATGGCTCTCTAATAGTTTTGATCAAGAATAGTTCTAGGTAGTTTTTCAAGCCTTCAAGCCCACTATGTCCCAAAATTTTATGTATTTTAATATTGAAATGAAATAGGAGAAGTCTTGTCAAGTTTTATAATAACCTTTATATTGGAGCGAGTAAAATAATTTTTTGCATGAAATGAAAATAAGATGATGATGAGAAATGAAGAAAACAGAGTTTAGCAATAAAAAACATGAAAATAGAAATATCAACAGAAAAACTTCATCGACTAGAAATGAAAGATTAAGCAATTTTGTAAAGTTTGGGAATTATTTTGTAGAATCTCATTGCAAAAGTTTTAAGGAATAAATTGCCTTCTAATAAAAACCAAAAATTTTCAGACTGGGCTCGTCAATACGAATTTCAATAGAATTTAACACTTTGGCTAGATTTTAACAATGAATACTTCGATTTTAGGGTTAAGACAAGGAAGAATAGTATTATTTGAGCTTGCTTAATTCTCCCTCTACTACAAATGTTTCAAGATTTGCATTTGCTCTTTTTTGGCAGTACAGGATCATCAATAAAATCAGACTCTGATGCTTTCTTCACGGTACTTCACGGTACGGTACTTTCAAAGAAAAATCTGCCAATTCTTTGTTTCTCAAGTTCTCAAAACTATTTTCGGGCGACCTTTTTGAACAGCGAAAAACATGGATTCAGCTCTTCAATATGGACCCTTCCTCGCCTAAAACAGTTTATAATAGACCTATTTGTTGTATACTATACTTTTTACTGTAATATCTAGTGGTTCTCTCTTTCTGAGCTTTCTGAGTGATTTTAGAAAGATATTCTCTCTTTCTGAAACGTTTTTGAGGGTTTTAGGCCATAGAAATAACGAAACCTTGTCATATGGCATTTGGAACAAGTTATTCAAAATCAGTTTCTTTAGAAATTCCTAGAAGAAAAAACTTCGCAAAGATTGTACAGTTGTTTGTAACTGGCCATCAAATTTTTAAAGATGTTAAAGAACTTGAAGAATGATTCAGTTTGCTCAATCAAATTAAAAACTATGGGCAAAGAACTTTTAAGCACAATAAATTACAGAATGGTACACGAAATTTCTTTCTGCTTTTGCCTGAAAATTTTATTTTGCTCTGAAGGAAAGTGGCTTTCCGGTCCCCCGGCACCCAACACCATTTTTCCGGCTCTGCAATTAGTTTTGTAGACAAAGGTTGGTTAACTTATTTTGTAATCGATAAAAATTTGACATTTGAAACTGGTTTTCGGTCACACTTTTTACTTTTCTCTTCGTTATAATTTCTTCGAAAACCTTCGTTAACTATTTCTTTAACTAGCACATCAAGCTAGATTTTAGTAGGGGGCTGCCCACTGTTCCATGGGGGGGGGGGGTACTCACTTCTTTTATATATGGCAGGTCCAAGTCAATATTTGGGGCCTGAGACTTCAGAGAAAAAATATATTTAGGGTCTGTAAATTACAGCTTAAGAAATATTCAATATTTGGGGTCTGAGAATTACACCTTAAGAAAAAATCAATATTTGGGGCCTGAGAAGTGAAAACGAAGTTGTAAAAGAAAACCAAATGTTAGAATGACAACCTTATCGCAAAATCATATTCAGAGATTGCCTACAATTAAATGATTCGAACAGCTCTTCATTACTGCGATAGTTATCTAATTACATTAAAACCACTCAATTGTAAGTCAGCTATTACTCTTAGATTCCGAATAAACGGGGGTGGCACTTATCAAATTTCAGTTTTTTCAATCCCCCAAGCTTATCACGACCCCCTCTTGCTTATTAAATTTCAAGGACTGAAAGGATTTTTTTAACTTCTTCCCTTTCTTTTCCTTGGTTATTAGGACCCCTGTTTATTTGATCTTAGAAATATTTCCGAACCCCCACCCGTTTCTTAAGACCCCCGTTTATTACGAACCTAAGAGTAAGCGGCACAAGAATAAGAACCGAACATAATCATTAAGTATACGTGACAAGCATCTAATAAGTGAGAGGGCAAGATCGAAAAGGGGCACATGGGCACGACCAGAAACAGTCAAAGCCTTTAAAATGCGGAAGGTATCCAGATCAGTTTGGCATCGTATATTAAAATTATTCGCTGGTATCTCCACAACTCTAATTTTTTATAACAGTTTGCTAGAAGTAAAAAATGTCCAAGGTTCCTTCGAAATACTGAAAAATCAGAATATTTTTTGACTAGTGCCTAATTAAAAAGGAGACTTTTTCCATCTGGAAGGGGCACATTTGCATAGTTCGTAAAAATGTGAGGGGCAAGGCCTCTCTGGCCCCTGGTTCCTACGTCCCTGGTCCTAGGTCCCTTGGATTAGTAATATCAAAAACTAGTGTTTGTGTGTGTTACATTACGTCCAACTCGTCATCTGGAGCTTATTGAGATGTGAATTCTCCTTCCATCGTCATCAATGTCTTATATTCCACGTAATCTGTTGAAATGGCTTTCTAATGATAAAGTAACGCACTCAGTGGGTAGTGACCACTATCTTGCTCCATGTTCATTTCTACACAAAACATAACATTGTGTATTGGCGCTTCAAAATTTCATTTGAATATTGATAACCCCTGTTTTCTGTTTGCAAAACGTTAACTTTGAACATTATTTCAGGAAGAGGCTCCTTAATATTCACTAGCCTCACATAATCTATTTTCTTTGATCACCCGCTATTTGTCTCATGCATTCTCAAAATTCTAATGACTTTTCCGATCAAAAATTCATTACCTTTATCATCTTTGATTGCAATGAAATTTAAAAGTCCGATTGAGTAGTTGTCGGTCAGTGTTATATCAGTCTTGTCATTACCAGAGGCAACTTCTCTTACCCTTGTTAACCTGTTAGCAGATATTTTCCCATGCGCTGCTAGCTCTAAAATTTCTGGTGTCTTATACTCATACACTTTAAATTCTGGTACCTATATTTTAGGCTGATATTTTCGTGTTTGTGCTCCTCCATCTAGTTCTTCTGAAAGCTGAGTCTGCACAGTGTTCCGACATTCATTGATCAAAGCATTATCAATGATCCTGGATGCATCTGTATCATTACTCTCTTCAGTTGTTACAGTTCCGTTCTCCATATCATATCCGATCAAGTTATCCATTGTAATGTTTTCACTAAACCCTAATTCGTCTTCACTGCACATCTCGTCAAACCCTAATGTAAAGGGTTTGAGCCTGAAAGGTTTAGTAAAAAATGCATCATTGTTACAGGCCGACAGATTTTTGTGTGAATCAACCTCTTTTGCTAGCTTTCTTCCCAGTTCATAGCCAGCTCTTCATCTTTCTAATAACTCAGCTTTACTTGGATATTCTCTCAGCTTCATTTATATTCCTGTTTTGAGTTGTTCTCTTTCCTCTTCGTTCTATTGTTTCACCCAAATATTATCTTGCTTGCAATGTGCTTTTCGCAATCTAATATTTTGATTTGATGATTCAATTTGACTAAGTCGATTCATGGAATTCAAATTCCTTACCATCTCCATAATTGTGTATGTATGTTTGTTTATTACAGAGGACCCATTTTGGCTGAAGCAAACTTCAACAGCGTCTATCCCAGTAAGGTGCAGATGACATTCTAAACATGAATATTGTTCACTAAAGATGCTAATCATCATAACTGCAAAGTGGCATGACAGGACAATATCTTGAAATGTTTCTCGCGTGATAAAATTCTGTTTCAAATTAAGATTTGGATGCAATATTACATAATTTCGCCAGATACCCAAAAACGTCACAACTAGGGCTGCATTTAAAACTCTTTCCTTCAAATCTGCTTTCAAGCCAATAAAGATTTTCATTTTTCATTTCATTTTTTTTCTTTTTATAATATTTAAACAGGTTAAAGGTTCATAAATATGTTTTTCAACCTGACCTGTTTAAAAGAATAGAATAAGAGCTAATGACTATGTTAAAATACTAGTAACAAAAGAAATTTACCAATCAAACCTAATTTACAATATTTAATAATACTAAGGCTATAAAAAGTGAACGTAAAGATGAAATAAAAGTTGTCCCCGACTATAGTTGTACCATATGGTGTGTAAATTTATATGAGTGCCTTGCACTGATGGGTCATAGATGCTTTTCTCGTTATCCCCTGTAACAATTTTTTTCAAAAACTTTCGTACAGACGGGGAACAGGTTCTTTGAGCAGTTGCCCAATTTTGACGATCTTTCTTGTTCACATCTGAATCTTTTAAACTATGTTCGTGTTTTGAGAATGTGTCAAGGACAGGTCGAAGATAATTTCTGTGTACAGGATATCTTCCTATTCTTAGATCTCTAGTCACAAAATCCAGTCGATTGTCTAACTTTTTATGATTATGAATATGACCATTTGGTCCACAATAACCAAGCACACGGTCTGTTTTTTCATCATATGTTGGCTTTCCAATTATGCCTGTCTCGCCTTCCGCTTTTAAACATGGTATACTTCTGGATTCACCTAACAGTTCTTTGCAATTTCTGTAAAGGCAGGCAATGAAATTCAAATTCTTTGCAGGGTTAGAAAGATCATAGTCAAATGAGTTCTTTTCTGTCCATGATTTAATTGTGTCAACATGTAGGCCATCAAGATTATCAGCTAATAAGCTACAGATTCGAGGCCCCCCAATCATCAATGCTGATTCAAATAAATCTGTGTATGTAGAGTTATCCTTGGACTGGTATCGATGACCTTTCAATTTTTTTGACAGGCTTTATGATATGGTTGTAATTATGTTAATTATTCCTTCCTTATTGCAAAGCACTCCTTTTTTATGCAGTGATTGAGGTTTACTGCAACCTCACCAAAAGGACCTTTTTCAGTAATCATTTTGCACTCTTTTTACAGTCTTTCGGCTCCCTCTTCAACAACTTCTAATTCATCACATGCAACTGTTTCTATAAAACGCTTTGCCATTGCAAAATATAATTTTACTTGATCGACGGCAGCAGCACATGGCATATCATGGCCTAAAATTGCATAAACAATAGCTCTATGGGTGGGTGATGTTCGCAAATGAGTTTTCACACATTCTGGGATGCTACTAACTGCAGAAACACAAATGGGGCAGTGGATGACTTCTCTTTCTTTACCACTGGTTACAACAGAGAATAAACATTCCATTCCATATATCCTTTAGTGTTCTTGTCTCAATTGAGGAACATGAAGATTTCTTTTATGTTTTGATAAATATGCTATCTTCAGAAGGTGAAACTTCCTTCCTGTCTGATACATCATTGAATGAGTCCTGCTGGAGGTCGCGATTATCCAGAGATGTATTGCCAATGTGACTGTTGGAATGTTGCTCCTCTGCAAAGGTAGTTGACGAGTCTGAAGCGATCAGTGTATCTTTAGAACTTATTGAATTCTGGCTGTAATTTTTGGTGCAATTATCTAGTTTTGCCTTATTTCTTGTTCATCTGGGGAGTAGTTTCAAAGCCTGTTTCACACTCCAAATTTTGCAGCGCTGATACCTTTTCTCTAGAACTTATTGACGTTTTTTTCAAAGTGTAAAAAGCAATAAACTTTGAAACATTATCTTCAAAAATTGCACTGGAAGGCTCTTCTTCTCTGCCAGGCAAGTGATCTCTTTATCATGGCTATCGGTACAAGTAACGTGGCTTGGCCCACCAATGATATGTGCGATTGACTTGAAAACTTTGTGGCATTCTACGCATATTTTACGTGTCTTTCCATCAACAACTAACTTTATTTTTTTCGTAGTTTTTATGTTGTTTGCCTGTGTCCATGTCGTAGTTGCCTTTATTTTCTTTTTGTAATAACCTCTTTCTGATAACGGGATTCTGTATGAAATTTTGAAGTTTTGGCGCGTGTTGAAGTTGAAAACTTGGAAGCACGACTGTGGGAAAAACCTGTCTGGGAATGTGAAACCATATGGTGGTTAAACGCGATGTTTTGGCGACAACAGGCCAAGTAGAAAGACCCTTTTCGTATAGTGCCAGTGAGGTAGGCATTTTATCACACTTTTATGACAGTGCCCATAAATTAGGCGGGCTATCTCTAAATACAGTACAAACTGCCAACAGAGACCGCCAATCTGAAACCTGCAGGCCTATAATAATTCTAGAATTTTCAAAACCTGATTCGGAAAATGATGAAATGCCCCATTTTCATTAAAATGCTGGCACACTTGGACCTGTGCATGAAGCCTCTGGCGTTATGGAGCCACCAAAAATGTTGCAATGTTTTTTGCTAATTTATGCACAAACTTTTCTCAGTTGAAGTAAGATCTGTTTTAAAAGGCAATCTATTTCAAAAGTCAAACAGATGTTTTGTTGTTTTTGTTCTGTTTTCTTGAAAGCAAAATTATTGAGGTATAGATAGGTGTGTATGAAAGTACAAAGCCTACTGGGAAAATTTGTTTGAGATACTTCAAAAAAGATATTGAACATCCCTTTGAAACAGATAATTTTATCAGAACTATGAGAGGCATTGTTTCAATTTTATGGGTTTACAGTCAAACCTCTTCTGTCTTCTTCCTTTTGCTGAGCTTAATCATAGGTCCCTAAACTCAAAGTAATGGATTTTAAATCTTGAAATATTTCTTTTAGTTGTTTATTGTTTGGGGTATTAAGGAAATTGTAAAGGGATTGAAAATTTTGTGATATTCAAGAATATTTTACAAAGTGGTAGTTCAAAATTTGTAATAATATTTAGGGTCTCAAAATTTGGAGACTCAATATTTGGGGTTTTTCAAAACTTTAACTCATTATTTAGGGGTTAATAAAAAGTTGCTGACATGGACCCCCCATATAGAAAAGTAGTGAGTACCCCCCCTCCTCTGGGTCTGTTATAAAGGAAACATACAACAGTTTGACAATTATTGGGGGCTGGAGCCCCCTAACCCCTCTCCACTTCCAACGGCCCTTAATTATTATTAAAGAATTTGGCAGTAAAAACAAAGGTAAGTCAAACCAAGCAAACTGCCAAAGCCAACTGTCAATTTTACAAACTGCATTCCTACTAGAATCTGCTTTTCTTTTGGTTGGAGAGTAAAGCTCCAAAGAACGCTGAAAACAGTTTGGAAAAAGAAACTTCTTATTGAAACACTTTTACAAAAAATACCAGCAGATAGGCATTTCTCAAGAAATGAACTGGTTTAGAAAAAGAAGTTGGTCAGGAGCTCAAGCATTAAAAAAACGTCCGAAGTTTTTGGTGATGCAAAAATTGTTACTATTTTAAAATAGAACGTCTTGGTCGCAAAGATTTAGCATATTAAGGGAGCCCTGTTGTAGAAGCTAGCAACTGACTGAATCAGTATCATATCTTGTCAAATAAATTAACTTAGCAATCATGAAACACCCTTATCGTCTTCAGCGATTATTACATCTTCATCTGTCATGCTTTCGTCATAGTTAACATTAATATCTTTGTTTTTTGTAAATTTTCTTCATCTCGCTCTATTTCGTCCACATGTAGTTTCCATGAATAAATTAATGTTTTAGCCGGACAAGATACCTTCGTATTTAATCTGATATGGCTTTGAAAAAAGCAAACGTTTGAGTAAACTAAAGCTTTTCGTCTGACACTCTTCAGAGTTTATAACGTCAGAACATAGATCGCTAGGCAATATATATACCCAGTTGTGGATTGAAAAAGGCCAATCAGAAACGCGAGCACATGTATGTTAAGGTTGACAAATCAGTGCCACTTGCCTATTGAGAATGTTACCAAGAAGTCCCAAGGTGAAAACGAACTCCTTTTTGGCACAAGTTTATTCGTCCGCAATCTTTGGCGTTTAATCAAAATTATGACTTCTTCCATGAGCAATAAGCTGATAAGGCTACCTTAATTCGAACTTTTAGCGTTTAACCTTTAATTAACGATAAGTCATGCATCTGAGAAGGGTTACTTAGCTTTTCTCCTTGCCATTTTATCAGTTCATAGAAACATCTGCAATGATTTCTAAACTGCATTTGATGACTTTTGTTCTTCCGTGTCATACCGTTGCATACATGGCTGTGCTGTTTTAAGACCGATAGGATTTCGTTGGCACCTTTTTGCAATAACAAAGAGGCTTTTGCATTCACGATGCAACATTTCTTCTGCCCGTCGCATCAGTTGGTTGGACGAGGATAAAGAACACTTGTGATTACCCATGGAAATAGAACCTGCCCTGCTTTTGTACGACATACTACATACAAATTACAAATTACAAGTGTCTCTTCCAAGGTATTTAGAGCAACTGCCCTTCTACAGTTTGCTCAATTCATGCTTATGCCAGTATGTCAAACGCTGCTGAGGTAAAACGCTAAAATTTTCGGTATTGCTCTTCTTATTAAGCAAAAAAAACGTAGATTACAAAACAAACTAAATTACAGATAAAGAAGATTTAGTCTTTAGTACAAGCGTAACTACATTTTGATACAATACATGAATTACAAGAAAGAGTTTCAATTGTTCAATGTGCAACAGCGATATTGGTATCGTATTTTGGTATTGTCCTTGTTCTTTTCTAAATGAAAAAATGAAAGTCCGTACTCGGGTTTACAAATTACAGACTGACGATCAAAATAAAACACCTTTCCATTACCTCTGTCAGTATAAGATGTATTATCCGTATAGCATGAGCCGTTAACTGACTTGTCCTTGACATTGCAGCACTGATAACGATATCGTACTTGATCTAGTCCGCTATTTGTCTCTAGTTTCAAATCTTTGATAAATCCGTTTAATCCGCAATCAACTGAATGCTTAGTAAAGTCGTACAGTTTCCCCTGACTGGCTTTTTCGAAAGAAGTTGTTTTGAACTTTAGGCTACAGGAAGATTTCATTACTTCACAGCATTTGTACTGGAAACGCATTTCTTCCATCATTCGTTGTAAGTGAAACATTGACAACACCCCCTTTTCTTCGCAAGTAAGTCGATGTCGATCTAGATATGCGAAATCTCCCCTGTTATGTGTCTGGAAAACAGTATACTTCGATTTACATATATTTGTGCTAACAGTGTAACGATCACCCTGACAGTCCTGTGTATTACAGCTGACAATTTCCATGGCTGGTCCCAGCCTTGAGCAGTCTTTTCCGCCTATGGATGGTGGAGGCTTGTTACATGTGCGGTTCCTTGACTTTGTTCCTCCTCCACAGGACCTTGTGCATGCGCTGTACGGTTCCCAGGGTCCGTAGCCGCCATCCACTAGTTGAAGTAATAATCAAATATTAAGCTAACTGAGCAAAGCCAAAAGGTATCACTTGAAATTAAGTATTGACAGTTTAGTTGCATTTTTTCGTACTTGTCGTGAATTTGTAAAAGTTCAGAAGCTCTTACATGCGAAAACGTCATCATAAACGCTTCCTTTTTACAGCTGCAAAAAGTTTCAAAATCTTATCTATTATTACAGCAAAACTATTTGTTCCTTTAATGACGATTTGTTTTAAATTTGACACATGAGAATGTGTTTGGAATAATGCCAGTAACTTTTTTTCTGAAAAAAAGAATATCTTTGCATTCGAGCCCAATTATTTTAAACACAATACCATCCTACAGAATGCCATTTTTACTCAAGCTTTATTGAAAAAGATGGGATGTTTCTTGCTCAAATTTGCTTTCTTAGAAAAATCGTCTCTACCTGGACATTCATGTAAATTACATGGAGCAGTCTGCTTTTCAGGTCCATGCTTTTCGCAATTCTCTCCACCATACATAGGAGGAGGGTTATTACAGAGCCGTGTTCTGGCTTTTGTGCCTCCACCACACGACTTGCTACAGGTTGTAAATGTTGTCCAAGGTCCGTAGTCGCCATTAACTGAAAAAAAACACCATAATTATCTGTGAAAATAAGGTATCAATGCAAAGACAGCTTATTAAAATACTAGTTTTGGTTAATTTTCTTGATTCAAAAGAAGGAAACTCGCGAAACATTTGAAGCGAAAATGCTTATGTTTACAGATATTTTATAACAAGGGAGCATAAGCTAGAAGTGATATTTTGATAAACCTTTTTGGAATTTGAAAGAAATGTTTGGATGAACCTAGAGACTTACCTTTACAATAGCCGCAAGTAATGGGACATTTGTATCTTAAGAACCGATGGCTTAGTCTGTTGTTGCAGAATCGTTTGAAGTAGCTGCATAACCTGAAATCACTGCAAGCTAACAAGAAAGAAAACATTGTAATTGAATTGTAAAAATTAAAAGATTATCTTGTTTGAATTTATGGACGAGTTTCGTTATCACGTTGGCATCATTATTACGTTGGCCAACGTCAAATATTTTTAATCATTGATAATAGCTTTTAAGCGTATAAAATGCCTTAGTCAACCTTCGTATCTTAGAAAAACATTCTTTGAACTGCGACTAAACATTTACGACTTAGTGCATAAAAAATTTATCTATTAACTTTGCAAGCCTTTGATGAAAAATGTTCTTATTGTTTAAACAATTCAATATAAACAGTAAAATAAGGGTAGACTGAAAAATAAAGGTGTCAATCATTTATTGATAATAGATAAGCAGTTCTGTAAATTGTATGAGATGTGTTTTGCTCAAAACATTGCTACCTTAGACAACAAAAGCAATTGATTAAAATAGATATAAAGTGTCAACTTGAGCAACTTGAAACCTCAGTAAAGAATAAACAATGTAATAAATGTATATTTGGTCGGATATAGAGCGTATATAGAGCGACTTGAACTCTGCTTATTCTTGGTTTTTGGAATCCTTGGTCTAAGCTTGATAATCACGCTCATGCTCTTGATTAATAAAAGCTTTGCTCAAATGCTATTTCTACGGTTCTTGATAGCAAAACCATTTCTATAACGATAGATTTCCAGAATTCATGGCTTGACATGTAACTATTGGATTAAAGAGTTTACTTGAGAGCAGTAATTTCTCTCATCCTTTGTAAAACATTTTCTCAACGCCTGAATTCTATAATGGAGTTCGTTTTCAGAAATGGCCAGATTGTCAATTCGTGTCAATTTCTTGTTTAGGCACGGCTCTAGGAATCTTAAGTAAGTGGACCCGGACTGGTAACTTACTTCGGCATTCATGAGTGTTACATGTAATGGTGTCAGTTGATGGGCCTAGATGGCTACAGTCTTTACCGCCATTAGCAGGAGTGGGATTGTTGCACAGACGTTGCTTTGTTTTGATTCCTCCTCCGCATGATTTACTGCAAGAACTGTATTCTTCCCACTTTCCATAACCTCCATCAACTGCATATAATATAAAAAATTAAACAAACATCTACAAACTAATTGAAAAATGCAAAAATGAAGCATTAAAACTATTTGAATCAAAAATGCCAAGTTCCCTGAAACTTAAAGAAAAAATATCTAATTTGTTCTTGTTTTCCAAATACGTATTTTGAATCTACAAAACAAAACATCATTGCTTTTTTTAGGAAAAAATAGAGCCACTTTTGAAAAATGAAAGTGCAGAGATCGTCAATGGAGTATATTCATGTTCAAATTAGAAAATTCTGTGTTAGCATTTGTTTTTGTGTTTATCTTTCTTGTATATTATGCATACATAACCAATCATACCAGAGCATTCGGAACATACATAGCATTATGTGCTCGAAGCATACATAACCGATCTTACCAGAGCATTCTTGTGAATTGCAACTAGAAGTCTCTGTATCCTTGCCCAAACCTGAACAATCTTTGCCTCCAAAAGCTGAAACAGGACTGTCACAGGCTCTTGTTCTTGTCTGCGTGCCTCCTCCACATGATTTGCTGCAAGTTGAAAATTCTGTCCACGGCCCGTAGCCACCGTCAACTATTGCAAAGAGATATCAGCAGCATAGACGATTTCAAAAGCCAACAAAACTTCTAACATAAATTTAAGGTCAAGCCATTTGGAGCGAACTGCAATAGCTATAACAAATTTTGGCGACAACACGTCAAAATTAATGAAACACAAGAGTAATTTTCAATTTTCAGAGCTTAAGAATAAGTTTATCCATACATACCTTGACATTCATGTGTGTTACATTGAGTACTTTCTGTGGCTGGACCAAGGCTGTCACAGTCTTTTCCACCAAATGCTGGAGCTGGATTGTCACAGTTTCTTGCTCTAGTTTTAATTCCTCCTCCACAGGATTTGCTGCATTCACTGTACTGTCCCCATTCACTATAGCCTCCATCAACTAGAAAGAGTACTTTTTGTATTTTCAATCTGTTGCAAAATAATAGCAAAGAAATTGGAAAAAAGTACGAAAATACTCGAGAACGTAACAAGAATCGCAGAGCTATGCTTTTCTATTCATATGATTGAGAAACGTTTTTTACCAGGACATTCATGCATGTTACATTGAGCGCTATCTTTGGCAGCACCAAGGCTTTCACAGTCCTTCCCACCAAATGCTGGAACAGGATTGTCACACTTTCTCGCTCTATTTTTCGTTCCTCCTCCGCAAGATTTGCTGCAATCACTGTACTGTCCCCACTCCCCGTAGCCTCCGTCAACTAAAGAGAGTTTGTTTCGTATCTTAAGTATGTTAACATTGTTATTAATGGAAAATTATCAAAGACAATAATGAATAAACAGCCTTACTTTTCACATTGTAAACGAAATCATAAATATTGCTTACTCGGACATTCATGAGTGTTACATTGGGCACTTTCAGTAGCTGGGCCTAAATCTGAACAGTCATCTCCTCCATGCTCTGGCTTTGGACGGTTGCATGTTCTTTTTCTAGTTTTTATTCCTCCGCCGCATGAAACACTGCAGGCGTTGTATTTTTCCCAAGGACTATAGCCTCCGTCAACTGTAAAAAGGTATTTTGAATTTGAATGTTTTTAGAATCTTAATCGTTGTTGTAAATTATTGATCAATGACAAAAGGTAAAAATTGAATTCTTTGAAAATATCGTTTACCGGGGCATTCGTGAGTGTTACACTGAGCACTCTCCGTGTCTGGTCCTAAAGCTGAGCAATCACTTCCACCAAATGCTGGTTTAGGGTCATCGCAATGTCTTCGTCGCGTTTTTTCTCCTCCTCCGCACAAGGCACTGCAGCTATCATACTCTCCCCAAGGCCCGTATCCACCATCAACTAAACATCAAATTTTATAAAGGAAGGTTTTGTTTACTCAAGTACAAACATTTCAACGCGCATATCAACTGCCATACACTTCTTAAAAGACACCAACCAGTATCTACTTAAAGATATGAATTAATGTGAAAATCATTTTTAAAACGAAATAAGTGCTGCAAACCTGATATGAATATTCTAAAAGAGGAAACATCTTTCATGTTTAAATCCCGCAAAAAAGCTGTTTGTCATTTGCAGATAAAAAGGGCTTACCAGGACATTCGTGCGTGTTACATTGAGTACTTTCTGTGGCAGGACCAAGGCTTTCACATTCTTTTCCACCAAATGCTGGCACAGGATTGTCACATTTTCTCGCTCTAGTTTTTGTTCCTCCTCCACAAGATTTGCTGCAATCACTGTACTGTCCCCACTCCCCGTAGCCTCCGTCAACTAAAGAGAGTTTGTTTCGTATCTTGAATATGTTAACATTGTTATTAATTGAAAATTATCAAAATACAACCATGAATAAATAGCCTTACTTTTCACATTGTAAACGAAATCATAAATATTGCTTACTCGGACATTCATGAGTGTTACATTGGGCACTTTCAGTAGCTGGGCCTAAATCTGAACAGTCATCTCCTCCATGCTCTGGCTTTGGGCGGTTGCATGTTCTTTTTCTAGTTTTTATTCCTCCGCCGCATGAAACACTGCAGGCGCTGTATTTTCCCCAAGGACTATAGCCTCCGTCAACTGTAAAAAGGTGTTTTGAATTTGAATGTTTTTAGAATCTTAATCGTTGTTGTAAATTATTGATCAATGACAAAAGGTAAAAATTGAATTCTTTGAAAATATCGTTTACCGGGGCATTCGTGAGTGTTACACTGAGCACTCTCCGTGTCTGGTCCTAAAGCTGAGCAATCACTTCCACCAAATGCTGGTTTAGGGTCATCGCAATGTCTTCGTCGCGTTTTTTCTCCTCCTCCGCACAAGGCACTGCAGCTATCATACTCTCCCCACGGCCCGTATCCACCATCAACTAAAGATCAAATTTTATCAAGACGGTCAAAATATTTATTCACGCGTTTCCACTTTGATACAGCTCTCGAAGGCACTAACCAATATCTACTTTCGAATAAAATTTAATGAAAAAATCATTTCTAGAAAAAGAATTTGTGCTTCAAACTAAATAGCAATGACCAGAGAGATGTTAGTTATTTCATAATAAAATCCAGCAAGAGGCAGTTGCTCATTTGCAGAAAAGTAGGCTTACCAGGACATTCATGTGTGTTACATTGAGTGCTTTCTGTGGAAGGACCAAGGCTTTCACATTCTTTTCCACCAAATGCTGGCACAGGATTGTCACATTTTCTCGCTCTAGTTTTTGTTCCTCCTCCACAAGATTTGCTGCAGTCACCGTACTGTCCCCATTCCCCATAGCCTCCATCAACTAAAGAGAGTAAGTTTCATAAATTCAACTCATAGATTATCAGGATGGATGACATCAAGTAGAAAATCTAGTTACAGAAATAGATGAACTATTACGAAACTCACTTAATCTTAAAGTGAGGCATCATATGAGCCTATCATTAATCAAAATTGGGAAAATTTTGACTAATTTCTTGAAAGTTTTAGGGCCTTCTAGTTAGAAGTTAAAATCAGCTACGAAATTCATAGAGGAACAGGAAGAAAAATCCCAACCCTTGGCAGGATCAATTTCTTTTTTTATCTTGAATCCAAAAAGAAAATGTTTAGAAAAGTGTAATGTTTCTGCAAACTGTTTCATCTTTATGTACTGTCAGACTAAAAAGGTAGGCAAACTTAAATGGTGTTCGTAGTGTTAAATGGTGTTCAATTGTAAACATAGGCGTGTCCTATTAGGAAAAAAGAGCTGTATGATAGCAAAAGCTGAAGTAGATGGTTAATCAGAGTCTGCTATTGGCTGTATAGCTACAGTGCCATGGCCAAGTCAATTCTACAGTACGGTCAACAGGCCAAGTCAATTTTACAATTGCTTTGTGAACATCAACGTTTTTTTGCTGATCTGACCCTGAGCATTGAATGACGCGCTATTTGGCTCTTGTCAATCACCTCTTTTCGAGAACGTCAACATACGTGTTTAGAACACACTCTAGAAAACTTCAGTTTCTTCTGCGTAGTGTCAATAAAGCCTACATCTTTCTTGAAAAGAAAGCAATTTTCATTCCTCCTGTTGGGACTCCTGGCTCAACAAATGTTGTTGCAGACATTTTTTTTGTAAAAGCTCACAAGAACCTTCCTAGTTGTTCGAAACTACGAAATTGTTATATGCTATCAGCAATTATTTATGTAAGTTTAGCTTAAATTTGGGATGAAAAATTTATAATTCTAAAGAATGTTTTGAATCTGGAATGCAATGCAAATCAGATGAAAAAAACTTTTTCTGACAGCCATCTGATTCGATAGTGCTTTTTAAGTAAATTTATTTAACTGTTCAAAAGTTCTTCTTTTCCTGTAAATCGCTTGGCATTCATAGAACTACGGATTTCTGACATTTCAAATGGCACGGTACTTGATTAATATTCCGAGTATCTTGTAGCACTCCATAGAACTTGAAATCATGAAAGCTAGCCCACGACACGAACGGGTCCTCTCCTGCTTCAACCACCACGAGTAAGATAAAATGGAGACAAATTTTATCGCAGGTTTTACATTCTTTCATAAACCTTTACCGATTTTACAAACTTCGGTAGCAAGCCAGTATTTACTTAAAAAAGTTTTCTTGACACGTGCTTTCTCACAAGAAATACCCAAGTTTTAGAAGTTGGGACTTCTGGTATGGTCATAAACTGATTCAGTAAATCTATTTGTGGAAAAGTAGTTCTAATTGCAGACAGCGTTGCTCATGCAGTTCGGAATGCACAGTCTTTCTCCTTTTTCGCAACAAGCTTTCTGTAAAATCATTCGCAATGAAATGCTTATTTATCTAGACAACATGCCAATATTTTATCCTTTCTTTGAAAATGTTCCATTTTCAAATTCTCTGAAAAATTGATGGCTACATTATAATTGGCTTGTTCTCAACATAACAAACCATTTCGTTTTCCATATTTTTTCCACGTAAAGAATAACTTGAACTTTAAACAAAGCTTTCAATTTTTTTAGATTAATTCAAACTCTATAATTAGGGCGCCTGACACTGGTTTTAAATTTGCTAGACATATAAAAAATAATGATTTTATAAATTTTCCAGAAATTATACATCTTTCAGCTATCCTTTTATCTACGTTAGATGTGTCGTTATCTAAGGACTCTATTCGTTTGGCTTTTTCTGCGATTTTCTGCACAGTTGAAGTCACGAAAAATAACAGTTTTAACAAGCACAACATAACAGAGTTACAGGCCTTGAACTATAGTAATTACTTGACCTGATAAGGAGACGAACTTGCATCTAAACCCTCTTCTATGAATAATGGCTTGTTCATTATATAACCGATTTATGTTAAGTTCTATATCACCTCCCTGTAGAATGAATATACAATGGCATTGAAATGAACCTCCTTCTCAATGCTATACCAAGTACTCTTTTGTAGACTGCTATTGAATATACAGGCAAATTCTTAAGGTAAAAAATAATAGAGCACTGCTGGTTCAATTGACAAAAATCAAAAATATATCTTACTCGGACACTCATGCATGTTACATTCAGCGCTTTCTTTGGCAGCACCAAGGCTTTCACAGTCCTTCCCACCAAATGCTGGAACAGGATTGTCACACTTTCTCGCTCTATTTTTCGTTCCTCCTCCGCAAGATTTGCTGCAGTCACTGTACTGTCCCCACTCCCCGTAGCTTCCGTCAACTAAAGAGAGTTTGTTTCGTATCTTAAATATGTTAACATTGTTATTAATTGAAAATTAACAAAAGACAACAATGAATAAACAGCCTTACTTTTCACATTGTAAACGAAATCATAATTATTGCTTACTCGGACATTCATGAGTGTTACATTGGGCACTTTCAGTAGCTGGGCCTAAATCTGAACAGTCATCTCCTCCATGCTCTGGCTTTGGACGGTTGCATGTTCTTTTTCTAGTTTTTATTCCTCCGCCGCATGAAACACTGCAGGCGCTGTATTTCTCCCAAGGACTATAGCCTCCGTCAACTGTAAAAAGGTATTTTGAATTTGAATGTTTTTAGAATCTTAATCGTTGTTGTAAATTACTGATCAATGACAAAAGGTAAAAATTGAATTCTTTGAAAATATCGTTTACCGGGGCATTCGTGAGTGTTACACTGAGCACTCTCCGTGTCTGGTCCTAAAGCTGAGCAATCACTTCCACCAAATGCTGGCTTAGGGTCATCGCAATGTCTTCGTCGCGTTTTTTCTCCTCCTCCGCACAAGGCACTGCAGCTATCATACTCTCCCCAAGGCCCGTATCCACCATCAACTAAACATCAAATTTTATAAAGGAAGGTTTTGTTTACTCAAGTACAAACATTTCAACACGCATATCAACTGCCATACACTTCTTAAAAGACACCAACCAGTATCTACTTAAAGATATGAATTAATGTGAAAATCATTTTTAAAACGGAATAAGTGCTGCAAACCTGATATAAATATTTTAAAAGAGAAAACGTCTTTCATGATTAAATCCCGCAAAAAAGCTGTTTCTCATTTGCAGAAGAAAGGGCTTACCAGGACATTCGTGCGTGTTACATTGAGTACTTTCTGTGGCAGGACCAAGGCTTTCACATTCTTTTCCACCAAATGCTGGCACAGGATTGTCACATTTTCTCGCTCTAGTTTTTGTTCCTCCTCCACAAGATTTGCTGCAATCACTGTACTGTCCCCACTCCCCGTAGCCTCCGTCAACTAAAGAGAGTTTGTTTCGTATCTTAAATATGTTAACATTGTTATTAATTGAAAATTATCAAAATACAACCATGAATAAACAGCCTTACTTTTCACATTGTAAACGAAATCATAATTATTGCTTACTCGGACATTCATGAGTGTTACATTGGGCACTTTCAGTAGCTGGGCCTAAATCTGAACAGTCATCTCCTCCATGCTCTGGCTTTGGACGGTTGCATGTTCTTTTTCTAGTTTTTATTCCTCCGCCGCATGAAACACTGCAGGCGCTGTATTTTTCCCAAGGACTATAGCCTCCGTCAACTGTAAAAAGGTGTTTTGAATTTGAATGTTTTTAGAATCTTAATCGTTGTTGTAAATTATTGATCAATGACAAAAGGTAAAAATTGAATTCTTTGAAAATATCGTTTACCGGGGCATTCGTGAGTGTTACACTGAGCACTCTCCGTGTCTGGTCCTAAAGCTGAGCAATCACTTCCACCAAATGCTGGTTTAGGGTCATCGCAATGTCTTCGTCGCGTTTTTTCTCCTCCTCCGCACAAGGCACTGCAGCTATCATACTCTCCCCACGGCCCGTATCCACCATCAACTAAAGATCAAATTTTATCAAGACGGTCAAAATATTTATTCACGCGTTTCCACTTTGATACAGCTCTCGAAGGCACTAACCAATATCTACTTTCGAATAAAATTTAATGAAAAAATCATTTCTAGAAAAAGAATTTGTGCTTCAAACTAAATAGCAATGACCAGAGAGATGTTAGTTATTTCATAATAAAATCCAGCAAGAGGCAGTTGCTCATTTGCAGAAAAGTAGGCTTACCAGGACATTCATGTGTGTTACATTGAGTGCTTTCTGTGGAAGGACCAAGGCTTTCACATTCTTTTCCACCAAATGCTGGCACAGGATTGTCACATTTTCTCGCTCTAGTTTTTGTTCCTCCTCCACAAGATTTGCTGCAGTCACCGTACTGTCCCCATTCCCCATAGCCTCCATCAACTAAAGAGAGTAAATTTCATAAATTCAACTCATAGATTATCAGGATGGATGACATCAAGTAGAAAATCTACTTACAGAAATAGATGAACTATTACAAAACTCACTTAATCTTAAAGTGAGGTATCATATGAGCCTATTATTAATCAAAATTGGGAAAATTTTGACTAATTTCTTGAAAGTTTTAGGGCCTTCTAGTTAGAAGTTAAAATCAGCTACGAAATTCATAGAGGAACAGGAAGAAAAATCCCAACCCTTGGCAGGATCAATTTCTTTTTTTATCTTGAATCCAAAAAGAAAATGTTTAGAAAAGTGTAATGTTTCTGCAAACTGTTTCATCTTTATGTACTGTCAGACTAAAAAGGTAGGCAAACTTAAATGGTGTTCGTAGTGTTAAATGGTGTTCAATTGTAAACATAGGCGTGTCCTATTAGGAAAAAAGAGCTGTATGATAGCAAAAGCTGAAGTAGATGGTTAATCAGAGTCTGCTATTGGCTGTATAGCTACAGTGCCATGGCCAAGTCAATTCTACAGTACGGTCAACAGGCCAAGTCAATTTTACAATTGCTTTGTGAACATCAACGTTTTTTTGCTGATCTGACCCTGAGCATTGAATGACGCGCTATTTGGCTCTTGTCAATCACCTCTTTTCGAGAACGTCAACATACGTGTTTAGAACACACTCTAGAAAACTTCAGTTTCTTCTGCGTAGTGTCAATAAAGCCTACATCTTTCTTGAAAAGAAAGCAATTTTCATTCCTCCTGTTGGGACTCCTGGCTCAACAAATGTTGTTGCAGACATTTTTTTTGTAAAAGCTCACAAGAACCTTCCTAGTTGTTCGAAACTACGAAATTGTTATATGCTATCAGCAATTATTTATGTAAGTTTAGCTTAAATTTGGGATGAAAAATTTATAATTCTAAAGAATGTTTTGAATCTGGAATGCAATGCAAATCAGATGAAAAAAACTTTTTCTGACAGCCATCTGATTCGATAGTGCTTTTTAAGTAAATTTATTTAACTGTTCAAAAGTTCTTCTTTTCCTGTAAATCGCTTGGCATTCATAGAACTACGGATTTCTGACATTTCAAATGGCACGGTACTTGATTAATATTCCGAGTATCTTGTAGCACTCCATAGAACTTGAAATCATGAAAGCTAGCCCACGACACGAACGGGTCCTCTCCTGCTTCAACCACCACGAGTAAGATAAAATGGAGACAAATTTTATCGCAGGTTTTACATTCTTTCATAAACCTTTACCGATTTTACAAACTTCGGTAGCAAGCCAGTATTTACTTAAAAAAGTTTTCTTGACACGTGCTTTCTCACAAGAAATACCCAAGTTTTAGAAGTTGGGACTTCTGGTATGGTCATAAACTGATTCAGTAAATCTATTTGTGGAAAAGTAGTTCTAATTGCAGACAGCGTTGCTCATGCAGTTCGGAATGCACAGTCTTTCTCCTTTTTCGCAACAAGCTTTCTGTAAAATCATTCGCAATGAAATGCTTATTTATCTAGACAACATGCCAATATTTTATCCTTTCTTTGAAAATGTTCCATTTTCAAATTCTCTGAAAAATTGATGGCTACATTATAATTGGCTTGTTCTCAACATAACAAACCATTTCGTTTTCCATATTTTTTCCACGTAAAGAATAACTTGAACTTTAAACAAAGCTTTCAATTTTTTTAGATTAATTCAAACTCTATAATTAGGGCGCCTGACACTGGTTTTAAATTTGCTAGACATATAAAAAATAATGATTTTATAAATTTTCCAGAAATTATACATCTTTCAGCTATCCTTTTATCTACGTTAGATGTGTCGTTATCTAAGGACTCTATTCGTTTGGCTTTTTCTGCGATTTTCTGCACAGTTGAAGTCACGAAAAATAACAGTTTTAACAAGCACAACATAACAGAGTTACAGGCCTTGAACTATAGTAATTACTTGACCTGATAAGGAGACGAACTTGCACCTAAACCCTCTTCTATGAATAATGGCTTGTTCATTATATAACCGATTTATGTTAAGTTCTATATTAGCTCCCTGTAGAATGAACATACAATGGCATTGAAATGAACCTCCTTCTCAATGCTATACCAAGTACTCTTTTGTAGACTGCTATTGAATATACAGGCGAATTCTTAAGGTAAAAAATAATAGAGCACTGCTGGCTCAATTGACAAAAATAAAAAATATATCTTACTCGGACACTCATGCATGTTACATTCAGCGCTTTCTTTGGCAGCACCAAGGCTTTCACAGTCCTTCCCACCAAATGCTGGAACAGGATTGTCACACTTTCTCGCTCTATTTTTCGTTCCTCCTCCGCAAGATTTGCTGCAGTCACTGTACTGTCCCCACTCCCCGTAGCTTCCGTCAACTAAAGAGAGTTTGTTTCGTATCTTAAATATGTTAACATTGTTATTAATTGAAAATTAACAAAAGACAACAATGAATAAACAGCCTTACTTTTCACATTGTAAACGAAATCATAATTATTGCTTACTCGGACATTCATGAGTGTTACATTGGGCACTTTCAGTAGCTGGGCCTAAATCTGAACAGTCATCTCCTCCATGCTCTGGCTTTGGACGGTTGCATGTTCTTTTTCTAGTTTTTATTCCTCCGCCGCATGAAACACTGCAGGCGCTGTATTTTTCCCAAGGACTATAGCCTCCGTCAACTGTAAAAAGGTATTTTGAATTTGAATGTTTTTAGAATCTTAATCGTTGTTGTAAATTACTGATCAATGACAAAAGGTAAAAATTGAATTCTTTGAAAATATCGTTTACCGGGGCATTCGTGAGTGTTACACTGAGCACTCTCCGTGTCTGGTCCTAAAGCTGAGCAATCACTTCCACCAAATGCTGGCTTAGGGTCATCGCAATGTCTTCGTCGCGTTTTTTCTCCTCCTCCGCACAAGGCACTGCAGCTATCATACTCTCCCCAAGGCCCGTATCCACCATCAACTAAACATCAAATTTTATAAAGGAAGGTTTTGTTTACTCAAGTACAAACATTTCAACACGCATATCAACTGCCATACACTTCTTAAAAGACACCAACCAGTATCTACTTAAAGATATGAATTAATGTGAAAATCATTTTTAAAACGGAATAAGTGCTGCAAACCTGATATGAATATTCTAAAAGAGGAAACGTCTTTCATGATTAAATCCCGCAAAAAAGCTGTTTGTCATTTGCAGAAGAAAGGGCTTACCAGGACATTCGTGCGTGTTACATTGAGTACTTTCTGTGGCAGGACCAAGGCTTTCACATTCTTTTCCACCAAATGCTGGCACAGGATTGTCACATTTTCTCGCTCTAGTTTTTGTTCCTCCTCCACAAGATTTGCTGCAATCACTGTACTGTCCCCACTCCCCGTAGCCTCCGTCAACTAAAGAGAGTTTGTTTCGTATCTTAAATATGTTAACATTGTTATTAATTGAAAATTATCAAAATACAACCATGAATAAACAGCCTTACTTTTCACATTGTAAACGAAATCATAATTATTGCTTACTCGGACATTCATGAGTGTTACATTGGGCACTTTCAGTAGCTGGGCCTAAATCTGAACAGTCATCTCCTCCATGCTCTGGCTTTGGACGGTTGCATGTTCTTTTTCTAGTTTTTATTCCTCCGCCGCATGAAACACTGCAGGCGCTGTATTTTCCCCAAGGACTATAGCCTCCGTCAACTGAGAGAAAACAGAAATTCTTTGATGTTCCCAAAATCATAATGTGTGTAAAGTAGAGGCCTAACATAGAAAAACATCCAATAGTCAAATTGATATCTGGAGATCAACACTTACCAGGGCATTCGTGAGTATTACACTGAGCACTCTCTGTGTCAGGTCCTAAAGCTGAGCAATCGTTTCCACCAAAAGCTGGTTTAGGGTCATCACACAATCGTCGCCTTGTTTTGACTCCCCCTCCACATGTGACGCTGCAACTGCCATATTCTTGCCAAGGGCCATAGCCACCGTGTACTAATGAGAAGATTCGGACTATGTAACGTTTGACTCAATTTTGCCAGAATGAATGAGACAGGTTTAGATAGAGCTCTGAAATGGGGTTTTTGGAAAGAATTCCATACCAGAGGGATGCAAAATGCCATGGAACTGATTCAATCATCCTTGATTATGTAAGACCATTTTTATACATCAGATCGCTATTTTCTATATGCATAAGGAAGGAAGGATCGAATTTTGTATTGCTTTTTGAATCCAGAATGATGATGCACACGCTGATTTTAAAAGAATCGCTGTAACTTGCTTTCTTTCAACAAAATGGAAACTATGGTTTTCATATTGCATATTATCATATTATCATGATACTCTTTCAGTAACAAAAAATTGTATTTTTATAAATAAAAGTATTTACATACAAAACAAAACAAAGCAAATACAAAAACTGGTCTACCAGGAGATCATGTTTGGGGATAACGTATTTCTATATTGATTTTACTTTTTTTGGCCCAAGATGTAGGTTTTCATTTTTTATTAGAAAAGGTGAGTAGATTCCATGTTTCTTATGTCGTTTGGGATATCATTCCAGACCTTTACACCGACGTATGAAAAACTTTTTTGAGATTTCTAACGTGGATTGGGTATTTGCAGATTGTTTATTCTACGAGTTTCATATTTTCAGATCTGAATTTTCCCCATAAACTTTCCCCTAAGATTTTCGGGCACGTTTCCTTAAGAATCTTGTGTACCCTTATTGCTCGGTCATATGTGATAGCCTTCTCAACGTTTAGTCGTGCAGATTTTTATTATCGTTACTATAACATTATTTACAGTTAGTTAAAATAAAGATAACTCTAATTTGAACTAATTAAGACCGACTATTTACACAAAAGGAATACTAATCGCAATAAATAAAGACATAACTAAACTATAAGTATGCTTCTGGCGAGATTCCACCGGTTTTTTTATCTACATATTTTGCATGATGAACTTTCACCTTTCCACACGGATGGTATCTGAACTTTAATAGGAGCGGATTCAATGAGGTAAAATGCCCTATCCTGTATCTTCTGCAATCAGCAGAGTTTCTTTTCTGGCAAATGACCTAACATCAAGTTGCCATATCTCAAGTGGCTTTCCCATAGTGCTTGGTATATAAGAAACAATCGTGATTGTAGTAGTTTTCTCTGAGTTTCCTGATAGAATTGAGCCCACCTATCAGTTTTTCCTTAACTATTTTAAATTGCTGTTTCCAGGATTGGTTTCATTATGTAAGAGCAGTGAGTGGAATATTTTGTATGGATATTTGGAACAATACCAGATCTCGATAACACTGTACCGTTCTCCAGCCACATAAATCTTTGCTTGTAACCACAACCATAAGCACTTGGTATAAACATGGATATTATGAATATCTTTAAAGAGGAAGAACAACTTTTGAGATATTAGACATGATGGAACGTTGATTTTTAGATTGCTGTATGATTAAATCTTACCAGGACATTCATTTGTGTTGCAACGGCTACTTTCTGTTTCAGGTCCCAGCTGCGAGCAGTCCTTTCCACCGAATGCAGGTTCAGGGTTGTCGCATAACCGACTTCTTGTCTTCAAACCTCCTCCGCAAGAAACACTGCAGGCACTGTATTTGGACCAATCCCCATATCCTCCGTCAACTAAAACGTCAAAGTTAGTAAAATTGAAAACACAAATGAAAGTTTTGCTAAAAAGATATTGAAAATTTTAGCCAAAGAGATTTGCATTTGGCATTTCCTTCAGTAAAGAATTGCATATCTAAAAAGTATCGGCAGCCAACATTCGGTCTAACATTCATACAATGCTCAATACAAAGATTTTGTTTGATACACAAATAGATAATAAATTTGATAATAATACAGAGATTCTGTTATTCTGGCCCCCTTTATATTATATTAGTATTTTCTAGTTAACCTCTTATGCTCTTATTCTTTAAATGAAAAGAATGTTCATTGTAAGTAAAATGAACAGAACTATGCGTACCTTGCTTAATACAAATTTTGCTAGGATGCTAACCTAGTTCAATAGAATTTTTCTGGCTTCCTTACCTAGCTTAAAAAATTCTTGCAACTTTGGTCACTATACTTGCATTAATCGGAAAACAGCGTAGGATGAAAAAGGCGCTTAATGACTATATTTTACAAGGTTCTACCTCCACCTTTCATTATGCCTGCGTTAATTTTATTTTCCAAATTTATTGTTATACTCCATACGAAATCATTTGATAAGAATTCTGCATACCAGGACATTCGTGCGTGTTACATTGAGTACTTTCTGTGGCAGGACCAAGGCTTTCGCAGTCTTTTCCGCCAAATGCTGGCACAGGATTGTCACATTTTCTCGCTCTAGTTTTTGTTCCTCCTCCACAAGATTTGCTGCAATCACTGTACTGTCCCCATTCCCCATAGCCTCCATCAACTAAAGAGAGTTTGTTTCGTATTTTAGATACGTCCCTTTTATCAATAATGGGAAATCAAAAAATTTCTATGATCTTTCCTTTGAAGACAACAATAAATTAACAGCCTTACTTTTCACATTGTAAACGAAATCATAAATATTGCTCACTCGGACATTCATGTGTGTTACATTGAGTACTTTCTGTGGCAGGACCAAGGCTTTCACATTCTTTTCCACCAAATGCTGGAACAGGATTGTCACACTTTCTCGCTCTATTTTTCGTTCCTCCTCCACAAGATTTGCTGCAATCACTGTACTGTCCCCACTCCCCGTAGCCTCCATCAACTAAAGAGAGTTTGTTTCGTACTTTAGATATGTCATCTTTATTAACAATGGGAAATCAAAAAATATCTATGATCTTTCCTTTGAAGACAACAATAAATTAACAGCCTTACTTTTCACATTGTAAACGAAATCATAAATATTGCTTACTCGGACATTCGTGTGTGTTACATTGGGCATTTTCGGTATTTGGGCCTAAATCTGAACAGTCATCTCCTCCATGCTCTGGCTTTGGACGGTTGCATGTTCTTTTCCTAGTTTTTATTCCTCCGCCGCATGAAACACTGCAGGCGCTGTATTTTCCCCAAGGACTATAGCCTCCGTCAACTGAGAGAAAACAGAAATTCTTTGATGTTCCTAAAATCATAATCTGTGTAAGGTGTAGGCCTAACATAGAAAAACATCCAAAAGTCAAATTGATTTCTGGAGATCATCACTTACCAGGGCATTCGTGAGTATTACACTGAGCACTCTCTGTGTCCGGTCCTAAAGCTGAGCAATCGTTTCCACCAAAAGCTGGTTTAGGGTCATCACACAATCGTCGCCTTGTTTTGACTCCCCCTCCACATGTGACGCTGCAGCTCCCATATTTTCCCCACGGGCCATAGCCACCGTTGACTAAATTGAAAATTTATAATATAGATCATGTGACACATTTCTGTCAGTAGCAGTAATTTATATTTCAATAAGGTTGGGAAAATTTGATTGGGACAAAAGGAAAGAATCTGTACCAGAGGGTTGGAAGCAAAGAAAGGGAGAAAGAACTGATACAATCAGTGTCCTAGATCAAAGGAAAGAAGGCCCTAATCGAAAAATTGTACCATTGCTTGGTAGCCTATAGCAAAGCAAAGTCGCAGAAGTTGCACAGTCAATCTTTACGGCTCTACCGGGTTAAAGGAAACGAGGTTTTTTAAGAGTACCTCGACTGAGCAAGAATAGGAAGAAGGATTAGTTAGTTGCCATGAAGAATTTTGCCATGCTATTATAAATCTAGGAACAAATTCTTATAAATACGAGTTGTTTGTCTGAACAAAAATCAGTTGAAGTCAAAAGATTGCTTTCCTGTCGAGAATGTGGTCTTTTCCACTCTTAAACGAAAGTATGTGGATAAACATCTTAAGTAGAACAGGTCTAGACCAGCTTCTATCAGAAAACCTCGTGTGAAAGAAGCGTTTATTCGAGAGTGTCATCACAGTCAAGTCATCACATCACATCACAATCAAGTCATTACAGTTTAAGGTTTTCACCTGGACATTCTTGTGTATTGCATTGGGTAGTCTCAATGTCGGGCCCTAGCTTTGAACAATCTTTGCCGCCAAATGCTGGAGAAGGTGAGTTGCATTGTCTTGTTCTTGCTTTCGTTCCTCCACCACATAGAACACTACATCTACCAAATTCTGTCCATTTGCTATAACCTCCATCCACTAAAAATTAAAGCCTCTCAAAGAATTTTCCAAAAAAAACAATTTTCAAGTCAAAATGGTTCAGAAACGATGACTTTATCAAAAATATTTAGATACACTACCGGGGCATTCTTGTGTATTGCACTGCGCAGTTTCACTTGCGGAGCCTAGACTTGAGCAATCTTTGCCTCCAAAAGCTGGAAGTGGGTTGTTACATTTCCTTCTTCTCGCTTTCGATCCTCCTCCACAAGAAACACTACAGCTACTATATTCTCCCCAGTCTCCATATCCACCATCAACTTAAAAATAGAATCAAACTGAAAGTCACCAAAGAGTTTTGCTAACCTTTTAAAAAATTTAAGATTGTCACAAGTTTGAGGCCTAATTTTGTCAAGGAGATGTCAAATGGCTTTTTAAAACTTAGTAAAATTGCGTTTGTTAACATCCTCTTACTCGGGCATTCTTGCGTGTTGCATTTTATGCTCTCTTTAGCTGGTCCTATGCCTGTGCAGTCCTTGCCACCAAAAGCTGGTTGCGGATTGTCACACTGCCTGCTTCTGCTTTTTGTTCCTCCTCCACAGGTAACTGTGCAACTGGTATAACCTCCCCATTCACCATATCCTCCGTTAACTAGGTGAAAATGTAAGAGACAACAATTTCATCTTAAAAAAATTCCAAACAGCGACGCTATGGAAACGACTGAAAATGTGATGCAAAATATATTGATAAATTGCAGAAATTCTTTAAACAAAAACGATGGTAGGAGAAAAATGCATCAATTTGGTTGCGCGAAAGAAGAGAAATTATCTTTCAGCACATAAAAATCTTGATAAAAATTAATGATTGTCTTATCTTTATATACATAGTGTGACCTACTTGGGCATTCGTGAGTGTTACATTGGGTAGTTTCTTTTGCTGGACCTATACCAGAGCAATCATTTCCCCCGAATGCAGGTGCTGGGCTATTGCAAAGTCTGTTTCGTGACATTGTTCCACCTCCACAGCTTTTGCTACAAACACTGTATTCTCCCCATTCTCCATAGCCTCCGTTCACTAAAACATAGAAACTGGATTTCTTAAAGAACGCCTCTTGTTTTCCCACGACCCTCTGTTTGTTGCAAAGTCATAGATATTCATTTGCGTCCTTTCCAACTGGAAATAAACAAAGTAACATGTATTTGATCCATGGGTGCATGGACCAATGGAATGCCGGGAACGATTATTTTGGATAGGATTATGTTACACAAACTCTAGGATACTAAGTGATCAGTTGAATTAAATATACTAGGCTAAAGTATGATATGATTTCACCTTGCTATGCGTTTTTGAAGCATAGCAAGCATGACATGTTGATTATGTCAGCATTCATTGAAAATTTAAGTATGATATTTTTATTTGTAAAAAAGATTAAAGGTAAATTCACCATAAAGTTGAAAAAAATTTAAAATGTGCTAGAATATAATGAAAATGCATACCAGGACATTCGTGTGAATTGCAATGGACACTTTCAGTGGCAGGGCCTAAGTGGGTACAATTTTTTCCGCCATAAGCTGGAGGCGGGTCATTGCAGAGCCGGTTCCGGCGTTTTGATCCTCCTCCGCATGAGACACTGCATTCTGTGTATGATCCCCATGCTCCGTAGCCTCCATCAACTGCAGGTAAAAACGACAAAGAGAATCAAGTAAGGCCTAGAATGCAATTTCTACATGGGTTTTGAGTGAACATAAACCATTCTCAAACACACGTAAAGTTTATTGTAGCTGACTGATAATAACGTGAAATACAACTAATATACTAGTTTACAAGGAGAATGACTAATTCACCAATGTTAAATCACATATTGCATTATTTGCAACCAGATCTCTTTCATAATAGTTTCATCGTGGTTAATAAACTGACCAGGGCATTTGTGAGTGTTGCATGAAGTACTTTCAGTTGCAGGACCCTTTAATGAGCAGTCTTTTCCGTTGTAAGCAGGCTCAGGGTTGTTGCATTGCCTTCGTCTCGTTTTAACTCCTTCTCCACAAGTTTTGGTACAATCACTGTAAGGCTCCCATGCCCCGTAGCCACCATCAACTACAATGAAACAGTTAGGATGTATAGCATCTTTGTGGGTATATGCTGAAATGTTACCTTGTGTCGGAAATTAAAGAAGAATTGTTTTGGCCCATTGTAAAGAAGCGGTAGTTAAGATATTTTTCCTGGAAGATATAATCAGATGTTATTTAGTTTGAATATTCTAGAAACTGACAAACCTTGGCCAGCATGTACTGGTCCAGCAATCCTAAAGCTTGAATGTTAAATATTTGTGCTGTTTGTGTTACTTTTTGACTTATTTGTAGAATATCATTGCTTCAAAAAAGCCTAAAAGATCTGATAATGACAATTTATTTACATAACAAAAGAAGTATTTTGCAAATTATCTTGTTGCAAACAACATACCTGGGCAGTCCTTGAGTTTACATGCCCTCGATTGAGTATAATCACCAATCAACCGACAATCTTTTCCTTTCCCAGCCGGTTTTGGGTTGTCACATGTTCTTTCTCTATGCTGCAAACCTGTCCCACAGAATTTATCACAAGGCGTCCATTCTTGCCATTCACTGAATCCACCATCGATATCTGTCGAGAATGAATTATGACGCTAATCTACCTTTAATTCATCTTAGATAATATATCAATGTTGAAAATTAGTATGCTGTGAAGCATTAAGTGCCGCAACCATCACTTTTTTCTACAACGAGACTACGAAGAGTCCTTTTTGCCTCTTGCCCTAACTTGGCAGAGAAATATGCTTTCGTGCCATTAGAATTACTTTTAGCACCCAAGTAATATGATAAAAACAGGCTTCTGCTAATTATATTGCAGCAGCTGTAAATTTTTATAGCATCTTCAGCCATGATATCATAGAAGCCTATAAACGTTTCTTTTTTGGTGACAGAAGAAGTGAGCTGAAAAGCTTTAAGCCTATGGAGTCCTTTAAATTCACAAAATGATTCACTAACCTTCTTCTGCGCTGACTTTGAAAGCGTAAACCGCCTCTGCAAATTCTTTTCCAACACAGTGCTGATGGCAAGATACGTTGCAACTCGAATATTTCTGATCTCCGATGCATTTGTCATTTTGTTGTTCGACCTCGTTAAGAATTTGTAGCTGTTCCTCGGTTTTACCGTAACATTCACCCCAGTAATGAAGAGCAAATCCAGAGAAGCCTTTCTCGTGCGCTTTCCGTGCACATTTGCATGCCAGTCTTCATTAAGATAAACGAGAGGTTACAAACACTTTATTTTTGACAAGCAGGAGCGATTGGTGGGATAATTGATAATATTCATTTCTTTCTCATCCCCGCAATGTTTTAGTAGTCAATATTTTGTTCTTTTTGGTTCTTCGGTTCAGTATGTCACCACTTCCTACTTTCTTCCATAAATTTTTTTCGGCCGTACATTTGAACCTAGATCTGGACCGTTTGTGAATTTTTATAGGTTACAGCATCATGCTTAAGCTATACACTTAAAAAAATTTTTTCATCATCAAAAAGCACTCACCTTTTCATATAGCCAACAATATCATGCCAATCGATATCATGTTTGTCGTTAAACAAAATATATCTTGGTGACTCTTCTTCATAGCATCCAAGCATTTGATAGTTATCTATGCATAGATCTTTTGCAGCTGTAAACAAAAGGATGTCTATTTTGAGTGCATCTATCAAAAAATAGAAAACAAAAATCCGTAATTATGCTTTCGGGCTTCATCGGGCGTAATTAGGCTTCATCAATTTTTACTCTTTATTGCAACTGTATGCATGTGCTCTTTGCTTATTGACACGTTGATTGAAGTTCAGTTTCACAAAGTTTCACAAGGTGCAAATACAGAGATGGACTCATTGTTGTAGATTAGCAGTCACTCTTGAATCAGAAGATTTTTAGAAAATCAAACTCATTTTCTAATCATTCATGTTTTTATGAATGCGTGCTTTAAAGACTATACGAGCTTTTTAGAAAGGGATTTAGTATAAATTTTTGTGTATACTAAATCCCTTCGATCTGCTATTTTTTGCATCTTTTCCAAGACTGCATCTTCTAGCTCGATTTTCATCCAAGTGACAAAACATTTAATGTGAATAGGACCAGTAAATTGATATTAGTGAATGATATTAGGCCAAAATTTGGGTTCAAAACTCGTTGTAGCGATAAACTTTTGGACTATGATAGCAACCATGATTTCTAAAAATTTGTTTAATGAGAAGTATAAAATTAATGTATTCTTCCTTTTAATTCAACTGGAGATTAAAATAACTTACCAGTAACTGCAACGAGTGCTAGCAGTATTGCTATAATCTTTGACATACTTCCAGCCTAAGTGGATAATAATATTGAAATGCAGTTGGTTTAACGCAAGTTTCAACTGCCAAAAACTTAAAGTTACAAAATAAGGCATAAATGCAGTAATATTTTTTCAAAACGGTTTCTTTGATAGCATTGAAACGTACTGTGCAACCTAGAATATTTTCTCGACCCACCTTCTCCGTCAGCAAAAAATAAGTACTTTGAGAAATATCAAAAAAATGGTAATGTAAAAATCTCGGTTGAATTTTATTGTTAAGCGTTGAATTTACACAAAGAGAAAAAAAGACAAACATACCTGTCCTCCATGCAATAAAACTAAAATCGAAGTGATTTAAAATGTTGCGAATGTTCCTTGATTCTTTTAATCAGTTATCGAACTCATGTTTCGACACTTCGTACTTTGCCGTTAAACATGGTTCGAGGCATTCTGTATACACTCCCCTCACGATAGAATCCTGATAGTTTGGCGATCGATTGTCCTTTCGAACAAAAATAAATGCAGGCTGGCCAGGCACGTAAATAATAGGGGGGCGTGGGGGGCGTAACGCCCCCCCAAAGTTTGGAAAATCCAGTTACAGTTGGAAAACATAACGGTTGACTTGGAATTTTTTTCTTAAGACCAAACTTGTGAATTTTATATTTTAAGAAGTTTTTTATTTTAAATATAAAAATTCTAAACATTAAAATTCACAGGCTGAAGCTGACCCATCCAATCGTTTTCTATTGTGAATCCCGTCTCCACTGGATCCAAATTGCACACTTGCCCCGTTTTCTTTTTCTTTCTTTCTGACGGAAGTTGAATCAAATTACGAACAGGCAAGGTGAACTTACGGATAAGAAACTTGAAACTTACAGTTTGGAATAATAATACCCGCATTGATCAGAAAATATTAGAGTGGGAATTTTTTTAGAAACTACGAGTAGTTAATTCAATAAAAGATTAAGAATCTTTCAGTACTAAAAATTCTCAACGCTTCTTATAAAAAACGAGTTTATGCTAAACTCCCCCTGTTATTTGTTAATGTCCTTGAGTCCTTATCATAAATTCCTATGACAAAACTGCTGTGGAGCAAGAACACATTGCAAAAACTGCAGTAGAAGTATTTGATCAAAGAAGAGTATTTCATCTTTCGAATCAGGCATATGCACAAGTTTGTTCTCAAATCATCATTTCAATTGTAAAGAATGAAAAGGCATTTGGCCCTCTGAAAAGTTTAAAGGTAGTTTTCTTCGATCAAGAACGAAAATAAAAGGCCCAAATTCTTGGTGCTTCTATATCGTGAAAAATGTATTTTAGATAAAATTGATCAATTGATCTGAAAGAATACTACTAATCATTAAGTATATCTAATACTGGTTTTGCTTAAATGTTGCTTTACTTCTTACAGTATGTTTAATGTTTGTTTCATGTTAATCAAAATTTAGAGATTTAGGCTTTTATGCTTTAGGCTAATTATTGAGTAAAGATTTGGTAATTATAAAGAAAATAGAACTATGGTGTTCGGGCTATTTACAAATATCAATTTGGTAGGTACAACAGATCTACTGGTCGAATGAAAAATTTATCACTTAAAGTTGGAATTTTCATACTTCCACGCCCCCCCAAAATTAGCAACTTGTTTTCGTCCCTGAGGCTGGCGATAATTCAATGGTGATTTTCAGAAAAACTTTCCAAAGTAAATCAAGACGATAAACTTTTCCAAAACTTCTGAGCTTAAAATAAAAGACCTTTGGGCCTTACATAAAATAAAGAGATTTTTGCATGGAGATGCCGCCAATCGATTAAAAGAGATGCCTAACATTTGGTTGCATTTAAGCAAATCTTAAACAATCTTGCAACGCAGACATACTATCATTCAGTGCAGGGTCATAAAGTTATACCATTTGTTTACCGCTGCAAGTCTTGCTGATATCGATTGGTACGAGGGTACATTTAAAATTCCTTTTTCCTTGAAATATTTACCGAAAGCTTTTGAAAATTCACATTTAATGCAATTTTGCGTTTTAATGCCAAGCTGTAATGATGGAATGTTCGGCCGTTGTTGCTGCAGCAGTCTTTGTGCATCCAACGATATTTGCAACTTAATGATAGCTTTTTCCATCATTGTGATAAACCATTATATCTAGACACTGTTTATAAGTCCACACTTTTGTTTCGGTCGCTAACATCTCGACATATCAGTCCGTCATAAGGTTTGCTTTCATATCAGTCCGTCATTTACAAATAACTCAATGTACAGTAGCTTTATCTGGAATAAAGCTAATATTGAACGACGAAAAAGATATCATTCCTGGAGCCGAAAGAAGGGTGACTGAAACTTTGCTTTAAACGGATAACATACAGTCGTGAAGTCATTCATTTAAATCCCCATTTCTACTTCTATGAACAAATTTAGAATATTTCTGTTCAAACATCGTTTCTTTATAACCTATTTGCGCATTACCAAAAATTTGAAGAGGTGCTGCTGAAAACATCATTCAAGACTTGGTAAGCAAATTGGCCTTGGAAAGTCTCTGATATTTCAGGCAGTGCCGCTCATTGCAAAGAAACTAGGCTTTTTAGTGAAATGTAGTTAATAAGGAGCAGGAACACCGCAATACGCCGAGAATAAACAACAACAAACACACGTAAATCAGTGAAGGCTAATATTTCGCCCCGGCATACGGGGCTTCATCAAAGCAAAAACATTCTTTTTGTACAAAATTTATCAATGATTAGCATTTTATAAATGCATTGTGCCAACTTTAATTTCATGCTTCGCACATGCTTTTGTTCCCTAATGGCGTTTTACACCTGATTTGATTGGATTCTTAGGCAGAAAAGTCTTGTCGACTTTATAGAGCTATATAAAATACATTTGCGTTAAGATTTCCAAAAACTCGGCTGACTACTGAGTACCGTTGTTATTTATCCGACAGTTTGGTTTACAGGCCTAGTTTCCTTCCAGTCTGTTAGATTGACCAGGGGCGGATCCAGCAAAAAATCTGACTGAGTTCCAGGCCAAGGTCAAGGTCTTTCATGTAATGCATTGATAATTGTGCCTAAGACAACATTATTATTCACATGTTTGCATTTTGGTAGGGGGGGGGGTGGGGGTTGGTAGGTGCTAGCCACTCGCTAAATCTAGATTATAGATTTTTTTCCGACTGAGAACAGTGCCTCTGTGAAAATTTCTGCAAACCCTTCCCTTTCTAAATACCCTCTTGTTTGTCTTGGATGCCACAGCAAAGTTTTCCCTTTTGTTTTACTCTATTTTGTTGTTTTGCCCATGTAGACACCAGCCTATTTTTCAAAATATGGTGTTCCGTCTGACCATAGGTCACTCTTGTCATCAGCGACTGCAATTTAAAATAAAGGTAGTTAATGCTCTTGGAAAATTAACGATACTTCCTGGTTTTATCTCAAAAATAAGACATCTGCAGTCGCCATTTCGAATTCAAAGTTTTGCAGTTCTACAACAGATTAGAAACAATAGGTAGCCAATCAACTACGGGCTATTGTACAGCTCTCTTACAAATATGGTATCATTTCCGAGTTCCAGATGCTGTTTTGACTGAGTTCCATGCGTCTTCCAAACAAAAATTTCATTGTTTCAATTCATTGACTTCCGAGGCACAAAACGTTTATTTCTGAGTTCTAGGATTGACTGCTGTTGTCCTCCACAGCGTCTGGAAATTCGTTTCAAAATCACAACACAGAAGAAGGAAGGAGAGGGCAAACGAATGACATCAAACTGGCAATTTTAAGATTTTGAAGAGACTGCGATAAAACTTACAATTTCTAGGTTTTACTTTTTTAGCCTAAATATTACTTATTTCAGGCAACACTATTTTTAGCTATATGTTGGAAAACTGACTGAGTTCTGTGCACCAAGGAACTCACTCTGGATCCGCCTCTGTTGACTAAGGGTCTTTCAAATAAGTCCACCGGAACGATGTCAGGGCACACTGAACCAGACTCTCTTATTTTATGTAAAGTGAGTCTGGTACCCAGGGTAGGTCTTCCAGAAAGAGCAGTTTCAAGGAAAAAAGTTATGGCCAGGGAAATGGCTCCTGATGAAATCGCCGACCCTGTTTTCTGTTAAAGTTTGTATCGAGTTAAACTATATAAGAAAGGGTGCCCAGGAGTGCTCGGCCCCCTTCTACCTCTCGAAGAAGGGCTGGGCCCCCTCTTTTTCTGAATAATTTGAAAATGATATGACTAATTTTTGCCTAAATGACCATATTTTATCAAACCAATAATCGTTTTTGCTTACCCAGCACTCCATTCCTTACAAGCAAAGAAGTGAAAGCGTAAGAAACCAAACTAACGGAAACATTTGCACTCTTTTCTTTTACAAGAACCAGTAAGTTTCTTAAATTTTACAAGAACAAGTTCTTAATTTTTTTCGAAAATCTGTGGCTGGATTGTTCTTAATTTGTTCTTAAATTAAGAGGGTGTAAGCAGTGCTATTGCTAGCTTTTTCGCTCTAAGGAGGTATTGAGGCCTCATTTGCCAACAAAGTGAGTGAGATAGCCTTTATTTGCTGACAAATTTGAATATTCACCGAAAAAGCACCCACACATCGCTAAAAATCCTCGATTTTGAAAAACGTTGTTCAAAATTGCATTTTGCAGAAGCTCAGCCTCAGCTTGTTCTTAATTTGTTCTTAACTTTTGACAAGTTTTTAGGCTCGTGTTCTTATAAAATTGTTCTTTTAAAAAGAGAGTGTATTATGAATAAAAAATAGAGGAAATAATATGCCCTCCCTCCTCTACATTATTTGGCTCCACACCACTGACACCAACCCCAAAAAGAGAAATGTGGTCCCTAGAAAGAGGCAGCACGATTGACTTTGGTGAATAAAGGGTCCTGAGAGAGATCTCCCCGGCCCTTCTTTGACAGCTAATCCGCGCCTGAAATGTTGATGAGAGTTCTTGAATGTCAAAAAAATATCTTCTGCGCATGCTTGTACAGTATACCGTTTTCCGTTTTCCGCCCATACCGCGAAAAGGAAATCCGCCTTTAATCTGAAAATTCAGTCATTTCTGCTAGGTTCTAGATTTAATTTTAGTAAACACGTTTTAAAACAGTGAAAGCTGCAACTCATCCTTATGTGATAAAGAGGCATCGAACTTAAATTAGTTTAAAAGAGATAAAAATGCTTGTTCAGAGCTTTGTTTATTAAATTTTGATATATTGACCTAGAGCATGGAATGTTTGGTTAGGTAAACCATTTTGTACAATCAAAATATACAAAAATGTACACTTTCGCTCCTTGACAATAACCAGGCGAGCTGTAACAATGACCTAGGTGACAACAAGGTGATAAGAATATTTCCTGTCATTTTAAGACATCGAATGAACCAGACTCATTCTTCATGAAGTATAAAGTTTTCAAGTTGGTTCATCTAATCGTGAACGGCAATCACACGCAATTTTATTAAAAAGTGCTGTATAAAGAAAATAGTACTCGAACAGTCAACGATATAAAGAATACTGGATGGAAAACTGCTTAGGAACATGCAAATTGTTTTTTATCTGAATAAAAGATTTAGACACCCTTCATATTGTGATTAAAGTTTTTGTTGAATGGATACTTTAGAAAGTGTAAATGGTACTTGAGTAAATATTTTTAGTGCTGAGCTTTGTGCGTGCAATGCCTGTAATTTTAAAATCCGGTAATCCCTGTTGCTTTCGGCACTCACGGTCTCGGGCAGTATCCACCCACGTTTTTCCCAGAATTCGATTTACTAATTCCTCGAAATCCGTTGAAAACTCGAGATGTTTCTTTTGAGGGCAAAAAACTGGCAAGAAGCCACCGTTACGAAAAATGCTGCTTGAGAAAGTTGCTTGTCCAAAAATTTTAAAATGGATAGAAGATACTAAAAAAGGATTTTCAAAGAGTATGAAGGGCGTGGCCGAGGAAATATGTTTTTGTCCACCCCAGTTTTTTCGAGCTGGCGACGTCACTGGTCTCGGATAGTAAGGACCAAAGGATTCGAAACTGATTGCCTCGCGAGTTGTTGCACCTGAACATCGGAATTTTCTCAGGTGATTTGCAACTCAGTTAAACGGTCCAAAATGTTCAAAATTATATATGAATTGCACATAAAGTTTTATTTAAATTTTCAAGGAAAAAGTTTCATTACGTTATTCATTTGGTTTTGATTACGTTAGCTATCAATTTTGATAAGCTTCTCATTCTATGCAATTGTATATAGTAGACTAAATAACTTCGTAAATCGATATGGAATAAATGATGATCAAGATGCAAAAATTTTATGAAAGAAAATGTTTGGAAAACACTAGCCTCGTTTCAAATGCGAACCTCTCTCGGATCGGACAAGAAAAAATGGATGGTTGTTTTAGTGCTTAACACTACACGAAGAAAGTTTATATTTTTGTTAATATCTTGTGGAGATTTAAAGTGTTTCCAAAATGCTTTCCTCACGTCAACCGATAAAGGTCCTGTCAAAAAATCTGCGAAAGATGAAGGTGAGTGGTCAAGCATTGTTTCATGAACGTACCTTATTTACGTTAGAAGTAATAGTGTGGTGTTGCTCTTTTTTTGCTTTTTTTGAAATAAAATTTTCAAAAGACTGTTACCAACGTAAAAAAAGAATATATACCATTGAAAGCTTTCCACTAGTGTGCTTTATATTCCTTTAGGACCCAAGAAGATTAATATTCGAAAGCAGTTTCTTAAAATTAGCATGCATGTTGAGCACTGATTGTTTTCATTGACGAAATTTAGGCTGGTTGCCCTCGTGGTGCACACAAAAATTCCAACTAAATACATATTCCACACAACAACAAACAAAACAACGAAAGCAATGTTTATATTGGTATTATATATATAAGATATTATTATATTTCTAAAGTGCCCGGACTGCAGAGTATGGCAGTTTCCAACGAGATCTGGGGTGTGCTAGAGCAAATTTTCAAGTGTACAAGTGTGCTCTTCTTTTGTTTGCAAAACTGTGCTAGAGCCCAAGGATAATCAATTAAGAAGCTAAAATGAACTAAGATAAGTAATATACATGATTGATAATTATTCTGTTTGAACCATTTTGAGATTGTGTTGATCTTGAAGAAACTTAATTTTTCATTTGCCTTTGGCAATCATACACACCCATGTAACATTTAGATCTCCAAATGCCACACCCTTTACCAGGTGTGCAAGGACAGTTTAGAAAAATATCTTAAGCTGGGTCAGCAGAATATTTGGTCAGCCAAAAATTTGGCCTGCTTTTGAAGCCAGCCACAAATGAGGTCACTTTGGTTTCTGTTTACACAAGGCCACTCAAGTGACCTAATTATTATGGCTTGCACAATGTGTCAAAAGCTTGTTGCCAAAAATCATTGTAAGCAAAGAGCTATCAAAACAACTTCTGCCATTCTCTGTTCTCGTGTGCTCTCTTCGCAAAGCTCTGTTTAGAGGATGGCTGACATAACTGTTAGCAATGATTGGAAATTTGCAATCTTTGCTTTGCTTTTGAATCTTTCGACTAAATTTTTCGATTCACCAATTAATGTTCTCTCTTTCTCAAACTGTTTTATCTAACCCTCTTGTTTCTTACTCCATTCTGATACCAAATGATTTTGACCCTGTTATTTTCTAAAAGCCAATCAGAATACTTTGAGCAAGCAACAGGTGAACCAAGAGGGCGATCTCCAGCCAATCAACATTGGTCTCGTTAAACACTTTCTGATTTTTCTAAATTTTTATTCATTATTACATGAAAATAATTTTCATTTGAACATAGAAAAAACGAGGAAATTGTAGCAAAAGTTTTGTTTGCACAGACTTTTAAGTTACTTGCTTATTGGTTCAGGGAAAGCACTTGGAAAACTTGTCAGGATATATATTTCTTTGTAAACAAAAGTCAAGAACAGCCAAAAACTGTAGAAAAGATGTCAAGAGCTATTTTCACATACTGTTTATTAGATGGTAGATTTAAGCAGGTCTCATTTGACCACTTGACTGGGTCTTTCTGTTCCATTGCCTGCCTCATCAGCTTTTAAATTTTGGCATGAGCACACACAAGATTTTTTGCCCTTAAAGCTCCAGCATACCAGTTAGGTTTTGCTTAGTGCAAGCCAAATTGGTGTAAATGGACTTGCTCAGAAAGATATAAAACACAAATTACTTTTTTAAAAATAAAATGTTATACCCTATAATCTTGCATATAGGCGCCACTCTTGTATATAGGCGCCACTCTTGTATATAGGCGCCAGCGTTTCTATCCGGATAAAGGCACCGTGGTGCCTATATCCGGCCCGGTTTTTTGAATATCATATTTCTTACCGTATATTGACAGAGAAATAACATAAAGGGATTTTCATATAGAAGATTCAATTATTTTCACTTAGTCTTTCACATATATCTTTAATAATTGGTTCTACTTTAAATAGATTATGTTCTGACACCTTGACAGTCACTAAACAAGGGACCTCCAGCCCCTTTCCTCTTTTGTTCTCTCGTTTTCCTGTCACGCAAACTTTAATGGAGCCACCGGACAGCAAAATGAGGGTGCAAGTTTTAGAAAATAGTCGTGGAATGTGTCCTACAATTTCACCATTTTTCAGAACTTTCGCGGTATATTGATCGTGTGCTCGTGTTTCTGATTGGCCTATTTCGATCCACAACTGGGTATATATATTTCCTAGCGTAGAGTTTTGGATCTATGTTCTGACGTTTTAAACTCTGAAGAGTGTCAGACAAAAAGCTTTAGTTTAGTAAATGTTTGCTTTTTTCAAAGCCACCATATATTTATCGTGTTGATTATCAGGCTTTCCTTTACAAGTCAGCTCCACTTGAATATGTGGGGCCCATATAACTTTATATACGTGATGTCCAGTGTTGAAACAGTTAAACTCACACAGGGACGACATTTAGCTGCTCTCGCCATTGCAGAATCATGTAAAAGGAAATATTTACCACAAACGCTGAATTCTAAATATAAACTTTCAAATTTGACCCATAACATCTTAAAAATATTATACTAATGTAATCATAACATTCGAAGGCTCTTAGACCAGGCGAGGAAGGGACGATAATCGTCACCCATCAGGGGAATTTGCCAGACCAGCTCTGTATGGTCATTTTCGATACGCTGATCACAAAAACGGATGTTGTACGGAGAAATTCGGTACAAGGAAGCCTCATTTATTTCACTTTCAAACGTCGTTTATCGTCCAAATTTGAACATTGAACGAAAGTTTGTAAATGAAACGATTTTCATCAATCTCGATTTGCTGATTTCAAAAAGTTATTTCATAAATGTAAATTCAGTACCAGAAAGCCTCTATTTCATGTTCAAACCTCGTTTTTATCAAAATTTTAATGTTGAACAAAAGTTTGTAATTTCTTTATTCTCATCAATTTTGATATACTGGTTTCGAAGGTTGATCTCATACGGCGGAATTCTGAAAGGCGAGCAATAGTTGGTCTTCACACATTCTCGGGCATCGATTATGTGTCCATGATTTCTAAAAAAAGGAAAAAGTCATTCTGAAAAGCAATGTTAAGGCGCAACGAATTCGTGAGCACTTTTGCAAGGCTTGGAATAGATGTCCACCCCATCCAAATGCTATCGAGGTCATGGAGAAGTTAACATGCTTTCTTTACAGTTTTTCAACAACTGTCACCAAGGTCAATGACACCCGCTCAAAGAGTTTCTGGAAGATTTTTGAAAATTAAGGGAAAGTTATTGAACTTAGTTTAATGCAACTGTGTGTTGCCAATCTTATTTGCACAAAGCTACATCAGCTCATGTTGCAAAAATTTACAGAAATGCAGATCAGTTGCAGTTAAGCATTGGCAGTCCAGTTGATCATGGTTGGGATGCAGCCGGTAACGCATCGTGGAGTAAAGACATATACCTAGATAATGTTGCCAAGCTGCTTCTAAATATCAATCAAGATGCTGAAGAAGACAATACTGACTCAATGAATGACAATTGCTTTGAGGATGAGTATAGCAATGACTCTGATGACAACGGAAGCTATAATGTTTATTGAAAACAAGTTTAAATAGTCTGGGCTGTTAGAACATGAATTGTGCAAATTGTGATACCAGCATGAAAATGAGCAGACACAAGCTGAAAAATGCCCCCAAGTGCTATTTTCAGACTGAGGGTAATGGCACCAGTCCTCCTATGGGGCCAATCTCCATATGTCATTAATGATTTGTAAAAAAGTGCAAAAGGAAAGATTTAGGTGCATTATCGTATATTAACATATATTAAGAGAAAAAAGGAAATAAAAATTTCCCCTTGATGCTATTTTTATAATATGATATTGGTACCCATGTCTCTGAATAATTACTCTCTTTTATATGAATATGAAATGTAGCTTTCTCTATTCTTTCAACAAACTGGAAAGTTATACGAAAAGATGTAATTGACAATCTTACCCCTTGATGCTATTTTTAGAATGGGGTACTGGAACCCAGATTTTTTATTTTTATAAAATAATTTTTTGAAATCAGCACATCAAAATTCATAAAATTCAATTCATTTACAAACTTTTGTGTAACGTTCAAATTTGGACGAAAACGAGGTTTGAACGTGAAATAGAACCTTCCTGGCACCGAATTTCTCCGTATAACATCAATTTTCGTAATCAGGGTATTGAAATTGGCCAAACAGAGTGGGTCTTGCAAATTCCCTCGATGGGTGAGGATACCCCCCCCCCTTCTTTGCCTGGTCTACCTGGTTCTAATGAAGTACACGACAAGGAAATTATCGTAGAACTATAGCATTGTGTTTTTAATCTGCAAAATTTCTACTGTCAAGATGTTTCTTAGTATAAGCTGTGATGCAAAATGACTTTTTTGCGATTTAAAGTGATTTTGTTGCCAAAAAATTATAGGTGCCTGACCCCTAACGCAGCTCTATTTTCTAGACTTGAAAACCCAGAAGTTTGAATGTAATAATTTCGCCGGCGCCTTTATGCAAGACTATAGGGTGCACGATATTTTGTATTATTTTCCACTAGAGTCTCTAATTTATATTGTACAGTTTTTTACTTATGAATTCAAATGATCCAGATTAATTGAATATAGTGACAGACACTTCATTGGGTTTTTGCAGAGTAGTATGAAAAAGCAGGGAAACTAAAATTTGTGACTGCACCCCCAGCACACTTGAAATATTAGGGCAATGCCCATTTAGATGAATATATTTATGTTATCTATTAGAAAAGCAAATTTTTTTTAACAAACAATGCTGTTCATAAAATTAGTAAAATGGTATTCCCAAATTGTTACCACCAAAAAGTATATTTTTTGGTGCATACCAGCACAACAGAATATCTAGTTGTGTACACCAATACACCAGGTGTTTTGCCCGTGTGCACCAGAGATGTAGTTGAGCAGTGTCATACTCAGCAAATTGTTTCCCTGTTACAGATCATTCCAATGGTTTTTTCAGTTTCTAAATTCAAAATTGTAGGCTAAAATTTTCTTTAATTTTTTTATATTATTTGGTATAAACACTTCTGTGCATTCTATTTGTTGCCAAAATATAAGAATCATCAATTCGGTAAGTCATGTAGAACAATTAAACTTCTATGGTTTTGTGAAAGCATACAGCTAGTCAATTTTATGTGGTTCTATCTTTCCATTTTTAGTTTATGCAGAAACAACAAGATGAGCTTTTAGCAGAAAACCAGAAAAAAGAGTATGATATGCAGCTTTCCAAAGAGCATTGGTTTGTTGAAGATATGATTGACATAGATCTAAGGTAGGCATTTGGCTGTTCATTCTTTATTGTTCACTGCTTTGGATCAGTGTTGCACAGTGGATGCCAAATAAAATCTGTGCAGAATTGTTATGACAAAATTGAAGGGCACTTGCAACTGTTCTCTATCCTTTTTTGTCTTTCACTCTCTCATTTTTGCAGAACTGCTCCCGAGACTGAATCAAGTTTTGTCATTTGTGAGGACTTGTTGTCAGTTGGAAGAATGTCATTCAGAAATTTCAACCCAAAAATTGAGGTACTGCCACTTTCAAGATAATTTTGTCTCTTTTTACATTTGTCAATCATTTTCAACTGTCCTCAAGTCTTATAACACCTATCTTTTTCTATTTTTTGATTTTATCTGAAAAGAAAGTCAGTCAATAAAACAATAATGAAATTTTATTTTCAATAACAATAGTCAGCTGTGTTTCAGTTGATTATGAACCTGTATTTTAGGTTGCAAGTGAAACTCAGTACACTAATGGCTGCTACCACAGTGGTATCAAGTTGATCTGTGGTGATAGGTGTGTTGTAATAGGTATATTTTGATAGGTGTGTTTTGATAGGTCTGTTTTGATAGGTGTGTTTTGATAGGTGTGTTGTGATAGAAATGGCAACAGTGGTTTGGTGGTCTTTTGATTTATATAGTGGACCATCTAAAGTTTTAAATCTGTCCTGATTCCCCAAAAGACAACATAGAAATCACGATTTTCAAAGTATGCAATGTCTATGTATTTTAAAAATTGCCTTTATGGAGAAATCGTTTTTTTAGTCTTTGTACTTTTAGTAGTGTACAAGGAAGAATATATTGTACAATATATTGCTTCAAACAGGAACCAAAACGAAACTCCAGTGAATGATTTCCTGTAGTTGTTTTCAAATATAGTGCTGTTCATATAGGTGCTGCATAGAAATTTCAAAAGTCTACTTTTTTGTAATTATTTGCACAAAGTAGAAACCTTGAAATACTTAGTTGATGATGGAAAGTCATCAACAATATATGTAAACTGTGGAGGATTTGATTGCTTGAAGTTTATCAATTGTTGATTTGTGACCAATCCACAATCAAAAATGTTTCATACAACTGTCAAAGTTACTAATTTGCACCAATTGGTATCAACACTATTCATCATGTAGCCCCCATCAGTAAAAAGCATTTGTTTAGAAAAGTATATTTCAAGCATCATCATCCAAGCCTCTATAGAAAACACAAACCTTAAATAGTACTGAAACATTTTGAATGCAGAAGAAACATAATGTGTGCATATGTATGATGAATGTATGAAGATACATAATGAAAAATGAAAATTTTTATACCGACATTTAATACTGAATAAAATCCACAGAACATATATTAGATCCCTTCTTCGTTTGTGTTGTATTTCCTCCTTTGCAGCTATTCTTCCTAGAAGAATTCAGGAAAACCCATGAAAATTTACGCATTGTATTTGAAATATTTACCTTTCGAATTACGTTTGTTCAGGCTCTCTGCATACCCCAAGTCCAATAGACCACACTGCTTTTATTTAATCGTGGTTTTGCAATGATGAAAACTGAAGTTTTTGATTTCCTCGCAATTCTTTTCCTCTCCTTGAAAATTAAGATTTTGATTTTGTTACCTAAAGCTGGGAAAATATTAGTTGAAAACTTGCTTATAATCCCACAGTTCGATGCACTTGATGCCTTTTTCCATTTAAAATAAATTGTTGATAAACATCGGCTAGCATTTGAATGTACGTCCATTTGGTCCTTCTATCTCAAAATTTAGCAGTTTGTCTCAGATGGATATCAAGGAATATGCGCTGAAATGGATTTTTTTTATTTCCGCGACAGTTTACATATAACACACGTAGGTTACAAGACGATGCCGCAGATGGTATGGAAATAATAGCAACAAAACAATTCAACACTAAATATAAATCTAAATATTAAAGATTGCATTTCAATAGTTAATTGAGAGACCACATGCCCTCAGAGTAAGATGATTCCTAGTTCAATATGCTATTTGAGATTTAAATTTCAGTATCGTTTCTCTTTAGAAGCTGTACTCTGGGTTATTAAGTAAGCATTCTGACCACGACAAAGACGCAGAAAGCGGTGAAGAAGACGTTTCTGTTGCAGAAATGGCTGACAGGTTTGTCTGCCCCTCTACCCTTTGTTTAAGTCAGTCTTGTCATTATTGCTAACAGTTGGGTTGGACCGTAGATTATTAGGATTTTATTGTAAATGATTGTCGTTGTAAATTTTATGAGAATATAAAAAAAAGATTATACGTTGAATTGCATATCAAAAAACATTTTTTCGGCTAGAAATTTTAAAACATTCGCTGCTCATAAACTCTGTTCCGATTCTTTCTCTTCTCCATTTGTATTCACTGTCTGTAGTCATCTTTATCTCCCCGTTTGTATTTGTCATCTTTATCTCCCCGTTTGTATTTGTCATCTTTATCTCTCTATTTATGTTAGTCATCTCTATCTACTCCTTTTCATTCCCATTTAAAATTCGGAAATGTTCCTGTTAGTAAAATCCCAGTTGCTCTTGTCTCACCTCTCGCCCTTTTGTTCCACCGATATGCGCAGACCTTTATTATCGAGTCTTCGCTTTCATCTCTATGTGCTTTTATTAGCATTGCTACGTTTTCTTCTTTAGATATGATTCACTTGTCGATAGTATCGGGAAAAAGTTTTCAAGAAAGCGAAAGCACCAACAACATGAACATTGTCGTGATCCAGACCAAACGATTTCAACCACCAGTAAGCCTAAGAAAATTAAGCGAGTGTTTAAGAAGCCAAAGATGGAATAAACGTGCGCAGATGGAACAAAAATGATAATGCTTCCTTCAATTAAACAAAGTTTTTTTGAGATTAAACGGATATTATTCTAAAGACGACAATATTGATCTTCTTTGGTTGCGATGTACAAGAAAGATGGCTGTTATCATCTGGGTCTTCTAAGTTACGTGTGATTAACTGGGTGTTGATCCGATCTTAGGTATAAATTTGTTAGTTATTTTATCATTTTGTTATAAAGCAAAAAAGTTGCAATTTTTAATGATAAGAGGTCGGTCATTTTGATGAGCCAGACGGGGAAAGTATAAATATATTTTTCCTTCATTGATTGAATTTGTACAAGGTATTCTTGATTTAACTCAACTTGAAATTTGCATGTTTGCTTAAAAGTGTCATTTCCACACCAACTCATTCAAAATACAGATGCATATTTATTTGTGTTGTTTTTTAAGTTATTATTCTTTTCAAAAACAAGTTAAAATCACATGAGTTTGAAGCCTTTACCTCGATTCAGTAACTTTTAGCCTATATATCCAAACTTCATTTTACCAGACACTCTTCACAAATCTTGAAGCTAAACGTGCATCCGTACCAAAACTTTCATAATTCATTCGAACCTTTGAAAAATAAATTATTATTTTAAGCCTCGATGTAGGCAAATTAAGATTAAATGTACCTATTTGACATGAATGATAAAGTTTCAATTAAGCTTAAATTTTCAATCTAAATTTGGAGCGATAATGTGCAAATTTGATGACGTAGTAGGACTACGTCATCAAAGGGTTTGCAGCATGATGAATTGGTGCGATTGTGCTTGAATTGTTGGGCAAATTTTAGATAAAGCTTTGTCAGAAAAATTGCAACAGACGGTGCAAACCTACTTTTTGAATCAAGACTATCTCATGCATATATCTAGCTAACATAGAAGCTAGACTGAAATTGAATATTGTACACTTGAAGTGTAAATAATAAATGGTCAATGTCATACTTCAAAGACAGAGTAATAATAAGATGTGAGCCTAATTGAAATTCAATCGTTCCCTGCCTGCCGCTAAATCTCTTGCTCAATTTTTTGGCTTGATAGGCCCATTTATGGATGATTCCTATTACTTGAATCAATCTGAGTAGTTTTAGGTGTTTTGTCTCGTTTTCACCGCTGCTGAAGGGGCACTACAATAACCAACTTAATCGGGCCATGGCAACAGAATGGTTGCCAAAGAGACTATGTTGACGAACTGAGGTGACGTATACTACACGCACCTGCGTACAGTCAGCCTAACTTGCCAAAGGATTTGATCTCATAACTATGAACTGTTAGCTGTATACTTTTTTAAAACAAAAGTGAAATACAACTAGTAAACAAATTTAATTCCTTTGCCTGTGCGACATAGTGAAACTCTAATTTTACCATCAGGTACGCACTTAATGCAACACTTCTTTTATAATGTGATTTAAAGATAGCAAGACTGTTGAGCCTTCGCTCCCAGTTTAATCCGTCTGTTGGCACCTGCCACTTCACGTAATGATTCCAAATTCCACAATATGAAAAATTATTCAATGAGATAAAAAGTGAACTTTTCTTTTGTTGTCTGTCATAGTAAGAATTTCGATGCCATCCGCGCTTTCACCATATGCTGTTGGTTTAATGCAAACTTAACAAACACACAATACTACCACTTGATCAATATAGCGGAAAGTCTATTACAGAAATCGATGTTAGCGTTCTTAATTGGATGGCGTTAGTTTACTTTTCGTGCCTATTGACAATTAAGTTGGATGGTGATTGTAGGGTATTACTAATACAGACAGAATTAAGCAAGATAATTTGGTTTAGAGAAGTGGTAATTCACGGCTGTAATGACGCAATTATTGGTTTGTGGTTTAAGAAAATACTTGCAATTGCGTTAAATACTGTGTTCTAGCGGGAAAAGCGAATGGTATACATTGAAACTGTAAAATTAAATTACGACATTGGATTCATGCAATAAAACCAGCAGCAATGAAATTAAATTCTGTGCATTCAAGTCATGCGCTCTGAAATCCAGATTAAAGTTGCATACTTCAAAGTGAGAGTTTTACATCTATTATTAAAGGAACATTTCATTGAGGTTGCTTAGGCTTGGAATTAATTAACAAAGAAAGAAGTAACGCGAAAGCGCCAGCTGATGAATTCAACTAGACATTGGAAACGAGATAAGCTATCGACGAATACCTGCATTATGTTTGAATTATTGACGCAACTGGGAATCTGTAGAAACCTATTCTGATCTGATCACAATCGAACAACCTGCTTTTCCTCGAGTTAAGCGACAATCTGCAAAGCAATCTCGTACGGTTCAAAGCTGCATAGTTCTACAATACTACAAAGTTGAAGAAGCAAAGACCTCAAGGTTATTTTCAATGTTTTATTTCTTTCTCCTATCGTTATGTCTGCTAGATTCTTTTTTAACGAAATCATACAGTATGACCAGTCATGATCGTGCTCTCGTGATTACTTTGCCTATGAATTGTTAAGTACCGGTGTGTTTATCATATCAAACATACAGAATACGACTTTGTTATTTCAAAATGTAAAAAAGGTCATCCTGTGATACGGAAAGCTCAATGCACTGCTCCTAAGACCTAAGATGCTTAAACCAACATACATGCCTCTTATGGCTTCGAAACCAAACGATCATGATCATTTGAAGTAGATAGCGTCCAGATCTTCATCCCAAAATTCTGAGCAGTTGTTGCCAATTGCCACATTTTATGTAAATTTGATTCAAAGCTCAAGTCGTTGTCGCCTTTCGTGTGTAGGCAAATTACAGACCAAAGCAGCCTTAACTGGTATGAAGAGTTCATATTCTCGCTTGCAAACAATTTTTGCTTACAAATCAATACAGAGAATTTTACACTCGAAGAAGTAAAAAAAATTTGAGAGATTTATACAAAGTCACTTCGTATCACAGAAAGACAGAAGACCGTTCTTGACATTCTTTTTATACACATTGTCACAATGCTGCTGTACCATTTGTAAAGAAAAATCAGTATTTAGAAAATGGAGCTAGAGGCCTTTGAATTTGTCTAATGTAGATTGAGAACATATTCATGATGTGTATAAACGGGCAATCTCGAAAATTTGAATGATTGGTACTAGCAAGATACATTTATCCTGGTACTAGAATATTCATTATAATTGCTAAGGAATTTAATTGAAATGCGATGTACGTCAATAAGGCGATTTTATCATGAATTGCCTTTGTTGAAATTAGGATTGGGAGGTAATGAACTTACGTAACTACTCTTTCATTCAATTGCGGGCATTCATTGCCGCTAGAGAGATAATAAATCGAGCTGGTAGCAAACTACTAAGCTATGTCTATGGTGTAATATGAGGCATTTAGAAGCGATCAAGACTTTTGCCACAAACATATAGCACTCATGTTGCATTCCTATTGCACAAAATGTTTTCTAGTCAGGTCACCTTGTCATACGACAAAATCGATCAAAACTTTGTACACAGACAGTTTGGTATGGCCAAACTATCAACCATTATCATATGACATTCGTATTTCATAAATGTTATACAAAATGCTTTCTTGTCTGGTCACCTTGCCATACGATAAATAGATCAAAACTTTGCAACATAGACGTTTAGGTACGTTTGGTACATCCAAACAATGGGCTATTGTCATATGACATAATATTGATGAACTGAAATTGTTTTTATTGGTATCTGTGAAATGAAATCAAAATGGCATACGTTTTCTGTCAATATATATATGTTTTTCAACTTGCTGTGTTAATTCACCGTGGATGGAAATGTCTATATCTCCATGTGAATTATATCTACATTCAACCGAACTGTCCAACGACAACATGCAAAACTAGAAAACATATTATGGAATCTAAGAATACATCAAGTCAAGGCTCCGCTACCAATTTCTATTTAACTTCATGCTTAGAGTCTTTCTTCACTGGACTTACGCAGTTATAACCGCACTATCGATATCATTTTCAGCGAAAACAGCATTTAGTTTCTATTGAAAGACGCGTCAATCCCAGAGGCAACCCGGGAAAAAACAACAAAATCCGTAGTAATAAGACAAAGTTGAAATTGTGGTCGATACCACAAAGCTAAAAATTTTATAGAATATCTCTTCCTAAGAGGTTCATGTAAGAATACCTTTAAGAGAAGGCAAAGAATGTAGAAAATAGCGGAACGCAGTTGTTGATAGCAAGAAAGCAGTTTTAGCTGCACCCTAACTTGGTACGATATTTATATATATATATATATATTTATAATATAGATAAGTTTTTTAATTTTTACTTTCAGCTCTAAAAGCAACACTAAATTACCATCAATCAGAAATACCATATCATTAAGCGGAAAACTAATATTTCTAGAAATTATTACCAAGTAGAAATAAGTTAGGCAAATTTATATTAAGCCAGAGATAAATATTTTACACAATCTACAGTCACTCTGTTTTTTGGCTCATTTGATCTTTCAATGACTGGGAATCTATGATCCAAGTGTCTCACAAATTTTTAAGAAGGGTTGCCAAATTGAAATATGCAAAAGGCCAAACGGATGACAAACTCAACAACAAACCCAAATACAACAAATTCGCAAATAACACCGCGCAAGCATTGTCTATTTTTACACGCATGACTCGTTGCAAACCTAATGATAATAATTTTCCAAACTCAAATAAGAAACTGAAAAACTTTCGCCATAAAAAAATTCATACGCTGATAATTAGGTTAGGCTATAATATTGATATTTGGGTTCAAATTGTGTAGCACTACTCCTCCATTTAATCTTTTTGTTTTTAGGATGTTAAAGTTTAGATTAAGCAAAGGAAAATTCTAAAAATTTCCAAAGGCAAAATGTCAAATTCAAGTAGTATGCCGGAAACAAAATGTTTCAGGCAATTTGACTCTGAATAGAGCCAAAGTCGAAAACTTTCGTTTGAAAAAAGCAAATCTGACAACCCTGTTTTTAAGCCATTAGAAGCCATTCTAGCATTTGAGATATCAAACATGGTCTTTTTTCTCAATACAAATTGTGAAGTTTTTGCTAACAAAACCACTAATGAAACTTGTATATTTATTTTCTGTATTTTTATTGTTATGTTTGTTTCACTTTCAAAAAATTTTGATGTTATATTTGGTTTTTGCATGTTTCTATCATTTAGTACTGTAGATTGCGCTGGTGAACAGATACCGTGTTAGCTCATTTCAACATGGTTCCTTAGTCAGCATTATAATTTTTAGACACAATACTGAGTGCTCCTGCAAGCTTAGATATTAAAGAGATATTGAAATAAAGGGGCAGTAGAGAAGCAGTTGATTAAGAAGCGCAATTATCATGATCCATGAATGAGTTCAAAGTTAATTAAGATGGTACTCTAGCCAGGGTACGAGGACATTGGCAAGCTATTGTGCATGGAATTGAGGTGTGATTATGTAATTAAGATTTTAATTGAAAGCCTCCCCAACAGTTAAAATTCATTAGACCTTTCTTTATTTATATTTCCAGCTGGAGTACCAATATTACCTTTGTTTGTCCCAAAAGTTAAAAAATCACACTTTTCTTCATTAAATTTCTAAATTCTTACAAGAAAATATGTTGAGATGAAAGCATAAATTTTTATCTAACTCTTATCTCTTTATCTATCTATATCTTTGTCTCATTAACAGTAAGCTCAAAATTATAGTTTATCATTAGCAAGATTTTATTTCATTATTGCTATTATCACCAGAAAAATGCATGGTTAATGTATATATTAGTTATAAGAGGACATTAAAGCGATTCTTGTGGCATGCTTACATAGAATTGAAGAATTCTAGATGAACTATCAACGCATACCTGTAACATTTCTCGATGAATATTGAATGCCTAATTGTGCCTTTTATTTTCTTGCTATCAACTGCTTCACTAGAATCATTTATGCCTGTGAGTCGAAAGATTGTTTTTATTTTTATCTGTACAGGAAACTGCACTTCGTAGCCGTTGGGATTTCGAAGTTTCTGCAATGTCACACACAGACCCAAAGAGTCTGGCGAACCTCTACCAACCACTGGATGAGGTCGCGTCCGGATTCTCTCGAACAATCCACGAGCTTTGCTCCTCAAGATGGTTCTGTTTTGAAGATTTCAAACAGCATGAAATTCTATTGTCCGAAGCCTATGTACTTCTTTGGCAGAACTCAGAAACAGGCGATATTGATGGCCGCAAGGTTGGATTGCCACTCAAAGTCGGGGCATATGCCGCAGTCTTTTTAGACCTAATAATATCTAGGAAAATCGAAGTATATTACCAGCACGACGAAAAGGAGTCAAGGGTTAGAGTGATAGATGACACGGCCACGGGCACCTTTCTCGACGATGCATTGTTTGATGACCTTCGTTTGAAACATCATCGAGTTATTCGACTTTCAAAGTGGTTAGAGAAGGCGGAGGAGTCGGCTTGTGTGGAAATTATTCTCAGTAGTTTAATTCTGAGAGGTATTCTGAAAAAAGAGAAAATAGGATTTCCAGGTCTTAGATTTTTTAGGCGATTTCCAACGACCAACCCAGAGCCAGAAAAAGATCTAATTGCACAGATACGCTCGCTTAATGTTGACGAGGATGGCAAAGTAGATTCTTATATTGTTTCCTTGCTAGCGATATGCCGTGAAGCAGATAATGTGTTTCTGATTTCTGATCCTATCCTAAAGAAATATTTTAATTCTGTAGAATATCCGGAGCTAAAGAAAAAGATTGATAGAATCATAATAGATCTGCTGCGAAGAGGTAGACCCAGAAGCTGGTACAGGCCGAAAAGTAGAAACCTTACTATAGGAAGTTCCCCTGCAGCTTCACCTAGATTCACACCGAGGATCTCGCGACGAAGCTCGTCAATGCACGAAGCACTATCTAAAACTAAATCCAGTGACACATGAGGTACGGGTATATTACAAGCATACAATGGAAATGGAACCAGAACTTTTATAGTCTTTGCCTTTTGATAAAGGTGAGAGTCGGGAAAAATGCCGAACGCTTGAGATTTTTAATAATCAACTCTATGAAGTCGTATTTATTTAAAAATAAGTGATGTCTTATCTTGTATTTATGTATTGTATTACCCACTTTATTTAAAGGATGATGATTCCTAATGATGGAATATTTGTCTATTCGAGGGCATGTAGATTTCTGCATGTGTTGGAATCAATCTCTATTCATCGAAACATTATTTTGCTAGGAAAAGATCGTCGCATCGGCATTCGGTTCGAAGTCTTCGTTTGGTATTGCAGTAACGGTTCGAAGTCTTCCTCTTTACACATTCTATTCTGATTGCCGATCCAGGATGGGAATCTTTCTGAATCTTTATGAACATTTTCTAATGATTTTTAAAAGAAAAATCATTTCCTTCCGTAAAACAAAAAAATTATTTTAAAAAAATACAATTTAGTAAGAGATTCTACAAGTAATTGATGTAATTTAATTCCTGAATGGAAAGTAAAGACTTTGAATACGAGAATCTTGTCCCAGACCGTAAGAAGTTGCATTGGTTGATTAAAATCAAATCGGGCGTCGTCTTCAAATTTTACGATGCAAAGCTTTGCAAGATCTATGAAATTAAAAACCTTTTTAGGAACACTTTTAGACTGCTTTATCAAAACTAAAAGTCATTTGAAAAAACCCCGTCATCCAAGTATTCGCTTCCGACGAGTTCAGAACGATTGATTTAAAAGCCAAAAAGTAGAAATAAACGAGTAGCAAAAAGAACAATTTCGGCCACTCTAAGGTATACACTTGTCTTACATAAAAATCTTTTACATCAGAATGGACTATTTTAACAAAAAGATTCCGGCCAAGTGATACAAAGGGGGACGACATAAGAATGCAGATGCCGGTTTGCGGTGCCCACAGATAATATGAAGTTTCATTAAACTTTGATTGTCACCATATACGCTACTTGAAAGCACAGTTCATGCTTTTGAGCTCCTGTTTCAAGACATTGTGCAGGAAACTTCAAGAGCTTCAGGGACTGGCAAAGAACAGAGGAGAACAAGTTTTCAAGGAATTTATCAGAAATTTAAAAATGAAGTAACAACAAAATTTAGCTTTCAGAGTCAAAGTTTTGAAAAGATCAATTTAACGATGCATCTTTAAACATATAATTTTGGAAAGTAGTTCAAAAGCTTCAAAGGAAGCACAAAGATAGCAGAATTGGGTTCACAAAGAGATGGTGATCAAAACATGGTTGTTGATTATTATAACAAAGGAAGCCTAAATGAATTGATAATTTGTACTAGTACCAGCAGGAGGATCGCACTAACATTTTTAGGGTCCCCGGACCAAGCATAGATGGGGCCTCCCTATCAACAAATGTGAAAGTCCGAGAATTTTTTTGTAGAAAACTGAGATCAAAGGAATTTTATGAGTTGTTGCAAAGTTGGTCGAAAGCTGTTTTCTTTGCCTCTTTATCTACCAAAAATTCAACTAATGAATCAAACAAATACGTTTATTTTTAGTATATGAAAAATTAGAATTTTTTGCTAAATCTTTTATCATTTAGTATGCCTCCTTAATCATAACCAAACGTCTAGATTCACTTGCTTCCCATGATTGTCGCCGAAGAGTGAAAAAAAAATTTAAAATGAGAGACTCCATTCGTTGGTAATGCATTCTTTGAAGCAACTTAACCTTAGTACTGTAAATATTGAGGCCCTATAAGGCGGGGAGAGGGAATGACATTATTTTTTATTTCATGATGATATCTTGCCATTATTTCATTTTTCAAAATTACCAAAGGAAAATATGTTAAAATTGTCAAATGTTCCATTTCTGCTCCCAAAATATAAATTTTTTAATAGGTGTCAGACATACGAGTCTTCAAAACCAACCTTTGCATTGAAAAATGTTGAAAATGTATATATGTTGAAGTGTTGAAATAGCAAAATTGTTCCATACTTGGGTAAAAATAGGGAAGTCGTTCTCTTTGGAACTGTTGTGATAATTTGGTACTTTTGAGAGGAATCTAAAGACACCTGAAGGGTGCAGCCTGGAGGGGCCCACAGACATGCCCAGAAGACGCACTGTGCTAGAAGAATTTTTGAATTTTGAATAAAGGGCATCTTCTTTGGCTCTGCTAACCGCCTAGAGCCCTAATAACCAGTAAATTCAGTTGTTCGATCGAGTCTTTATCCTATAGTCATACTGTTAGTATTCATGTACAATCCTAGGTTCAATAGATGGTAAGAAATAATGCAAAAGAAAATTCATGCGAAGTTCAAACTAAATGAAATCAACTCTTACAAAGTTCTCAAGAAGAAATCATTATAAATAGCAGAGATTGACTATATGCTTCTAGATAGTAGGCTTCTTTTTCAAGGGATACTCGTTGTGTTGGAAACCCTTCAGATATAATTCAGATATGATGAATATATATCTGACATTCCAATCCAAGGCTAAACTTCAATTCAAACTGCTAACATAAGGGACAACGGTTCTTCGCGAACTCCAATACCTACTACAAGATCCCAAAATACGTAACGAATAACGAGGTACAGCGCAGTCTTTCTCAAGCGCTGCCTGTCCTAAATAGAAACTGGGCTGCAAGAGCTTTCGCAAGCTTCTTGGGCGAAACGGTTTGCTTCCTTCTAATGTTTAGTCTTACATGTCTGATCTCCATTAATCTCTCTCCGAACCTTCCTAAATCTAATTACTAGCATAAAATGTTACTAAGAATAGACTACGAGATAATTATAAAACTTAGAAGCAGCTGAATACGCAATTTGATGTGATCCTAATGAAGGATAATCCTGCAACAATAGAATAGAATGCTGTGTTATGCTGCATGTGCTGTGTCGCAAAGACGGAACATTCAAGACCCAAGCAGGCACGTAAATAATAGGATGCTCGGGGGTGTGACGCCCCCTAAAAGTTTGATAAAACCAATTTCAGTTGAAAAACTTAACAGATTACTTGGATTTTTTTCTTAAGACCAAATTTATATGTTAGTCTTCACCTCCTTATCATAAGTTGCTATGATAAAGCTGCTGAGAAGCCAGAAGACATTACAGAAGCTGCAGCAGAATTATTTGATCAAATAAGAGTGTTTCATCTTGCGAATGGGGAATATGCACATGCACTTGCTCTCGAATCACCCATTTCATTTGTAAAAAACGAAAAGAAATTTGGCCCCCTAAAAATTGTTTGAAATTTCCTTCGATCAAAAACAAAGATGAACGACTCAATTCCTTGATGCTTTCATATCGTTAAAGAAATATTATAGATAAAATTTATATGCAGCAAATTAGCTTTAACAAAGGCAAAGCAGAAAAAGAAGAATCACTCCTAACTGACTTGAAAGAATATCATTTTTTATCCTTAAACATGTATAGTACTGGTTATACTTCAGTATTCGTGGTTATACTGGTTATACTGGTTAAAGGTCGAAAGGAAAATTACTAAAGTAAAGTTGGAACTTTCATCCTTCTACGCTCCCCCCAAAAATTAGGGAGTTGTTTTCTTCCCTGGATACAAGAGGGATTTTCTAAAATCTACATTAGTAACAAAACATTTTGTCAGATAATTTTTGGCGGATAAACTTTGTCGAAACAAATTTCGGACAATTTTTCAGAATTTCGCCAGGACAAAATTTCGTCGCTTTTAAAGAAATGCTTTTAAAAAGTTTCTACTCTATATCTCTAAGGCATGGAAGTTTATAAAGGGAGCATAATTAAAGTTTTTAGTGTGAATGTAAGCACAAAAAGAAAATGATTCGGAAAGATCTCAAAAAGAAAAGGTTGATCTCGAAATTGTGCTTCCTGTAGAGTTCAGAATTTGGTTGAAAAGTGCAAATACCTTGAACTAATGAAAGAAATAGTACAGTTGAGGTAAAAAGACAGAGATGGAATCCTTTGAAACCGGCGACGAAACACTAGTTAGAACAGTAGTATAGCCAGGGTGGTAAGATTTAGGGGGGGGGAGGGGTTGGGCAAAGGCGAGTTGAGCAGAAAACATTCAGCAAGTCAACCAAAGGAGGTGGCGTCCGCCTCTCGGTACGCCACTGAGTTGGAGCTATTTTTATTGAAAGATGGTGAAAAGGAAAGTTAATCCAAGAACCGACAATGATTTAGATGATGATGATGATGATGATGATGATACCTACGATAAATATAATTATGAAGATTATGTAAATGAGGAATGACGAGAGTTGCAAGGAATAGTTCAAAAGGACACATAAATTTGGCATTTTGACGCAATTGATTTTGTTTATCAAAGAGTATGGTCTCGTTAATCAATCATCGCTTCGATTTTCGAGTAACTGAGGGTACTTTCTTTGATTTTATAGAAGTCAAGTTTTTAGTAATGAGATACCCTCAAATAGTTCAGCACGTTGATCTTTCTGACAGGACCCTCGAGAGGCTTCGGAGACCTTGCAGTAAAACAGAAAGATGAGGCTCCCTGCGAGCGGAGCGAGCAGAAATTTTTTGCGACCTCGCCTTTTAAATTGTCTTAAAATGCGTTTCAGAATATTTTTTGCAGTCATCTCTTGAAATCAATTTAAATATTTGCTTATGGACTAGGGCAGTCTTTTCATGAATGGATGTTAAGTACCAACAGGGAAACACCAAGAAAAAAACTAAAAAAACAGACGCTGGATATGACATGACAATTTTATTGCCACTTTAGGTTGTGATGTTTGCTCACGAATGGCAGTATTCGCCGACATACCACAGGATTTTCCGACATATCGCAGGATTTTCCGAAATATCACAGGATTTTCCGAAGTATCACAGGATTTTCCGACATATCACAGGATTTTCCGAAATATCATAGGATTTTCCGAAATATCACAGGATTTTCCGAAATATTACAGGATTTTCCGAAATATTACAGGATTTTCCGAAATATTACAGGATTTTCCGAAATATCACAGGATTTTCCGAAGTATCACAGGATTTTCCGAAATATTACAGGATTTTCCGAAATATCATAGGATTTTCCGAAATATCACAGGATTTTCCGAAGTATCACAGGATTTTCCGACATATCGCAGGATTTTCCGACATATCGCAGGATTTTCCGAAGTATCACAGGATTTTCCGACATATCGCAGGATTTTCCGAAATATCACAGGATTTTCCGAAGTATCACAGGATTTTCCGACATATCGCAGGATTTTCCGAAATATCACAGGATTTTCCGAAGTATCACAGGATTTTCCGACATATCGCAGGATTTTCCGAAATATCACAGGATTTTCCGAAGTATCACAGGATTTTCCGACATATCGCAGGATTTTCCGAAATATCACAGGATTTTCCGAAGTATCACAGGATTTTCCGACATATCGCAGGATTTTCCGAAATATCACAGGATTTTCCGAAGTATCACAGGATTTTCCGACATATCACAGGATTTTCCGACATATCACAGGATTTTCCGACATATCACAGGATTTTCCAACATATCGCAGGATATTCCGACATATCGCAGGATTTTCCGAAATATCACAGGATTTTCCGACATATCGCAGGATTTTCCGAAATATCACAGGATTTTCCTAAGTATCACAGGATTTCCGACAATATCGTAGGATTTTCCGAATATCACAGGATTTCTGAAAATATCACAGGATTTTCCGAAGTATCACAGGATTTTCGACATATCGCAGGATTTTCCGAATATCACAGGATTTTTCCGAAGTATCACAGGATTTTCCGACATATCGCAGGATTTTCCGAAATATCACAGGATTTTCCGAAGTATCACAGGATTTTCCGACATATCACAGGATTTTCCGACATATCACAGGATTTTCACAGGATTTTCCAACATATCGCAGGATATTCCGACATATCGTAGGATTTTCCGAAATATCACAGGATTTTCCGACATATCACGTAGGATTTTCCGACATATCGTAGGATTTTCCGAAATATCACAGGATTTTCCGACATATCACAGGATATCGTTCCACATATCACAGGATTTTTTATCGTAGGATTTCCGAAATATCACAGAATTTTCCGAAATAACACAGGATATTCCGACATATCACAGGATTTTTCCGAATAATACAGGATTTTTCGAAATATCACAGGATTTTCCGAATACCGCAGGATTTTTTCCTAAATATCACAAGAATTTTCCTACATATCGCAGCATTTTCCGAAATATCACAGGATTTTCCGAAATATCACAGGATTTTCCGACATATCACAGGATTTTCCAACCATATCGCAGGATATTTCCGACATATCGTAGGATTTTCCGAAAATCACAGGATTTTCCGACATATCACAGGATTTTCCGACATATCACAGGATTTTCCGAAATATCACAGGATTTTCCGACATATCACAGGATTTTCCGACATATCACAGGATTTTCCGACATATCACAGGATTTTCCGAAATATCACAGGATTTTCCGACATATCACAGGATTTTCCGACATATCACAGGATTTTCCGACATATCGTAGGATTTTCCGAAATATCACAGAATTTTCCGAAATAACACAGGATTTTCCGACATATCACAGGATTTTCCGACATATCGTAGGATTTTCCGAAATATCACAGGATTTCCGACTTATCACAGGATTTTCCGACATATCACAGGATTTTCCGACATATCACAGGATTTTCCGAAATATCACAGGATTTTCCGACATATCACAGGATTTTCCGACATATCGTAGGATTTTCCGAAATATCACAGAATTTTCCGAAATATCGTAGGATTTTCCGACATATCACAGGATTTTCCAACATATCACAGGATTTGCTTGTCAGTATACCATATTTTCCGACGGTATGCCAGATTTTCCGAAGGTATACCAGATTGGCCGTCGGTAGACCAGTTTTGCCGACGGTATACCAGATTTTCCGACGGTATACAAGATTTGCCGACGGTATAACAGATTTGCCGACGGTATACCAGATTTGCCAACAGTAGACCAGACTTGCCGTCAATTTTTTTCCAGGGGGGTGTGATGCAGAAGCGGACTGGCCCACCGGGACACCGGAAAACTTCCCGGTGCGCCCTTGTCCCAAGTTGCATTTTTAAAAAAACTTGAAAATTTTCAAAGGCAAACAATCTTTGCGAATTGAGTGAAATTAAGATTAATTGCAAGGTTTCCCTAATTTGTCGTTATTGTTTAATGCATTGAAGGCGATCAGCAAATTCTCCATGGTTTTTCGAAATCTTTAAAATAACATATTTGGGTTTTTGACAGCAGTGTCATAATTGTAGCAGCACCGAGAAGGCCTAGTCTCACTACAAACCTGGCTCGCTTGTAATTTTTTCAAGTAAGTCCACAATACTTGCAGTGATTCCATGTCTGTCGAGGATGAAGAAAGGGTGTTTCTAGATGACTCGCAGACGTTTTTGCCAACTGAATAATTACTTTTGCTAACTGAATAATTTGCTAACTAAAATGGGTGGCTGGTGCCTTGCTAATTGATCTCTCAAAAGCGTTTGATTGCAGAGACCATGAGCTATTAATTGCAAAATTAAATGCCTATGGTTTTTGTAAAGATGCTCAACTATTGATTTATAATTACCTGCCCGGTAGAAAATAAAGGCCAAAATTAAATGGTTCATTCAACACTTGGCGAGAAGCCTTTGCAGGTGTACCACAAGGACCAGTCCTTGGGCCTCTTCTATTTACTTTATACATTAATAATTTATTCTTAATGGTAACTGATACTGCAGTATGTAACTTTGCTGATGATACTACGATTTTTGCAGCTGACTGTCAATTGGATAAAGTTTTGGAACGACTACAAACTGATGCTCTTGTTTTATCAAAGTGGTTTTCAGAAAACTTTATGAAATTGAATGCAGGGAAATGTCATCTTCTTACTTTTAGAACAAACCAAAATGACATTAAGATCAAAATCGGCGAGGCCATTGTTGAAGAAAGCTCTGAAGAAAAACTGCTAGGGGTGATAATAGATAAAAATCTCAAATTCAAAATTCACTTCTCAAATTTATGCAAAAGAGCCAGCCAAAAACTGCATGCCCTTGCTAGAGTATCGCCATTTATGGATAAACTGCGTCTCCTAATGAATATCTTCATAAAAGCTCAGTTTAGGTACTGCCCCCTAATTTGGATGTTCCATGACAGATTTGTGAATGCTTAAGTGAATAAAATCCACGAAAGAGCACTTAGAATTGCTTATAAAGTCAGTCATGCTGACTACGAAGCATTGTTGACATTGGATAATGCAGTATCGATTCACCAACGCAATCTACAGTACTTGATGATAGAAATATACAAAACCAAACATAACCTGAACCCTAATTTCATGAGTAAGATTTTTGAAACAAGAAATGTACATTATGATTTGCGAACTATAAATAATTTTTGCATTCCAAAAGCCAAGACTCAGAAATGCTCAGAAAAGTTTAGAACGTTGAGAATTTAGAGAAATCATGGAAAATAATCTACAAAAACTTTCTTAATATATGTCCTTTGTTTTTTAGGGTCTTTTTGTAATAAAAGCTAGTCCCCACAAAAATATTAATCTCGCTCTAAGTAGCTGGTCTTTATTGTTTGCTAAATGTATGTCCTGTCATAATCGTAATGTTTGTGCGTCCATGATTTTTTTCCAATTGACTAGCACCCTGTCGGAAGGTCAAGCCCCTCCGTTGGAAAACTTCTAGCGCCACCACTTATTGGCGCCCTTTTTGTTGCTTTTCCCGGTGGGTTGATAGGAACCAGTCCGCCACTGGTGTGATGCGCCTACAAGCCCCTCATCCCTACGGGCCTGTTCGAAGGTAATGTAATCTCGATAGATTCTCGATGGGTCTCAAGTCCAAGCCGTGTATGACATTGTTCGATCATTAGCGTAAGAAAGCAAATGGCAGAACAAACGTAGAGCTGAAGATCGTGATGGTTGGCGCGTGTGGCGCTGAACTTGCCTCGCGGCAGACAACCAAGAAGAATGTGGAATTCTGGGAAGAAATGCGAAACCGCTCGTTCCAGTCTCTTCTAGTTTGGTCGGAAAGCACCGCGAACTACGCGCTGATCGCGATAAAGAACACGTTAGAGTTCATTGAAATTTGGCCGTATTGTTTTATCCTGTCATTCTGCAGAAGTTTTGAAAAGCGCCTTTAAAGCAGAAGGGTTATTGTACATTTATTTTTTGGAACGGACATACAGATCTTTGTACTGGTTTTGTAATAACTCATCGAGTGATAGAGGGCTGAAGCGCGGTGGCACAGTGGCTAATGCGGCCTAAAGTTGGCATGCATTTGCCCTTGTGGAGATGACTTCTGGTCCATGCTTGGATGGGTTGTCGCTGGCGCTGTCCCAGATTAGCTGCTTGATTATCGACCTATCTAAAAAAAACTTCAAAAGTAATGTATCAGATTTGAAAAACGTAAGTAATCAACATTCTTTGTTGATGCTTGTTGGAACCACATTGAAGTGAATTGAGTAAGGATCAATAGCAAAATTTCTTTGACCAGATTATTAATTTGCCTGTAGTGATATAAATCCATATGCTATCTAAAGACCTGTTTACATTGTTGAAGAATTACCCTTTCATTCAGTTTTTCCAGTTATTTAATTTTTTTGAAATTCCATTACATGCAAAATATGAATTAATCAATTTTGAATACACGATGCCGTTATTTAAAATGATTGTATGAAGCGGAATTTCCTAAAGAGCCTTCTCTAGCTAGGCTAGTCACAGAGAGAACATCTCCTGTTGCAAGAATGGTTGATTTGTTAAATGTCACTTAAGAAAAATTTAGGAATATTGAGGCTCAGCAAAAAATTAAATATTTTCATAAAAAATGTGTAACTATGGCAGAGGTTTGAAATTATTTATTTTACAATGCAGTGAGTGGCTAGAATTTATTTTGCTTCAAATAATCTTATGTCAGGTTAGGTATCTGCTTTTGATTGAAAATGTTTTTGATTTTGATAGAAAAAAGTTTACAGAGAAATATTTTTAACATCTATATCATCCCAGTATTTTTCCCAAAATATCAACTGACTGAAAACTGTAATGCAAATATTTTTTATTTAAGAATATATATATTACTATTGGTAGTATTATGTGCATGATGCAGGTAAACAGTTTCTACCAATTTAAAGAAAGAATGAAACAAGCAAGATATATTTTTTGGTAACAGGCTATCTAGAGGAGTAGCCCTAGTCCTTGGTGACTCCCTTTATCTATATATTGATGCCTTTCCTGAGCAAAAGATTTAGCTAAAGAGATAGCCCTTACACCATGCCAGCCTGCTAGCTGTGTATCTGAGCATAGCCAGAAGTGAAATAAAATTTGTCAGTAAAAGACAGCTTGTTTGGCATTTTTTGTAAACTTCATCAAAATAACTATAAAATCTATACTTTTGGAGAATATAAGACTAAACAGCAAATGAACAAAAGCTTGCACATTTTGTAAAACCATCGAGCCTATCCACAATGCTTTGTGTTTGAGAAGGATTTGATCACCTTCAAAATGCTGTTGGCACTAAGGAAGAAAGTATCAAATGTGTTTTAATGGACTAATATCAAGTGGACTAAAATTAAATTGGGATGAAAACTTAATGTCACTAATAAAAATTACTTCAGTCCTGCTTTTATTCTGGTCAAGTTGATAGCAGGTAAAAATATGTGGTAGCTAATTCCAACAATTTAAATCATAATCCTTCCTTAGCAGAAATTCTGGGACACATTTCCTCTTTACATGGACGCTGTTGTCCGGACTAATTACATGTTTCAGTTCGCTGGAGCTGGATGTAAAAATCCTGGTTTTCAAAGTTGTCTCATAAAACACGTTGAATAGAGATGTGACATATTTGATGTTACACTGAGATTATGCTTGTCCCAAATCAGATAAAATAGCAAAATGTATTTATATATAGATGCAAGGTAAGAAGGCAAATCAATAAATTATTAACCTGGAGCAATCACCCATATATGCACAAGAAGGGGCAAAGTGCTGGTCCATTAATAGAGACTATTGTTTCTTAAAAGTTTTGCATTTAGCACAGAGATGTCAATCTGTTTAAGCAAAACAAATTGATATTGTTTTTTTTCTTTGTAGCTTATTCATAAATTTGGAACTGAGGCTGAACGACATTTGCTTCGGTGTTTGTTTTCGTATGTTGACTTAACTTTTGAGAAGGGTGGAAATAAGGACACACCACAGGTAAGTGTTTTTTCAAACCCTTTTGGTAGCCATGCTTGCCAATAATATGATTAGAATGTACTACTGAAATAATTATCTAATAAAAGTAAACTAGAATGATGAAACTAACATTGGTTTTTGTGATGTTTTGAAAGAGCAAAAGGTAAAAATAGAGAATTTTACTGCATAGGCCTTTTTCCATACTAATGCTTTTTTTGGTCATTAAGGTCATCATCAGTCAATCTTCTTTGTTTCTTCTCCACTTATTTTACCATGTCTTCCTGGGTCTTCCTCTCCTTTTCGGACCATAAACTACAAAAGTAAGCGCCTTTTTTCAAACATTGCCCTATTGTCTCCACAAGATATATCCATACTATTGCACTCAATATGGTTTTGCTAGCTTACCCTCCTGTTTCTTTCAAACCCAGCATGTCCTCTTTTTGTCCTACAGTTTCACCTTACAAAGCACTATCACCATGGCTTATCTAGCCATGTTTCACATGTATGCCTAGCTTATCTTACACAGGTCCTATTGATTCTTCCTATTTAAAAGCTACTATACCTATATAACTAATATCCTAATATAAGCTAATATAAAGCTAAGTCAGAGGTGTTGAATACATTGCATGATATTACACATCTCGTTGTGAACAAACTTTACAACTTGATAGGATTTCAACTTGGAATCTCTGAGCACGCCTAAATCCAAGGAGACTCAGATGATTTTGTACAGGATCTATTAGTAGCACCTCATTTGTCACTGTGACATATTGTTATCTTGGGGGAGGGGGGGGGTGTATAAAGTAATGTTTGGAAAAATTTACTGGTACTCAACATTAGGCTGGTACTCAACAGATGCTCTAACCCAAAGGGTGTAGCAGGAGGTTCAATGAAACATTAAAGAAGGTTTAATCAAGTAGTATGTAAACAGGCTGTGTGAGGAGCAAAAAGTAGGTGCTTGACAAACTGAGCACCTTCAACTTTATAGGCACTCAATTGAGCATCATCAAATATCATCAATAACAAAAATTTGTTGTTGCATTTAGTTTTTAGAGAGTATAAACATGCTAGGTGCTTGATCAATCAAGCTCCTAGAACTTCTTACGCACGTGCGGAGGTGCTTGATCGAGCTAGAGTGCCTCTCCTTGCAAGGCCTGTATGTAAGGTATTAAAGCCAAACAGTACATAATGTGCAAAACTTGTCGCCTTGAGTCAGGAATGTGTCATCTTGTCCTGATTAGAATGATATAAAAATATACGAGAAAACAAGCCTTGAATTTTACTCTTTTATCTACTTCATTTTTATGGAGTTGAATAGATAAGTTATTTACTTAGGCTACATTTATATCATTAAATCAAGGCTTGTTTCTCTATGCTACTTTGTTATTATTGTCAAACTAGAGTATCCTTTGCCTAGGCCTATCAAGCAAGTAAGAAAATATTAACAGTTTTAACTGTAAAATTAACTGTAAAAGGCCACTATTTCTTGAAGTGAAAGACTGCAATTATTGATATCATTTTTACATTATTAAATAAACTTGACAAACACTTGCCTGAAGTCAGAGCTGTGTATTTTGTGTAGAGTGTAATGTTCTGCTGAAACAAATTAGGAAAAAAATAAAACACTTAATGAATTTCAAAATGCTTTGCAAAGACCATTTGACCAGAGGTTGCAAACACAATGAAAGTGAAAGACCAATTGCCAAGAATATAGGTTTACTTGAATGTTAAAAACAATGTTTTTTGTTGTAATTTCTCTTTTTTTCTAGATTACATTACTCATTCAAGAATTTCAAGAGCTTCTTATTCATCCAAATTTTGTGTCACTCATTTGCTACTGTTTTGATCATATTGATATTTTGAAGAAGGTATATCATTTTTGTAATATGCTGTTTATTTTCTTATGATTTTTTCTTTTGATTCTGTTCACTTCTCTCATGACTTCTTTGTTTAATGTCTTTCACCAACTTGCATATTTTTCATTCTAGCCTAACATCCTGTTATTTAACTAGCCTAACATTTTTGTAATATGCCTTTTATTTTCTTATGATTTTTTTTGTTGGTTCTGTTCACTTCTCTCCTGACTTCTTTGTTTAATGTCTTTCACCAACCTGCATATTTTTCATTCTAGCCTAACATCCTGACACCAAATTTGTTGAGTAATTTGGGTAGACTTTTGAAGTTGACAAAAGTTCAAGAAGTATGTGGCCATTCTTTTTTATAAATGTAGCAATTATATGAAAGTAAAGGAAGTTTGAAATTCTCTATTTTAGGAACCTGTTTTTAAGCAGTGAGTTAGCAGGATATTTCATTTTCTTATCAGTGTCTTACCATACATTTTATGAAACGATAATGGATCATTCACTGGGTCTTGGCATGTGCATAATGCATTTTTACCAACATGTATATGTATACAGTTTTTTTGGTGGTACAGAACTTGAAAATAGTTTTTAAAAGAGAAACATTTTATATATAACATATTGGATGAAAGCTTTTTTGTATGAATTTTTCGTGGAGCATATAACGTCAGAAAAGGGGTCCAAAAAACCTGATGAAAAATATATACCCAGTTGTGGATCAAAAATAGGCCAATCAGAAAAACACAAGCACAAGACTATTATAGTTGTTGAATCAGGGCTGCCTGCCACAAAGAAAAACTATGACTGAAGTCCAAGATAGAAAACAAACTCCTTCTGTCTCCACAATATTTTGGCACAATACATGCAACTTTTTTCCTTTGTATGCAGTTTGATTCCAAAACTGCTAGATGTAAAGACGACCGGTCAATGATCTGAAAAAACATCATTTTAAAAGATCATTTTAAGTTTTTCCAGTTCTGCGTAAAGTTTAGATTTCAAGCAGATAATGGTGCCGTATGTACTAAATTTTTTGACAAATTGAATTCCCGCGTATGTACTGTCCACAGTGAAAAAAAGCTCTTCTTGAAAGCTAGCAAAGATATCGGCCAAGGCAGGTTCCAGAGGGCTACCCACCGCCACACCATCCCTTTGTTGGTACATTCCATGTATATGTGTATTTCTGTGAAAGTGTTGTTTTGCAACTCCATGTAATGTTGCTTGGATACTTTCTGAATTAAATAAGCAAAACCTCTCAGGTTTTTCACTACAAACTCAATAGCCCTGTTTAAATGCTCTTAAGAATAGAAAAAGCAGTTCAATCAGTTTGAATTGAAGGTAGTTAAAATGTTCAGTAAAGAGGCTCCAGTGCTCCTCAGAGATGTACCATTTGTTTCAACAAGCATATCAAAAAATAACTCCAGCTAGCACAAGTGTAGTATGGAACTTTTTGAGTGTGCAAACTGTTTTGAAAGTATTTTCAAACATCAACAAAGGCAGTAGTGACATGAAAAATGTATATACACAAGTAAAACAATCTATGGCATGACTGTTTTACCATATGAAAAAATGAGATAATGAAAAAATTTTAATTACTAATAGCGATCTTGAAAAAGTCCTGGATATTCTTTCTGTTATTTTTTTGTTTCCCAAGCTGCATTGCTAATAAATATTTTGCTAAGATGCATTAGGCAATAAATTTTGGTTTTTGTTTTTGTCCTTGGTAAGGAAAATTTCAAGAGTTCTGTGGAGTTTTTTGGCCCTAAGTCTTTTAACCATACGGTTGAACTTTAGCATGAATTGATTAATCATTGTTTCATGAAATACTAAGTTTATTTGAAAGTAAATTTTTTTATCTTGGTTGGTTCTGATGATTTTATGTCCTTCCCTTTCTCTTCCATATAATTATCACTGGTTTGCATTTTCAGTTTGAAACTCTAATTTTATTTGAGGTTGTTTTTGGTATTGCACTGCAAAGTTGTGGAACTCAAGACTTGCGATTTCTAGGTATTGGCATCACTTTTATTCAATTTTTTATGTTTTTTTTATTTGCTAAATTTTATTTTTGTTGATGAAATCTTGATTTCATATGTAACTATAAAAAATTATAATTTTTATGTCACATATATACAATGCTTTTTTGCCAGTGAAGTCCTAGAAAAATTGAGTAGAAATGCAGGTTTTGGTTAATCAACCTATGAAAAATTTCATTTTTCTATTGAAATCAGTCTAACTGCTTGTCTCTTGCTTATCTGATGCATAATTGGCAAGTTGTTGCATTTTGAAAAAAGTTCATGTGTTAGGGAGAGAAGCTGGTTCTTTGATATTGATTGCTCTTTTTAGGTGATCAATTTGTAAAGCAGAAGCTCCCAGATCTATTGAAATCCTATATTGAATCAGGTGGGACATTAGAAAGCTCATTCAAATAAACTTTTTCATAAACTCATTCAAATAAACTCATTTAAATAGGCCTAACAGATTATCTAAACATTTTGCGTACAATATATACTTGATATGGACAAGAGTTCAAAAATTCTGTTTACACATTAAAATTTACGTAAAAAAGGTGAAGAATTCATTGCAACATATTATTAGCTCTTTATAAAACATTCTGTAGTAACTACACACGGAACAGATCATTTTCAGTGGAATTAAAATGCTATTAAATGTTTGCCATATTTTGTAATCGATAACGTTTTTTAATTTTAAGTCAGGCTAGCCGTTTACAAACTGCATTCCAGTTGAGATCCAAATCTAAGTTGAAAATATGTTTTTGAGATTATGTTTGATGTTTTACAGTATGCTTATATATATACAGGTCTCCTCCACTTGTGATATGATTTAGGAAGTCATAGTTAAAATTTTATTGGGACCTTATATATTTTACATTTAATATATTTGTCTGGAAATTTTATAGATACTTTTTATTGGGAACTTATTTGAAAGTAGCATGTTTATTGTATGTATATTTATTATGAATCTTGCTTTTATGTTATTATTTTTGTGACCATATCTACCATTGCAGACATTGGTAGTAGCCAAGAAGCAATTGGTCTCAGCGACGTTGCGATTGAAGTTCTTCACTTGCTGTTGACCTACTTGAATAACTGTCAAAAGACTGATCTGAACATTAAGCCAGAAGACGAAGCTGCTTTTCTTGATTCCTTAAGGAGAGGTCAGCTTTTATGTTTCTCATCCCAACATTAAATTATAATTAGATGGCTTTTCTCAGGGGTGGTTTAAATCGAACTACTCCAGGTTTGTGATTTTGACTGACCATCGCTTAAACGAGATTGCATCGAAGGTTCTAAGAAAATTGTGCTGAATGGCACAGTTGTGTGTAATTCAGGAAGCAGTTCGTTGGTTGATGTAAGCTGCAATCTCTACTTGGTACCAGTTGTTATACATTACTTAAAGTAAACAACCCCAGTCGTTTTTTCGTTTTTCTGTCATGTAGATTGTCTTTGAGTTGTGCAAATTTAATGATCTTTCACTAGTGCAATTTTGTTATAATTGTTTTATGCATTTCAGGCTATGTATATTTTTATGTTTCTTAGAAAATTTTTACTATGTTTTGAAAGCAGAGTCTGAAAGCAGAATTTATAATTGTAACTTAAATCATTGTAAGTTGATTTTGTGATGGCTTCAATTAACAAATTTCGCCAATGGCATCTAGAAACATAGGTCTCATGTTAATATATCCTTTCAGATTTCCCTAAAGAAAGGGTGCCAGTGGTTTTATCGCCCCTTCTTTACAAGGAGGAAGGCGACAAGGACGAATTCAGTTACAGGTAGAGAAGTTTGGGTGCATTTCTTCCAATTGCTTTAAGTTGATTGGATACTTAGCATTGCTAGATATACTTAACAGAAGCCTTTATTTTACTTATTTTCATTCTTAGTTCGCTATTTATTCTTTATTTATATAAAATATGTTTCTCTTCGATATCAATAACATTTCATAATGCATGTCAAGAGAAGAACTGCCTTTCTTTTATCACATACTCACTTATTTTTTAAGTCGTGTCATGTAATTTCTTCAGGGGCAAGTGCGATAATGCCTGTAACTTTCCTGTATCATTTGTATTTTAAGCCTGTAATTTGTGATTTTCTTTATAGAATTAACCTGGACCCAGGAACAATGCCACGAACAGGGGTAAAATAGCTTAATTTTATAATCTGTATGTCTTCTGTCTGGTGTTCCTCTGCAAGTATTTTATTGTTCCTGGTGCAAAAACTTGTTAAAAAATGCAACACAGTTCTGTTTCTTAGATTCGTTTGAATAACTCTCACTGTCTGTAGCTGCATCCTTCACCGCCATATAAAGATGCGTCAGTTATTCGCAGCTTTTTGTGTTAATGCGGTCAGGCATGCAACTTATCCTATTTGCGCATTTGAAGCATATAAAGCCTTAACCCTGCATGAGACTGGGTGGCATGCAAAACTGTTTTAAATGACAATTCCTAAAAGATCCATTAGGCTGTCACATGACATATTTGCCGAGGCTTCTTATAGCAGAAGAGAAAGAAATAGGAATAGTTCATTTTTGTTTATTCACGCACAGCTTATTGTAAACTCTTTTGTCTCTGTGACATTTCACAGCTTTGGAGAATGAATATAATTTTTAGTCCTTAAGTAAGAATTAAGACACAGAAGCATTCCTAACTTTATCTTTGCTTAGTGGTCATTGGATATTGTTTGCCAGATACGTGCTAGAAACTTCACTTTACCTAGAAACTCCTAGGCTTTTTATAAATATTATGTAGACCTATCAATTAAACGAGAAAGTCCTTTAAATGCTTAACGGAGTTTCAAATGCTGCTAAAACAACGACTTTGGGTTAGATTTAATAACTCTGTCAAATAGAAATTGTTTTACTTCCATTGAAAGTCCTTGTTAATCTTGCATATCCAAAGAAAATTTATAACCCTTTCTTGGTTATGTTTATACCTGATTTTCCTGCAGCTTGATAAAATCTTCACAGTCAAGACCTGTTTTCACTTTTCAATTTCAATCAGCAAGATTTTTTTTGCCATTCCATAAAGTTTGATCGTTCCACGTTTAGCTAGTTGTTTTTTCATGAAATCTAACTACTTATTGCTTTTAGGCGGATATAAAGTTGTGCGACATAATGGAGGAGTTAGGCTATAGCTGTTGCAGAAGGTTGGAATTTACGCATTTGTATCTTTTTGTTTTTTCCATGTTATCAAATGCCTATTGCAAGCATAAGATTAATCAGAAGCATTGTTTGAAGGGGCTGTGCATGATTAGTTGTTTATGAATTAGATTTGCACGATGCATCATTAAATTCTGGATCTTTGAAAATACATTGTTGAAAAGAAGCAGTAAGACTTTTCCCGAAGATTGTTTAGAATTTTTACATTCACAAATAGTCTGGGTTACCGAAAATTTCCACAATTTCTCTTTGCCCAGTGCGCATTCGCAGATCTTACTTGTCATGTTCCTTTTGTATGTTATGGATCGAATCGAACCATATTTATACCTTCACGGGCATTTCGATTTTTAAATTATGTTTCCGCGAGCCAACTTAACTTTCAAACTGTTGTCAAACAGCTCTTGACAAATAATAAGTAACCTGAAACTTTTGATTTTCCATTTTAAGCTCGTTGTTAATTTTGAAATGAAGCATTTTTTGTTTTATTTCAGCCATGATGAGTGCAAAGAAGCTCTTACTAGATATGGTGTCGCAAACATCAACTCGCAGTGTGTCGCAAGGGTGCTAGGTATTATCCCTGTTCATAGAAATGTTATGCTCATTTCACAAATATGTTTGAAAACTGGAAACGTTTGTTTTGATAGGTTCTTCGAGCTATTCAAAATAAGTTAGCGCTATATATTTTTGAACAAAGGGTCTATTTTGCTGCAAATCGAAAATAAATTTTCATCTTCTATTTTTCAAAGTTTTCTCTGGTAAAACATAAAATTCTTCTCTGTGTCGTACACAGATTATTTGGTACGAAATTTCCGCTATCTAATTTCATTTACTGTATGTCTTTCCCTAATGAAGGCATGATGGGTAAGACGGTCAGCGGTCTAGAAGGAAACGGCACTTTACAGGTGAAGTACAAAAATATCTTACGTGAATTGTTGAAAATGTTCAATGAAGGATAAGGTGAAAATATTATGCCCTTTTGTATAAGTCAAACATTTTGATTAATTATGTACAATTGGAGCGAATATTTTTTTTAGTGCGCTATCTTTATTTTCCTTTTATTAAATTTTTCTGCGTACTTTTTTCAAAAATTGCAAAATGAACTCTTGTTTTTTGCCTCTCATTTTGTACTACTTATTGTAAAGAAATTAATTTGATTGACAGGCTGCTGCTGGAGGCTATAAAAGATTTGAAGATCAAGGTCCTAGCCCTGCGTCGTGGAATGTAGAGGTTTTTGTCGATACAGTCAAAGATATTCTTCCGTCTTTAAACTGGAGACAAGTTATTCTCGATCTAGACTTTCCAGGTTTTTTGATAAAAACACCAGATGCCATACGACTAATTCTTCATGCATTTATGAGAGCAACTGGTGATGTTTTTCCGGTAGAGGCCATTTACAAATCATGGAATAACACTTATGGACAGGTAGGCATATGTCTTCTGTTCAGTGAAAATGTACCACTGGTTCAATGAAAGGAAACCAGCTTTTTGTTTACTTGTTATCCTCTTTGCTAGCTGTTGATCTTCTCGATTGACCATTACAAGATGTTTGGTCTGTCGTCCCTTTGAATCGGTAAAAAGCTATATGGCTTCAAGCTGTAAGGGTTTTCAAGTAGAAGATAATGGCAATACTATGTTTCACTACTTCAAGGATTCTATTCAAGTGACACTTCAGCCGTGTGTTTAATAATTTATTATTGCTAGATTATGCGAAGTGCTTTGAGTTGTCCTTTAGAACTTGGTCAGTTTTTGAAGCAATCTTACCAAAAGTATCATAATGAAAGCGTTCTGCTTTGAACGCTGTTTTCCATTTCTCTTGTTCTCAGGAATAGTGTTAGGTACTGCCAACATATATGAGAGACCTTCATTTCTGTTTTGTTTCATGATAAGTTAGAAGTCGGGTTCATTGTGTAGCTGTATTGATAAATGATTTTCTACCACTTTGCAGCTGACTTGGATCGAAAACAGCTTGAGTGACCCACATGCATTTTGTTTCGCTGATTACCAATGCCGACTAGTGAAAGTTGAGATTTTGAAGTCTCCTCCAGATGATTCAAACAAAGAAATAATGACTTGGTAAGATTATTTTCTTGTTGTACTTATAAATTTTCCAATACTTGCAGGGACTTGACCTTTATCTTTTGCTTGTTTTACGGTGCACATTAATCACAGAGTATTCATCATGAATGCTGTTCGTCAGTAAACTTGATGCTTAATGTTTTAAGTTTACATTTTCATGTTTATTACTTTTCAAAAACAGTGAAATGTTGCTGATTTCCATCCTTGTTGGTGCAGCTTAGCTGTACCTTTTCTTAATAAACAAAGGTATTTGGTACCCTAACTTAATACAGCTGTTTTATTGTTAGTTATGTCAGACCTCCTTGGAATCAAAGTGCAAGACTACAAATATAATGAAAAGTTGACTTCTTACGTTTTAGGAGGTCTTTAGAGCTAATGGAAACTTTGCTTCGCCTCTCAGAAGTTGGACACTATGAAGCAGTTCTGAAACTGTTTGCTTTTCCTGTTAAAAATTGTCCAGATCTTCTACTGCTTGCCCTCCTCCAAGTGAATGTAAGTTTTTAGTACGTATCAACCGCTTTTAAAAGACTATGTCCAGGAAGATGTCCTGTTAATAAGATTACAGCTGTGATATAAATATACATTGGCCCTTTGCATTATAATTTGATACGTTTTCATAGGATATTAAGATCCAGTTTTGACTTGGAGAGTTCATTGCAAAACTGCTTCTGCTGAACGGGAATCCTACTTAAAAAATTGAAATTCATAAGTTAACTAAGTAAACTCGTCACTTATTTCATCATTTATTATGGCTTCAGAAGCTCTAAAAGTTAGATTAAGCCTTTAGTTTCTATATGTTACCCAAATTTCACATACCATTTTTATACGCTGTGGTTTTTCACAAAAAGCTAGGATACTTATTTTGAAACTTGGAAATATTGTAAGGCCTGTTTTAGTATTGGAGCAAAAACGGATAAACAACTTGAAGATTTTCTTATATGTCGAAAATATATTGCATGTGACTTGCCCAGCATCTCTAAGCAACCTTCTGGGAACTTACAAAAACTCTAATTCCTGTTGCTTGCTGGAGCTGACTGGCTGTGACTTTTGTTTTATTTCTAGACAACATGGCATACATTGAGGAACGACCTTGTATCTATGCTAATGCCATTGTTTCTTGGCAATCACCCCAATTCAATGAGTGTTTTGCACTACGCATGGAATGGCCAGGTAGATATCTCTGTTCATTGTTATACATATATCTGTTCAGTGTATACACGCGGAACAATGAGGGTCAATTCGATGGTCGAATGAACTCAAACTGACTGAACGACAAGGACAGCATAGATATTCAATAGATTTATCACAACTTAAACAACGACAAGGATGTTGTTTAAAGTTTGCTATTCCTATTACCATTTCAATAAATATTCTTTGTTTAGTGGTTGTTATCCTCGTCGAGTTTTTAATGCGTAGCTTTTGATTTGATTGAAATTTCATCACACGATTCTGAAGCTGATATGAACTTCAAATCATATTTATTTGGTTCACAGGGGCAGAGTCACACCATTCGCCACTTGGTAATGCAGGCCATGGCAGATTGGTACCTGAAAGCAGATGCTAAAAATGATCAAGTTGAGCAACAAACAAAACTTTCTAGAATTCTCGATGTTGCTCAGGATCTTAAGGTAAAATGACCTATCTAAGCATTAAATATGCCTTGCAAATCTTATGTCAGTTCCAATTGATTTGTAAAGAAGCAACTGTAAATATGGTACGCTTTCTCATTCATTTTCTTTTTCGTGCTTGCCAGTAAGCAATTAAAATATGATGCGACTAAAATATGAGTCATTGCTTTCTCATCCTTCCAGTTCTGTCCCTTTCACCATTTGTTGTCTGTTATAGGCAGCCTACGTAGCGTCTTGTTTATTTCAGTTTTGAACTTATTTCAGGCCTTGTCCATGCTTCTGAATTCAACGCCGTTTTCTTTCGTTATTGATCTTGCTGCTTTGGCATCGAGGCGAGAGTACCTCAAGCTTGACAAGTGGCTCAACGACAAGTACAGAGAACATAAAGTAAGTTACAATAGGTTTTAACAATTATTACTTGTTTGTTTCTTTGTTTTTTTGCATTTTGACAAAATTTGTCGCATATTTGTAGCTCACTCGCTGTTTCCAACTTCTTGCTTTCTCTTTGACCTTTGTCCTTTTTAAGACTTCAGAATATTCGTCTGTTCGTTTTTGTAGGAGCAATTTGCAAACGCACTGGTGAATTTTTTAAAGCGAAGATGCCCTAATCTTATCGGCATAAATCCTGATAAGGATATCCCAAAAGCTGTTCAATTGCCAGCAGAGACAGTAACAACGATGTTAGCCTGCTTACAGCCGCAAGTCAGGTACCGCATCCAAGCAAAACTGTTTTTCGTGTGTCAATAAATTTGTGTTACAAAGATAATGTATTATCTGTTGTTATATAGCAAAGAGTGTGTAGCATATTAGCAGGACAAATTTTATTGTTGAGGTGGAGATAGTGCTTTGCTCCTGAGATACCTTGAACCCTCGACTTGCCCTCCCCTGGACTCAGCCCCCTCCCTCTCGAGTAACCCTCTACCCTGGAAGTAAACATCTCAATCAGCCCCATACTTCGAATAAGCCCCCATCCTAACATGCGTATTTTTGCGGTATAATAAGCCCGCATGGGGGTTTAAACAAGATACAACAGATAGATACACCATTCTAGTACACGATTGACAACACATTCAATCGACGAATGAAAAAACTGAAAAAGGATTGAGAAAAGAAATATATATTGACAAGAAGACAATGAAAATATTAATGCTTTTGACTAAAATAGCTTTTTGTGCTTTGATTATGATTTTGAAAATCTTTAAAAAGCTATGACAACTTTAAGCTGATTTTATTAGCCTCCACTCTAATAAGCCACCCCCTCGAACTAGCCCCCTCCCTTCAAAAAAGGCGCAGGGGGCTAATTCAAGGATCTACGGTAGTGATGGTTTCATGCACCGGAGTTTGTGATAGTGAACTGCACCTCAAGTAGTGATAGTGCATTGGGCCTCAGGTTTTCATAGTGCTTGGTTCCTCGCATAGTGATAGTTTCATATATATACCTGAATAGTGATAGGTAACTGCTCTGCAAAATCTGGTAGTGAAGTAATAGTGCATTGCATCTGAGGTAGCGATAGTGCGTTGCATTCCAAGTGAGGAATGTACCTTGCTGCAGTGATAGTTACAATGCTTTGCTTCCTTGTCTTGTTTTATTCAAATTGTTATTTTGGGTTCTCGTTTAATGTTGCACTTGGTTTTTTTCTAGTGTGTTAACTCCAGAGATTGCCGCAACTTTCAAGATAATGGTTGCCAATCATGGTCTGCCACAAAAGCCAAGACCAAACCCTCTTACCATGCCTGTTAAGAGACCTGGGCATGACAGTGGACTCTCTACTCCACCGCTTAGCGGTGTTCAAGTACGTGCTGCTATAGATTTTACATTTGTTTCTTTAAAGTTAGGTGTGTCTGTTTTTAGAGCAGTTATATTCAGCATTTTTTAAAGATGTTTGAGATGTATATTTAACTCTCATTTTTCCTTTTTTTTATCATAAGCAATGTCGTACTTGTTATCAAGTAAAAGCTATTTGATTTTTTTTAAATGAAAAACTTTATGTCATTTTGAGTAATGGAAATTTTTTCTTCTAGACGGACCCATTCACTTTCGGTGTCTCGGGACAGACTAGTTCGCAGATGGGAGGTTTTGGTGCTCACCCTTTAGCCGGAACAGCACTTGGGGCATCTTCAACATTTGGCGGTCTCGGTAGTCTAACATCGGCAATACAGCCCCCAAAGCCTTCTCAAAGTGGTAACACTCTGCTATCTGGTTCAAATGGAATTCAGGCGTCGAGTGGATTCAGTGGGGGAAGCATTGGTTCGTCATCTTTTTCAACACAAACAAGTTTTATTCATCAGCTTCAACAAGGATCAGCTTCTCAGAGTAAGCGCCTTACCTGATGAAGCCTACACTTTTTGCAACTAGTTTACTTTTGGACACATTTTTTAATCCTACAGGCCCATTCGCTTCAACGTCCCTTTAAAACCGCATCTGTCAGTGCCTATGCACAATGATAGTGCATATTATGCGATTTCTATCGAGACTTGAAAGATTAGAAGTTTGCTATTTCTTTTTTAGGTGGAGGTTTGATTAATGGCAACACTGTCGATAACTTGCAGTCACTAGCTTCATCATTAAATTCGGTCGGTTCATTGAAGCGAGGACCTCTGGGCTCTGCTTCCTTAGGCGGATTTACTTCCTACCAACAGCAGCAGCAGCAGCAGCAGCAGCAACAACAACAACAACAACAGATGACTTCTTCGACCCAGAACAGACAGCATGTTGAGAGGTTGAAGCAAGGTTGTAACATTCACCAGTGTGAATTCGAAAGGATGAAGGCTCTTCCGCTAATATCAGCTAGTCTTGTGCAATTCAGCTTGCTGATCATGAATTTGATATTTGTTTTCCAAACAACCTTTGAAGTTAATAAAAATGAGGATAATGTTTATGCTGTAAAATTACCTGAAGATTCTAATTTGAATTCAAAGTAACCTGCTAACGTTGACGCTAGCTTAGTCTGGCAACAGCTTTACCTGTAATTTGAAGTCCACGACTCCAAGAAAGTGACAACCTGTGAAAAAACTATAAGAAAATACTCAGATAAATTCTTGGAAAAGCAAATTTCTTTGGTTGATAGACCAAGTCCGTATATGAATTAATGAACGTTTCTCAAAGTATTCGGGCCACTTTAAAATTTAGTTTTTATTAGAAGAACGTAGATTCTACTTTCTGTACCACATGTTATAAGTTGCTATTCTTGTTTTTGTTACCAGTTGCAATCGGGGATTTGTCTGCTGTGTTTCCTGGAATGGATCAAAACTTTTCCAAAGAAATTGAAGATGAGTCCAATACGTATTTCCAAAGAATTTACAATCAGCCACCAGGGACGGCGATATCTATTGATGAAGTGCTTGATATGCTTAAGAGATTCAAAGATTCGTCTATTAAGAAAGAACGGGTAAGCATTTACTGCACCTGTCATAAATCTTAAAGCTGCAACTTGATTTATCACTTGATCGTTAAGTTTCTTTACAGGAGATGTTGATTCATTTTAATGAACAATTTTCTGCTCTAGGATGTTTTCATTTGTATGCTGAGAAATGTGTTTGAAGAGTACAGGTTTTTTCCGCATTATCCAGACAAAGAGTTGCGCATTACAGCATGTTTGTTTGGTGGAATAATCGAACAAGGCTTAGTTACGTAAGTTTCCTTCGTTATTTACTTATATCGGGTTTTCGTCGAAAGGAATGTTGATAGCTTATTCGTATCAGGTGTCAGTTGTTGTTCAAATGAATATTGATAGAACAACATTTCATCTACAGGTATATGGCATTGGGAGTGGCACTGCGATATGTTTTGGAAGCTCTGCGTAAAACTCCAGGCAGCAAAATGTACATGTTTGGAACAACTGCCCTTGACAGATTTAAGACAAGGTAGTCACTATTACGTCATTTTAAGCGATTTTTTGCAATTCATCTTAGGCGGTAAAGCAATTTCTGCTCATCAATTATGTCATATTGGTAATCAAATGTGCACGTTTTGACACTGTAATATCGTTTAGTCTGTTCCAAAACTGATGTATGTTTCTCGAGTCCAGCACCTTCTGTAATAAACTGTTGTAAATAAGAGCCACACCAGGAAAATACTGTTCCTTGGTAACTCTGTACTTGAGAGGCAAAGATCCATTTAATAATTTTAAAAACCTCAATCATGAAAATCGGAAACAGCAGTTGCAAATGAATTAAATAGAAATGAAAAATTATTGATTTTTGATCTTTGGGAGGATCAGAAAGGTGTAAGGTTGGTTGGGATAAAAGTTTTAGAAATCCATCTTGCCAAGAGTTTATATGAATAGTTTTGGAACTAAAATTTGAGATGAAAAATTTTACAAGGTACTGTCACTGGCGGATGTCAGTTCTATGTTTAATAAAGTCAAATAAAAAGCGTTGTGAAAATTAAATCTTAAATAACAATTTTGAAGACAGCTTACAGTGATTTGATTTGTCTATTAATTCTGTTGCCACCTTTATTGATTTGATTTGATTTGATTTGTTTCTCAACAGACTTAAAGACTATCCACATTACTGCCAGCACCTTGCTTCCATACCTCATTTCAAAGAATTTCCACCCCATCTAGTCGATTACATTGTTTTTGGCCAAAGAAATCAGGAGCCTCCGAGTGCTACGAGGACCGGTCAAGTAATTTTTTTCAATTTATTTCTTTGTATTTGTATTTGTTGCTACCTAGCATCCGAAGGTACACCTCGTGATTCCTACGCCTGGAATTACAGAGAGCTGGCGACTCTCCCCACTATGGGCGAAAGTTTGGTCATGCCAGGGACTCGAACCACGGACCCTTGGGTCTGTAGTCAGCGCCTCTAACAACTGAGCCATCCTCGCACCACCGAATATTTCTTGTTCTTCAGTTAAAAAATATCAAATGCTTTTTGAGATAAAAAATTAATTGAAATTTGTAATGTTGTATAATGTAGTAGATGTGGCCTGTCAGCTTTTGAAATATATTCTTTTAGTCTGAATCACCTTTATTCGGTGGACGTCCTCTTTCATCAACTGGCAGATTGTCGAGTTTTTCATCAAGTTCTCCAACGCCGAGCCAATCAAGTACGCTGCTGACGTCAGCCTTTTCAACTTCGATTGCTTCTGTCTCAACTCCTATTTCTCCAATCTCGAGTGCCATTTCAAGTATGGCAATAACAAGAACTAATACCACGATCTCGGCTACAGGTTTGATCTTGCGCTCTATACAAGTTTTTCTCTTCAATTTCGTTGCGTTTATCTAAACCATGTAATATTTCTCTAAAAGAGCAGCTTTCATCAAGCCGAAATTAACAATATTTAACGATTGTAGGCATAAGAGTAGTATTTCGGCCTGAAGGAAATACGGGAATTGTCGTCCATCTTAAAATTGAATTAAAAGTAGAATTTAATAATTCTCATGTTACGAGCTACATGTATCTATTGGTAATAATTTCTGAAGATTGCAATTTTTGCAAAAATTTGTCAACAGTTGTATCTTTTATTAAAAAAATAAATTTTATGCTATTTTTCCGATGTGGTTGTTGAAGGCAGCGATCGAAAAAAGCATTTTAAGCATATCTTGTTCGCCGGTCTATCTTAACCAGCAATTGTTTCATTTTGTGTTAGCTTCAAGCGAAACAACTTCTACAAGTAACACATCTGCCGCCATCAGCAGGAAAGAGGTTTGTCAGCATTTATCTTTTGGCTCGTTGTTATTTCTTACAAGGGTATTGCCAATACAGTGGGTATCCAGTTGAATTTTGCAATTATTGTGGTTGCTGGTTAGAGATTGGTCTGAAAAGCAGTTGTCTGTTGTTTCTAGCCTTCTATTGCCAATACAACCAATATTGATACACTTCTTGGAGCAACTGAACCTGCTGAAATCAAACAGCCCCCAGATTCAATACAAGACAAAATCCATTTCATCTTCAACAACATTTCAAACAGCAATCTAACTCAAAAGGTATGTTCAGTTTTTGGTGTGAAAATTTAGCACCCACTTAGTCCTGTTTTCTTTTCCTATTTATTTTTTAATTGTTTTGGTTGTGTTTTTTGGTAGAATTAACGTCTGCTCTATCCTTCGTATATTTTCAAGTGGTAACTCTGACATTGCTTATATATTTTAGGCGGAAGAGCTCTCACAGTTGATTCAGCAAGAATACTACCCGTGGCTGGCACAGTATTTTGTTATGAAAAGAGTCAGCATTGAGCCAAATTTCCATCAACTCTACACTGATTTTTTGAAAGCAATTGATATTGGTGATCTATCGAAGCAAGTGATCCATGAGACATTCAGAAACATTAAGGTTATTTATTGCTCAGAATTTTTTGTAGATTTTTTAATTTTATTTTAGTCAATGCTGCTTGTAGCTTTCCTTGAACATACTGTAATTTTTTCATCTACAGAAAATTTGATCACTCGCAGTTTCTTTTTAAAGTAGGCTCAAACGATTGGGCGGTTCTCTACATTTGACAAAAATGAGATTCTACAATTATACAGAAAACGCTTTTAATGTTGTTGTTTGCATTATAGAAAAATTCTGTGTGTTTCTTGTGTTCAGTATGCGATATATCAGACCACACATAGATCTGAATGATTTTTTTTGTAAAAGCGTCTTCACTTGTTCAGTAACAACTGCATGACCAGGTCCACTCTATTTTGATACTTGAAGTGGTGTGCAAATAGAAACTGTCACACATTTACGGATTGGAATCCTTTTTCAGGTACTTTTGCGGTCGGATAAAGGCCCTGCAAACTTTTCTGACAGATCTCTGTTAAAAAATCTTGGCCACTGGCTGGGAATGCAGTCCCTTGCTTCTGATAAACCTATTTTGTACGAGGTGAGTTATTGCCGTGTATGGCGGCATAGCTAACTTTCTTTTTTGCTGCGATGATTCCCAGAGTTAAAAATGGTATTTCTCAGATTTAATTTTGATTTAATTTTGACATGCAATTTTTAGCCATAATTTTTTGAATGCAACTTTAGTCTAGAAATGGCATGGAAGCTTAGGTTGCCATGGATGTGTCAGTAGCCTTTTGCTCCTAGATGTATTTTCTGAAATACCGATCTCATATCTTTCAGTCTCGTAAACTGAGTTTTTGTGCCTATCTCGATGTTTTTCTCGTAATGACTGGTGCTTCCAGGACCTTTGCTACCCTATTAGATTGACAACTTAACTGTATACTCAACTGTCATCAATGTAAAATACAGGTTTCAACCTGACTAATTTAAGTTCCATTGAAAAGGACACGAGGTTAATTACATGTATTGTTTAGAAGTAGCTTTCAGTTTATTGTGGTATTTATATTTTATCAAAGCTATCTAAGAAACAAATATTGAAGATTAATTATGGATAAATTGTTACTTTTCGATAATCGTCACATTTTAGGATCTTGAGGTCAAATCTCTTCTAATCGAAGCATTTTTCAAGGGACAACAGGTATGTAAAGTCAGTTACCATAAATCCTCGAATAGGCTATATTTGGATATTTGAGTTTAATCATTTTTTATGGTTTCTTATTCGAGGGGGGGGGGGGGCTGGTTAAGCAAGGGGGGGACGTTTATGAAAAGAATGAACATGTGGCCAAGCAAATAGCTCGTTTCTGTAGCTGTTGAACTTTTTGTTTAACTGCTTTGAAGTTTTTAAAGTTGTACCTTTTTCTTTCCAGGAGCTTTTGTATGTCGTGCCTTTTGTTGCAAAAGTTTTGGAGTCTTGTGGTAAAAGCAAGGTAAACTATCTAACAACTGCTTTTCCAAACCCTGGTGTTGTTTAAATCTTTTGAACATCAAAGAAAATGACTTTAGGAGCCATTCAGATAATGATTAGAACATATAAACGTATGGTATGTATAGGCAAGGCATCGCATTAGTGATGCCACTTTAGGGAGCATAACATCACTTATAATGTTTCACATGAAAATGTCTGTGTTGAATCTGCTCGGAAATTTTCAACCCTATTTCGGATTGCATAAACTAAATGTATAGGCAATAAAATCGTATGGTATGTATAGGCAAGGCATCGCATAAATGCCTGCCAAAGAGCACCCTTGAACACCTGCTTAAGTCTTTTAAGTATCTATTATTGTTGAACACCTGCTTAAGTCTTTTAAGTATCTATTATTGTCTAGGGTAATCTGTGTATGTTTCTGGTTTTGATCTCGAGAGTCAGATTGAAGCTCGTTTCTATTGAGAATAATAATTGGGTAGAGGTTCTTTGCAATGCTCTTTAAAGTCAATGAATTTTTTTAAGGAATATAGGGTTTTTGATGAGGTTTTTATCGATTTTCAAGGTATTCAGGCCACCGAATCCTTGGCTGATGGGCGTCATGGGGGTTTTATCAGAACTGCATCAAATGCCGGACCTTAAGGTATATTGTTAACATTAAGGTATCTTCCTATTGCATTCTTTGAACGGAAAGATGAATTTTTCATTGATATCCCAACCCCTGATGTTCCAAGCAATCATATCGATATCGTGTGCCTGAACATGGTAATCTCCTTTTTTTTCTAATAACCTGCTCTGTGTTTGTGGTATGAACGATTTATAAATGAAACGTAAGTTCTCATTTGGAAATTATTACTTTGGGGCCTTATTTTTGTTTGAACAGCCAAATGATGAACATTTTTCAATACTGCAATGTTGGTGGAAATATGCAATAATTTTTTCGCCGAAAAATCTCATGAAAAGACACCATTTTTAGGTCGTTCCATTATGAATATTTTCGCAATTTGCGTGATATCATGGATTCTACAACCTATTCAAAACGCGTCTTCTATGGCAGATGTCGTTTTTCAATGCCATTGAAAACATTTTTTTTATCTAGGTTCTGATTTTTGCGTATTGTTCGCTCCTCCTAAAATTCATCTACACGCACATCTTGCATTATTGCTATTTTCTCTATTTTGTTTCATAATAATAGTTATTAGTAGTCATTGTTATTGAATATTGAGGAGTTGAAGGAATTATGCTCAAATAATTTCAACAGCCTCAAAAGCGAAATTCTGCCTTTTCTTTATAGTTTTGTTTGGTACCATTGTACATAATAGCTAGTACAAAAGGTTTCGCTTGTGTAGTTTTTCTTTTGCTGGACTCTCGGCTTTGAGCTGTGAAATCTTTCGGAAATTATATATGTCTTATTTTATCTGGTGTTCCGTGAAAGCAATAAATTGATGAGGGGTGATAATTGGTGCATTCATTGCTAACTCACTTTTCAGAGTCTCCAGGACTATTTATATACACTGGATACTTGATGTTCATTTATTTATCATTGACTTCTAACTCAAATATACTCAAATTTACTCAAAATATATTTTTACATTTTAGTCATTCTGTTACTCATTTATTATTTGTTTTTCTTTCAATTCCTAGTTAAATTTGAAATTCGAAGTTGAAGTGCTTTGCCAAACCTTGAACTTGGATTTGAAGGTTTGTTTTTAAATGTCTTTTGATTAATCTATTTTATTTTTGCAGCAAGCCGATATTTGATGTTACCCCTAATTTAGTTTCCAGGGTACCTCTCGTAAAATTTTTTCTCAATCCTCTCAGGATGTGACTCCTGCTGAAGTGCTGAAAGATCAAGAAATTCTTGGAAAGATTGACCATCAACTCACATTCCCTGAAAAAGAAAAACTAGGTATTTGTCAAAAGTCTGCACTTTTTATCATTTTAGTGGTTTATACACTTAATTACGTAAGGAAAGCAGGAATGTTGCTAAATCGTTGCTGTCCTTTTTCTAAAAAATGTTAGTTTGAACTCCTTGGAAAGATCTGTAGATCTGTTGTTAATAGTTAGGTTTGGCACGACTTAATCAAATTTATCCATTCTCATGTACTTAAAGCAAAAGACTTTGGCAAAGTCATGATTCGTTATGATTCTAGTTTTTTAGTAAGATATCCAGAAATCTTAACTGGCTTCTAGACATGTGCACGGCTAGATCCTATAGTCTCCCTGAATATTGACAAATTTTGATCAATATTTATAATATGAACAGTACCTTAGTACCGTAATAGTTATCCGGTGCTATTTTATATGTTAATGTTTAGCTAATGAGCTATGTCTCTGTTAGCGTCTCCCTTCTTCTCATCGTTCCTGTGTTTTGTGAATGACAGTATGATTCCATTTCTGCAGGCTCAGAAAACCAACTTGGACAGACAGCCGCTCCCCCTCCGCCTCTTTTTTCATATCAAGAAATCAACGTATCTGCTGGAGCAGCCGGCCTTGCTCCATACATTCAAATCAACCAAAATGTAATTAGAAAGTTTTATACTAAACTCCACATCTGACTTTTTTCCTTGTATTATCTCAGGTAGTATCGCTATTAATTACAAGACATTTTTAGTTTTGGATACTTTGAGAGCTTCGTTTTTTCTTTGAAATGGTAGAATTGTGCATCTTTAAAGTTTCGTGTGTCGGATTTAATCGTAACCTTGATTTTCCTTGTTCTAGCTAAATATAATCTTTGATAAGTTACACTTAATTCTGTCATCTGTAACAAGTTTTCTAAAATTCTATTCCCATTTTCAGATTCCTTTGTTTCAACAATATCCTCACCTCAAGCAGTGCATCAGACCAGCAATCGAGAGGGCTGTACAAGAGCTTCTCTCCCCTGTTGTTGAAAGGTGCCTCAAGATTTGCCTAACAACTGTTGAAATGATAGTGAAGAAAGATTTCGCTTTGGACCCTGAGGAGTCCCGAACAAGAACTGCAGCACACCACATGGCTAGAAACATCACAGCTGGAATGGCAATGATCACGTGTAAAGAACTGCTGCAGCAAAGTTTGAACAGTCATATTAAAAGCAATCTACTTGCTACTTTACGGGTATGCATGATAATTTAATCTGCTTTGTTATAGTTTCTGCTATACTAAAATTTTCTGAAATAACAATCGAATAATAGTAATAATGATAATAATAATATATAATTGGTTTATTTGAGGTTGACATGATGATAACTGAGGAGCTGATTAAAGCTAACCATTAACACAATCGAAGATTTGAATCAGCTACAATACTTCTATGTACATCTTATCTATACAAACTACGATGCAAATTAGTTATTGTCTATGAAAACCATAAATTTCTAGAGAACCTCTTACACAGTCTGCAGTTGCGTTTACTAAATTGATGCTTTTTCATTTTCCACTTAAATTCAGTCAAGGTATGAGACTATTATATCTCTAATTTCAAGGAATGTGATGCAGTATAGATTGTTTCTATTCCACACAAACACATAATTTATGATAAATTTATCGTTTGCAAAAAAGAAAATGTGATTTATAGATATTTTAAATAGGAGGGGTCCCAAGACTGAGCCATGGGGCGCACCTTCTGTTGATTCTTTCCACAGTCCTTTCACTGAGGTAACTGTAAACGAGTTCCAGTTAGTTCCGTTTTTCGATATTTTTTACAGTTTATGAGATATAAGCTCTTGCATTTCGATAATTGAATTTAATTAACCGACAAAAATTTTTCAGTTTGGTGACACTGTGACGCAATTTTGACGTCACAGTGTATTTCGTTAGTCTCGCCTCAAAGCGAATCGAACGACGGCGATTCGCAAATTGAACACTGCAATTGATGGTACTCTCAGTTCTGTTCCACCGGCTTTTAGTTTGAGCATCTCAAATATCAATTCTGAAGCCTGTAGTTGTTCATCGTTTCTGGAGAACAACTGAAGTGTCAATTTCGATTAATTATACGCGAGGGAAGAGCTTTGTGGGCCTACACAGGTGATCAAAACAAAGTCGTGACACAGCATGGACACATTCCGACCCGCAAACTTAGAATGATTGTAAACATTTAATATTTTTCGATCCTAAAAAGCTCCTGCTGCAGATTTAGATGCAGTTATCAACGCGTGACCATTTCTCCTTCACGATTCGGTGGAAGATATACGAAATTCATGGCGAACGAGAGCCGCACACTGTGACGTCAGAATGTCACCAATCTGATTCGGCTTTTGTCGTTTTTTTCTCGGAAAGGTGCAACTTTAAAGCCTTATAACTTCTAAACTAATTGGAATTTTGCAAAAACAACGACTTTACCATAATACACGCACCAGATGCTAACGTTTTAGTCTATAAAAAAAAATTTTTTTGGCTGGAGAGGCCCTTTAAATTCGTAGAAGTAGAAGTAGAACCAAAGATCCACAAGAATCGCAAATTGTTGTTTAAGTTACGAAATACCCGATTAATGCGAGTATGAATTATGCGAGTTTCATTGTAGGCAACAAAATATCTTGTTATCATCTTACTTGTAGCCATTTCTATGAAAGGCAAATAAAAAGATATTTTGCTTTAGATAGAGATAAATCGATTAAATATATAAGGCAAATTTCTTGCCCGCTGCCGTATGACTGTCTTGTTTTTAGAATAATTAAAACTAAGCAAGGCGATGAGCCTATTTATGCAAAATACTTTTGCCAACTCTGTGAAATAGTAATGTAATTTCTAGCACATCATAACAGAAAGACTAAAGGCGCTATATTGAAAGATTAAGCCTATGTTGCCCAGCTCCTTGAAGCAAAACTGCCGATGTTTTGTTGAAGAAAAATGGTTCAAGCAGGTCAAATAGCTAAGACCTTGTTTACGCTTTTTGGTATGTAGAACCATAGAGAGAATTGTTTCAACAGTTACCCGATGACTGGATTTAGCGTGAAACTCGTAGTAGCATCTTAGAACCCTCTTGTTTTACACACCGAATAGCATGTAAAGCTCTGCCTGTATGATATTGAGCACTTTATGCCAGACGGGTAAACAGTAATTTTACACAGTAAGACCCCATTTACACTGTAACAGAATGCTTTTCGATCTGTGACTCTGTAAATGGGAATGAAACGCAACAATATTGTGATGATTGCATCTACTATTTTCATGGATTACTTTTGTTCAAGAATTCGCTCCAAATATCTCATCAACTATGCCAGACAATAATTTCGTAAATTGTTCGTATTTCAGGGAGCTAATGCTCAGCAAAAAGAGCAACTTGAACATGTGGCATCAGCTGTTGCTGTGGATAATCTAGAACTGGCTTGTGCATTTATTCAGAAGTCATCCGTTGAGAAATGTTTGATGGAAATAGATAAGTCCTTACTCTCAGTAAGTCTCCCTCTAATGACATATTTGAGAAGTTTTATTTTATATGAGTAGAACTAGAAAGAAGGCCCTACAATTAGCATTTAAGCAGCCGAATGAGTAATCACACCCGAACTTTAAATAGATGCATGATAGGATATTAGTGATGAAGGCCACAAATTATCAAATTATCAAATTATGTAAAAACTCTTTTTAATAATCCTTGCACAAACTGGATCCAAACACAGCCCAAAGTTTAAAGGACGCAACAACATGGAAGATTGCGAAACTCGACTGTTACCGTTTTAACACCTACTTTTTGCTCCCTACTTACTACCATTTAATTCACACACCTGTTGTGATCTTTAAATTCAGTCTTTATTTAATATAAATCACCGTCTTCAATGAACTTTGATTAGAATGCATTAACCAGAGATTCATGCAAAACAAGACTATCGAGAAAACAAGCTGCACAAAACACTGCGAAATTTGACCATTCTTTTCATAGAAGGCAGACGTTGTTTTAGTGATTTTAGTTTGTCACAAACAGTGAACTATCATTGCTTAAATTTGTGTTGCTAAATAAACTAAACATTCCAAGAAAGTTTATCATATGTACAGATTATGCTTCTAAATAACTACGCTGGAACCAAAAAAGCATCGAGAAATGCCCATATTTTGCAAATGCTCAGCATCCCATACTTTGGAAACAGCAGTGAAGAATTTGCAGATAACCGTTTTCAGGGTGCTGTTGTGCTCTTTTTTTATTAATTTTCCAACTGTACATTGAGAAATCCATACCCTCTCAGAATTTGTTCTCTAAACCATTTCATTAATATGTATATAAAGTCCAATTTATTAATTCAACTTTCATTACCATTCAACTTTTTCTGATAGGAATATGAAATCAGAAAGTTAGCTCGCTCAGAAAGTCGACGATATTGTAACACAAATGTCCTGACTTATCAAGCAGAAAGGATGCCGGAGCAAATCAGAATGAAGGTTATTGTGGAATTTGCTTTAGATTACCAACCTTTGCTAACCGAAGTGATTCGGGAGTGTGACAAAGATTGCTTTGGATGTTAGAAGCAATCGACGTTGAATCAACGTACAATCTCCAGATAGTGATGCCTTTTTAAACTAATATGTATTTTTAACCTAATTGGTTGTTTTTCTGCAATCATTGAATAAATATTTGCTTCAAGTTGAAAGTAATTTGCTAGCTTATGTCATCATGTTCCATAAACCGTTTACATCTCCAATCCAGGTTGGAGGTGTTACATCAAGCCAGATGAGTGTCTATGAAGAATTTGCAAAATCCATACCAGGATTTCTACCTCCTGAGGCAACTGGTGCTCCTGAACCATTTCCGAAGCCATTGCAAGAGCCAATTACGGCTCTTTTTGGAAATTCTCAACAGGACCCAAATGTGAGTATAACTTTATATTGATCCATTGGTCCATATTGTGTATCGTACGGTGTATTTAAAGATGATAATATGGTAGAAGAAATACTTATGAATATTTCTGTTTCTGATATTGCTATCGACGATTGCTAATTGATGTCTTAGATGCCAGATGATGTTGTACACATCCTTGGTAAATGTGCTGCGGAGATAGAGCAGCACATTCACCACATGGAACAAACAATGCACCAAATGATGATACCTCCACCGAACCCCCATCTTGGTCAGCTGCATAATCTTCTTGATATGGTGGTGAATGCCAGGGTAACTCGGGATAATGCTTCGGCCCTATCACTTATTAGAAAGGTTAGCTTTGGTTTTGTTTACTTTTTGTGACTTTTAAGTCTTTTTATGCTAGTAAAATCTGTTGTGATATATATTCATGGTGAAATCTCTCTTTTTATGGTGAAATCTGAATGGGCTAGAGAGCGATTTCTGCTTATTTTTGCATTGGCTTGGTTTCATTTTTCTTATTAGCTGCTCTTGTATAAATGTTTGTTTTAATAGAAATTAAGAATTATCTTAATTTTTGAATTATACGATTCGCGTTTACGGGCATCATAATCATAACTGACCTATCTACGTCACTTGCAATGTTTAGAAATTCATCAGTTTTAGCCATAGTTTTTTTCTATAACAAAATAGATAGATGCATCGGAAAGAAATGTTCATGGGCTGATCATGTCAGAATTTAATGAAGTCCCCATTATTCCAAAGTCATTAATAGACAGATTAACAAATAGAGTGATTTCATAGGCAGGTTTTAATTTCTTGCTGAGGTCCATATATTCCTTAGCCATTCATGTGTTGTGGTCTTTGATACTGCTTTTGAACGCAATTATGAGGTTGTGCATGCAATGCGTTTCATCGTCGGTTACTCTGGCAATTTCTGATCGATAGAAGTTGCCTGTGATTGGTTAAGGTGATGGAAATAAAGGCAGGTTTCTCTGTGTTGAAATTTTTCTAGACATGCAGAGAAGTAGAAATTGAAGCTAAATGGTAGAAATAAGATCTTAGCTGTTATGACATAAGTTGTAGCAGTAGTGAGCTATGAAGCAGGCATTTTGAATTAGGCAATTGGAAAACATGGATAAAATGACAAGAAGAATTAAAAAATGCGTGATGCGTTCCATCCTAAGAGTTATGCTTGTATGTCACTAAAGAGAAAGAAGTATGGGAACTGATCAGAGGATGAAGATGAAGAGCTCCGAGGGTTGCATAGAAAGAATGGAAAATAGCTAAGAGTGATATTTAAGGAATTCTGTGGGACTATGTATTCAATGGGGTTGGGGAAGCTGAAATGGTAGAAGCTTTCTGTGTTGCAAATAAGTAAGGGTGGTAAGATATTAGTTTGCAATGAGCTTCCACATTGATAACCTTCCGTCCTTAACTGTCAATCGATTTTTCAGGCCGTTGAAGGCATTCTGGAGACAATGCTTCCCACGGACACTGAGATGGCGCTTCGATACAAGGACTGTCATCTTATTGTTCTTCGAGGATTTCAAGACCCTCGTGGCTATGGTCCACTGTGGACAGCAAGACAAGTATCAAGGTTATTGAGTCAACAATTTTATACAATGTTAATGAAGAAAAGTCATTCATTGCTTCATTTTCAAATTACTGGTGAACAAAATTAAAGCAGGGAGGGAGGATGTAGAGCATATGAATGTAGAATTTCGGCAGTCTTTTACAAGTCACAGTCATTCCCGCCCTGCGATAAGCGTCATTGTAGATATGATATTGATATTTAACTGTTGCTAATGGAGCTAGATGGCTGCCTTTAATTCATTTATATTCGCTCTTGATGCTTATTGAAAGTAAACTTCTTAAATTTTTTGTCATTTCTCGTCAACAGAGTTTTGGGAGAATTGCCAGCCGAACTAAGGTTCAATATTGAAGGCATAGATCTGCTCATTCGTGCACATTTGATCAACGTCGGTCGGGATTTCGACCCTCTGCTAACTCAGGTAAGCACTTTTGCCAAGTAGGTCAGTCGTTCGTTGATATCAATTTGCTTATAATATTTAATTTAATTGTCGACCCCTCTGTGATTTTCTCATCAACCTTAGTTTCTATTTTAATCATGTTCGCATTGTTTGATCGATTCACGTATTCTGATGTGTCTAAAGATGTCCGTCCTTTTTTGTTTCTAATACAATAAATTTACACAAAATTACTCCTAAATTAAATTGAGAGACATCATTCAATGGCTGACTTTTTTACTTACAGTGGATTGACGGTGGCCAAAACTTCCGTGCTGTCAATTTTGCAATGCAGTTGTGTCGACTGTATCTTCTAGATGAAAAGAACAGGTCCCCGATAACAGATGTGAGTAAAAAGGAACAAATAGTACCAAGTTAACTATTACAAATGATTAATCTTAGCAAGGAATAATTCATTACAATTCATTATATTGAATCCTTCAGCATTTAATGTTCTAACTCAAAGTATTGTTTCAGTAAATGCTTTCTGATGGATTCATCTTCCTCGCGTTATGATACAGGATCCTTTGGAAATAGTCGCACAAAACTGGGATTGTTTTTTGTGCTCATCTTGTCGAGTGACTAACTGCAGAAAGTTAGCGTGCCCGAATCATTCAGGCCTATAGTAGGATAATATTTTTATGACCTTAAATGTTTCGTTAACTTTTCAGCATGCCATAAAGCATGTAGTAGTGAATTATAAGGGCAATGACAAGCAAGGCTGTCTTTTCACTGAGCCTTTTGCCACTTGTTTATATCAAACGAAAGTCCATGCTTTTTATTGACAGAAGTGTATTTATCCTGTAAAGTCATTTTCAACCATCGCCTGGATTTAGGTTTGCCTTAACCTGTTGCTCATTATCAACGGTTTCATAATCGGAGAAGTGTATGTCTAAAATTTACTTTTTCAAAAGTTTGCCTACCTTCTGGAGCAGTCTAAAATTTATGGTCTTTTGTTCTAAAACAATGGGAAATGTGACGTCATCTTATTAAAACAATAGGCTTGCCCCCCCCCCCAATATTTGACCAAGTGTCCGCCCCTGTTCTGGAGCAGTTTACGTTTCTGCTTACTGCCCAGAAAGAACTACAAATAACCACTGCAATTCAGCCATGACCGCACTAGCTGTGGTGATAATTGATGAAAGTTGGTTCACGCATTTTGATTGGATGATTTTCGCATCTATTTTTGGTAGAGAGGAAACGTTTGGGAATTCTCTTTCAAGTCGGGTCATTCGTTTTAATACCCAAGTTGTTTAAAAATTATGCAAACCTGCGTATGTTGGATCCTTCAATGCACACCCCTGTTAACAGCTTTTTTGTGGATACTTTCCCACTGTCTTATGGAATCCCAGTACGTTCAGTGGTGAAAATAGATTTTGAAAATAAATCAAATCGCGGAAAAATTGCTTAATTTATGTTTTGCATTAATTGGTCATATTTCAAATAGTTCAACTCAACTTTGATGGTCCTAATGCCAATTTATTCTCTATCTGCAATCTTTAAACAGAACGATCTGACCAATACGTTGGAAGCTCTTTGGCGCGTCTCGCAAGGGAGACAAGGAACCGAGGGGTGAGTTTTTTACCTTTTGAAAATAGGCTTGTTAAAATATTCAAAAAATTTAACCAGAAAGCGACGATTATTTTCTAATTTTTTATATCTTGCTAACTCCTTTATGTTTGGATCTTAGATTGTCAAGCCTCCTTGACAGTGTGCATCCGCACGTCGGCCTTCAAAATCAGCAAAGTTTCATGAGTCAGTATCAAAATGATCCTTTGGAAAAGGGGTCAGTGCCAGGATTACCCTCTTCTTTGTCTCAAGGATTAATTGGACATGAATTCGAAGATCCTCCAGGATTATACGAAAAGGTTTGCGTTAATTTCTGTTCCAAGTCCCTTCTACAGCTGGTATTGCAGTTCAATTTTTTTTTGTCTCTCCATGTTTTCTCAGAATATTCAGTAGTTTTGATATATGTAGCTATCTTCAGTGCCGTCGGAACGAAATTCATATTGGGGGGCTGCCCATTGTTTTCCTTCTCATCCAGTACACTGTTATGAAGGAAACATACTACAGTTTGACAATTATTGGGCATGATCTTTGACACAGTTTTGAATTCACTGCTTGGTTTCTATGAACGATGGAATTTTACCTAAAAACATTTGAGTTAAGTACGGGGTCATTTGCAATTTTCTTAACTTTTTAGGTCGACTATCTTTTGAAAGAATGGGTTCGCTTGTATCATCATGCTAGTGCTGGCAGATATAGTGAAAAAGCGTTTCAGGCTTTTGTGCAACAGGTAATTTGTGTTCCTTTCTTTTTTTAAGTTTAAGTACATTACGATGATTGAATGTTAAGGAACACAAAGCACATGCGCAATTGTCTGAAGTTATATGTTAACTTAAAAGGCCTAGACGATGTATGCAGTAGTATGCACTTTCAGCTTGCTGTAAGTCAAATAAAGTTAAAGGATAGTAAAATTCATAAAGTTTTAGTATCTGTTATGAAGGGGCAAGTTTTTAACGTTGTGACTTTATTATGAAGTAAACTTTCTTTGAATGTGGCTAAGAAATTCAAAGCACTTTACATAAGTTGTGGCAGAGGACGAAACTGTTACGAAGCACCCGTTGTAATTTGACGCATAATTGCAAAATCCCTATTGCAACTGACAAACTACTTTTAGCAAATTCCCTGTTCCAGTATCCTATTTCTTTAAAGTAAGCACACAATGATGGAAGGACGTCTGCTATAGCGACAAAGTTCCATTTATCTTTCTTTTATGAAAGTGCTTGTTTGATTGCATATTCTTCTTCCTCGACAGCTTCATCAGTATGGGATTCTCAAAACCGATGATTTGATAACTCGGTTTTTCCGACTGTGTACAGAGATTTGTGTCAGTATAACGTACAAAGCCCTAAACGAATACGTAAGTCTTCATTCATGAGTGCAATTTCACACGAACCTTTAATGTAAAAGCATTCATTTACTATTGTAATATTTGTAATCGAAATGGCCAAGACATATCCTGGTAAGTAGGTTCATCAATGAAAGCAATAAAATATCTGCTATTAAATTATTTTTAGTTCTATGTTCTTAAATCAATGATTTCTTTATTGCCTATAAACATGAAGGTAGAAAAAATTGGTTGGCTATCACATAATACCATAGACTTATGAATATTGAAATCTGCACCTGGAGGAAGAGGAAAAACCTTCCACTAGCTGCCAAGAGTGAGCTTTGGCAATCACTCAATTCCATAAGCCTTTTTAAATATTTGATCACCTTTTAGGCCCAGAACATATCGCAAGCAAGAACAAAATGCTTCACAAATACAGATGCATACTGTCGACTAATTGCCTTACTGGTAAAGCACTCAGGAGATGCCCAAAACAACATCACAAAGATAAATGTTTTGAATAGGGTAAGGAAGATATTCTGTGCATTTTGATTCCATCTACAGCCCAGAAATTTAATCGGGGAACCTCGGCGTTATAGTGCACCTTAGAGTTGCACTCATGTATTTGGCTAACGATAATCTTTATTTTGCAAATGAGGTCAGTTACTTATCTGTAGTGTTTCTTTCCCTACAATTCGACTTTTCCTAATTGTCTAAAGAATTTGCTTTGACAACAGATTTAAGCTACAGAAATAATTACTTAAGTACTAAATAATTAGCTTGACAACAATTTTCAGCTACTGAAATAACTCTGTGCTGTTTTGTTCGTGTTGAAGTCATTTTGCTCATAACTTAACTTATGTCATTGTTCTGCATTGTGGCCCTTGAAACGACTCTTTTTCGTTTGTGTTCCTCTGCCTCCTCGTATATTGTACCCAGAAATTCTACGTACATAAAGTTTTGGTGTAGATGGACACTAACAGTTTCTTGAGGCTAAAATACACTACGCATCTATTTGAATTCAATAAATCGAACGGTTAAATTTAAAGATAAAAGGTATTTGTTTACACTCATGCAAGAAATTGAATCGCTTTTATTAAGCGTTCCCCCAATTTGTCTTGCACTCTGACGAGGAATGCGCTGCTGCTTCCACTTTTGTTGCAATTGTATGTAAATAACGAGAACAAAGATTCGTCTGGGTAAAGCCCTAGTTAATCTGACGAAATGAGCTGGAAGTTGTAAATACGCTTTTGAAAGAATTTCATCTGGGATAAGGTGAAAAATATCAAAGATTCTTGAGGATGTCTTGTGAAAATTTTGATCAACTATTACAATTCGTTGAATTTGATGTTCAAAAAGAAAACACAAGGCTGTGCGGTCAATACTGTAACTAGCAAAAATGTAACTAGCTAAAACGATTCGTTTTTATCAACCTAAAACGGGTTTTGTTTATCACAACCTGGCTGATGGAGTGAAGCCCCTCACGAAGTGCTGTGCACGTCATTAAAGACAGGTTCTGAGCAGGATTGCAAAATAGAAAAAAATTTGAGGAAATCTGAACGCATCCAACTTTTGAAAAAGGAGTTTCAGTTTTTCTAAACTGCAATGAATCGATCCATTTTTACGTTTACGCTGTCCAAATTTTCACTGATTCAGTTAATCGAATTCAATTAAATGCATAGTGTATTTCAGCCTTCGGGCAGTAAGATTGTTAATTTCAATGGCCGTAAATGCGTTCTTTTTGGCTTTTTATATTCTAGGTCCTTGGCATTATAGGAAACGTATTGCTTCAAGACCATGAATTGCGGAAAGTCGATTTTCACCAGCTTCCATACCAAAGAATGTTTGTTATTCTTTTGCTCGAGCTCAACGCACCAGAGACGGTTTTAGAAGCGATCAATTTCCCAGTTTTATCATGCTTTGGAAACGTTCTACATGATTTGAGGCCGTCTCGTGCTCCAGGCTTTGCTTATGCATGGCTCGAACTGGTTTCTCACCGAACATTAATGTCCAAACTGCTCCTGAATTCACCACAGCAAAAGGTATTTTTTATTAATTGCATGCTCTTTAATGTGACAAGTTTTCTTGTATTGTGAAAAGTTTGCCTTGGCAGATTTCAGATTATAAGTTTTTTTATATGAGTGTATTCATATTAGCCGCCTTCCAGAAGCTGTGGATGCCGCTTTGTTAGAAAGTCCTTTACTGTGAACTGTCATCAATCGGTCGAATTTTTATTTGCCAAAGCAACCTATCATGGTAACAGCTTTACTACAAAATTCTTTAACAAGCCTCTGCAAGCTGTTTCTATCGTTTCATTCCGTTACTTATTTGAAGCAACCGCCCCCCCAATACTTTTGAGGACAATGGTCTTTTGTTCTAGAACAATGGGACATGTGACGTCATCTTATTAAAAGAATAGGCTTGCCCCCCAATATTTGATCAAGTTTCCGCCCCTGCTCGGACTAAACAATTTTACTCCCATATTCAACGGTCGCTCCCTCAAAATTCAAGTTATTTCAAGCGCAGAGTAATGTTAAAGTAATTTCATCTCAATGGTGTCAATATATATAACTGCAATTTTGTCTTTCAGGGATGGATAATCTATCACCAGCTTTTGATTGACCTCTTCAAGTTTTTGGCTCCATTTTTAAGAAATGTCGAACTTGCGAAGCAGACTCACTTATTGTACAAGGTATGTTTTAAATTATGTGTACACTCTGAATTGTATTTATATTTTTCAGGTATCTTTTTGAAAAAGGCTTAGTAGCAGTGTTTTAAGAAAAGACAGTACCATTGTGCATACTAGGAACTAAATTTGCATATTTTAGAAACATTAATGACTTTGTTTTCTAAAGTTTGATTCTAAGACATGGATAATCCCGTCAGAAAATAGTGATCTTTCGAAAAAGATTTGTTCTAATTTCTGCTCTCTCTTTCAGGGAACGCTTCGCGTCCTACTGGTCTTGCTACATGATTTCCCAGAATTTTTGTGCGATTACCACTTCAGTTTTTGCGATGTCATTCCCCCTAACTGCATCCAAATGAGAAATCTGATTCTTAGTGCCTTCCCAAGAAATATGAGATTGCCTGATCCATTCACACCCAATCTTAAGGTATGTTTTTCTTGTATTTGAGCAAATTTCCGAGATTTTCTGTAAGGCTAAATACACAATCAGATAAAATAGAGCGTGGCTTTCAATACCTAGTGATTTGTTTTCAACTTAATGAAATAGTCCATAGATATAAGAAAACATTTCTTTTGGATATCCATTTTATGTTTTATACTGAACATGCCCATGCCCATTTTAGGTTGATTTGTTGACAGACATTGCTAGACCACCAAGAATACTTACCAATTTCGCTGCTGCTATCCAGCCAAGTAACTTCAAAAAGGTAAGTTAAATTGAAAACCCAGGCCAACTCTCTACGTTATTGAGATTTGAAAAATTTGCTGGATGCATCATTTCTTGTTGCATCAGGCGTGCTGTGCATCATGTGCGCTATTTTAGAATGGCACTAATTTAGCAGCTCCCTTATTCGAAGCCCATTAAACTTTTTTCAGCTTCAATTTTAAATCATAACTACATTGATTGCCAAACATCAAAAGTTCTCTGACGAGATGAATAATATTAGCACTGGTTAATTAACGTTACTTATTTTCCCAACAGTGTTAGTAGTATTTGAGTTTAGATACATACTTCCTCTATTCTAGGACTTGGATTCATACCTTAAGACAAGAGCACCGGTCACGTTCCTGTCTGAGCTTCGGACATATCTGCAGGTAATTCACACTTCATTTACAATATCGTTTTTATATCATCATAGTGAAGCTATAACAATTGGCTGAATTCCGTTTTGACAAATTGCTTCTTGGCTGCCTCTTTCATTTTAGTAAAAATTAAGTCATTAAATTCTATTACTTTAGGTTTCAAACGAGCCGGGAACCAGATACAATGTCGCTTTAATGAATGCCCTCGTCCTGTATGTTGGCACTCAAGCAATCGCATATATTCAGAGCAAAAGCGGAACGCCATCCATATCAACTATAACCCATTCATCACACATGGACATTTTCCAGAATTTGGCGGTTGATCTTGATACTGAAGGTAAACTTGGTATACAAGCAATTCTTTTTTCTACAATATTCGGTATAAAACACTTTTCTCATGAAGGTTTGTTATCAATTCGCTTACGGCTGTTTTTGCTATTTGGTAGGAATGGAAAAAGAGTTTTCTTCTCGTCTGTTTAAGATAACTGATATTTTCTATACTACAAACCAGCAGTACAGACAACTGGACTAAATTATAAGTATTCCTTTTCGTTGACTTTTACAAAAATTACATTCTGAAGTAAGCTACTACTACTATATAATTTGCTGATCTGGTTTACAAAGCAGCCAAATTGTTAATTTTGATTGCGTTTCTCATTTATTTAATGCATTTTTACGCCAATATTGCAGCAGCTTTTTACTTGATCACATAAGTTTGTTAAGTACCATACATCTTACATTGATTCAGTATTTTTTTCTACATTTCTTACATCATGATTGATTAATCATTGCTGAATTTTTTGTCAATTTTCTTTTTCTTATACTCTTTCTTGACTTTTTAGATGCTTTCGTTCTGGAGTTTAAGTATCTTTCTGTATTAATTCTGCTTCTGATTTATTTTGGGACCCAAAATATTTTTTGTGACCAAAGTCCCGTTGTCCGACTCTTTTCCACCCCTGCTATTTCCGACTAGCATCGATGCTGAGTTGCGTATTTATCTTGGTTGGATTCAGAGTTTTTTAGCCAAGCTTTCAAAGAAAATTCTGTTATATTTCCCTGCACTTGATTAATGCGTTTAACTTGTCACTATCAGAAAGAGAGTTACTTTCCTCGTAAATTAAAATGTGAATATCTTATACCTGTTTGAGAAGCGGGTTCATTTACTGTGCTGCTTGCCGGCTCTCAAATTGCCAGCTCTAAAATTGCCGGGTTCATTTGATTTACAAATAAATAATACCGGTGAGTGTTTTTCTGATCTGCTTTCAGGAATTAGAAAAGGGCGTCACATACGCAGAAAATTTGTCGCTTTCTAGAATTTTGTAAGATGACCTTGCATGAGGGTTTCGTTGGGGACCTTCCAACGGATCTCTCGAAAGACTTTGACTGCCTCTGTCATGAATTTATAATCTGTATTTGTATGGATCTAGTAAAATTGCGTTAAGACGTATATACAGCTATTGAACAAGGAAACAAAGAAAATTGTTTGCCCCTACGTGACGAATTTTTAGTGGCTCTGCGTATACCTGTTAACCTTCTTTTTCCTTCCCTTTCATTCCTTCACATTCTCACACTAACGCAAATATACCCGTTCATGTCTGTTTGCCTAGCTACTCATTTTACTCATCACATTAATGCGTCTTTGTGGTCATTTTCCGCGTTTTTTACATTAATTTTCAAAATCATAATTTGTACTGTCAATCCAACTCTGTTATTTAATCAAATTTGTCCCCTGAACGCTCAGTTCTCTCTTGCACTGTATTCTCTCGATTGATACACAAAGTAGACATTAGGTTTGCTGTTCTGTTCTTGTGCTCTTACTCTTCAACATATCTTTAAATGACCTTTGCTAATATCTGCAACTATGTTCACGTTGTAAGGTTATCGGAAATATATAATATTACGCTCTTTTTTAGAATGACAAGGCCTAGTTAGAATCGTCAAATACGATGTACTTTAGTTTATTAATGAGAAGACCAGATTACCCACATTGGCTTGCTTTCCTAAATCTTGCTTGTTTTGTGTTGATGTTGATGAAAATATTAATTTGAATATTTCTTTTGTTTGTTTTACGATCTTTTTTACCAATTAACGAGCTTTTTGGAACATAGATTGTTAAAAGCTGTTAGATATTATATGCTCTTCACAGTTTAGTTATCTCAACCCATATTCAATTTCACATCCTTTTTTCTCTAAAACTAATTTCCTCGGGGCTGGTCACTGTTGGTTTGTTTCCCCTTGTAAATGTGACAACGGTTAACTGTTGGTTTGTTTCCCCTTGTAAATGTGACAACGGTTAACTGTTGGTTTGTTCCCCTTGTAAATGTGACAACGGTTAACTATTCTTGTTTCAATTGTTTTACTGCTGACACCAAGGATTTGTTTAAGCGGTGTCCCAAAATCTGACTCTTTTGAAGCAGCTTTTAAAGACGAAAAGCTGCCAATAAATCCCTTAGAGCTGAATATTTCAGCAGTATATAGATCGCCAGTCTGTAAAGTACCTTGGCCAGTGCAGTTAAATTTTACATCTGCCAGTTGAACATTGCTTCTTCGTTTGAAGTTGTTATATTTTTATGCTTGCTTGATTGATTTTTCAGGGCGTTACTTGTTCCTGAATGCAATAGCAAATCAGCTGAGGTATCCTAACAGCCACACGCATTATTTCAGCTGCACTCTGCTGTATTTGTTCGCTGAAGCCAATTCTGAGGCTATCCAAGAGCAAATTACCAGGTATTCGATTACTTGAATGTGCCATGACCTGACCGACATCTCTTTTCAGTATTTGAAAGACTAAAACGTCCCCGAAAGCTTCTTTGAAAGACTAAAACGTCTGATCATTATTGTTTCATTTTCCAAGTTAATCTAAGCCTGATTCTTATATTCGCATGCCGTTGGCGACCGTTGGCGACCATCGTCGATTCAAGTGTTCTCGTATACTGATTGTTTATGATGACCTACGATTTTCTGGGTCTGTGATAAACAACGTGATCCTGTAAACAAGGAACCATTTGTTCGAAATACAGAACGAAAATTACTTCTTCTACTGTTACAAAAACAATGCAATGTTACAATGGAAGACATGAGAAAGTCACAGCGGAGAAGATTTTGGCTAATGGATATGCTCAAGAGAAGGTAGCAGCTAGTCCAATATCACAATTAGTGAAAGAAGATGAATTTATCGACAATGATAACATCTTGAAGGCAAACAATGCCTCGAATTATTACAACTTTAATAAATTTTTATTATAGTGTGGATGAGAATGTGTGATTTGGAGTATTATTTTACCGCTGCAGACACTGGAATTTTCAGCAAAGATAATACTGCCCATATTTTGAGAACTCTGAAACAGAAATAGTTTTTGTTAATGATTAACTTTATGTACCATCCCCAAGGAAAAATTGCTGGTCATCAATTACCGCCTAAGTTTTTCGATTCTTCAGCAGGATAGCTTTTATTCCATCGATCTATCAAAGCAAAGCTGGAAACAATCGCAAAGGCATGTCTGTGCATCCATAATTACCTAGGGCTCACGCCAATTATACAGTATGCTCTATCAGGGTTTATAGATTGTGAAGATGGCCTCACAACACCAGGCAAACGCTAAGTTACAGAACTTGGATGTGCCTTGCAGTGTGTAGCTGGCCTCACAACACCGGATCATGTTACTCCTTGAAGATATGTAAATAATTTGTTGAAATCGTCGATTCAGCGGCGTCCGTTGAAAGCTGCCATCTGATTGTCACTCATCGGTTGTCATTGACTTTACCGAATTCGGAAACAGGAAAATTATTTTCAGCATATTGTTCTAAGGATGTTTTTTTGCTTGCTAAATCTGATTTTTTGTCAACAGGGTGCTCCTTGAAAGATTGATTGTGAACAGGCCACATCCCTGGGGACTTCTAATTACATTTATTGAGCTGATCAAGAATCATAATTACAAGTTTTGGAACCACGATTTTGTTCACTGCGCTCCTGAAATAGAGAAGTAATTTCTTGATTTTACTCAATTACGTTTCTTCATTTATTCATTTTACTTGATTTTACGTTTGAATTCTTCTAAAATCTCTTGTGTTCTCCCCAAATGTCACCAGAATCAAATTTCAACGTTGTTTTGCAGGCTCTTTGAATCAGTCGCTCGTAGCTGTATGCAACAAAAGCAACCTAACCGAAACGGAAGTGACTCCCAAGAATAATAAAGCTGGAAGACCTACTATTGTAAAACAATTTTCAGTCAGTTATCTATCCGTACAAGCGCTTCTTTATTTTTTCAGTGCTCTGTATGCAGGTTACTTGAAAGTAGTTTCATTATGATGACTCGTGTCATTTTTCGCAGCTTGTTTTGTCGAATAGTTTCTTTTGATAACACGTCCTTGTATGCAAAAACAGTTTTTTAAAGCCAATCTTCGTTTAAGAGACCCGCCTGAGTGATTAAGGACCAAAAACTCTTTTTCAATATCCATGCTTTCGCGCAAGCGAATGACGTTTTTCATTTTCATTTTGAACATACATTTTGAACATATCTCGAACTCTGAAGGGAAACGAAAAAATGTTCGAGATAGCGAATGTTCGAGTTTTCGGATGACCCCAAAAAATCCAATTTGTTTCAAATTTGGAAGGTTTAACAGGCAGCAATTAAGGATATGTAGTCACTAATACAAAATTACAAGTCAAACTAAATCATTAAGAAAAATAAGCACCTAATGTCATTTGTTTTCTCTTTCTAACCAATTCCTTCTCTATAACATCATTCATTTTAACGAAATGCTCACGGAGCACTTCTCTATTCTCTGAGAATAGGCAATATCTTGATATTACCTCAATCGCAGCTCTTATTTCGTCCGTTGTTGGCTTTGTCAAAGGGTTGTCGTTGCTTTCTTGGCTGTCCTCTTGGCTGTCTTCTTGGATGTCCACAACTTCAACACCTTTTTCACCAATTAGCTCAGCTATGGTTTCATCTTTAGTTGACAATGCTGATCTTGCTAAGACTTGGTCGTCGCAGTCAATAAACTCCTCTGCACTTGTGTTGGCTGGAGCAATTTCTTCCATTTCGTCATTTCTTCCACCAAGTCTTTAAAAGGGTCATCTTCATCTGATACTGCTTGATGTTGATTTTTGGAAGAAAGGCCAGCTTTGGCAAAGCAGTTAACGATTGTCGTTTCAGATACCATAGACCATGATGCGGTTAATGTGTCCATTGCATCCAAAATGGTAATTTTTGGTAGAGACTTTTGTTGATTAATTGCTCTGATGTATTTCTGCACCAAAACTGTTCGGAACTTGATTTCAAACTTCGGATTACCCCTTGATCCATTGGCTGTGTCTTAGATGTTGTGTTTGGCAGCAAGAACACAAGCTTGATTGCTTTCAGGTTTTCTATTTCTGGATGTGCTGGACAGTTGTCGATAACAAGACCCAACCTTTCGTTTCTGTGCCAGAAATTTGTTGTCCAGTTCTTCTACCCGTTCTTGAAACAACTCACCATTCATCCAGCTTTTTTTCTGATGTCTATAACGGCATGGCAAAAACCTAATCCCATTGAAGCATCTTGGCTTTTTTGATTTTCCAATTACAAACATGGGAGCTTTTCTCCACTGGAAGATGCCAATCCAGTCAGGCGGACTTTGCTGTGCTTACCTCCAATGCAACTTTCAGACTTCATATCCTCGTCTGCATTATAAATATCTTCAAATTTGTACTGTGACAGTTGGGTGGGCAATTATGTCTCATTCCATGGTGCTACCATTTCTGTAGTGACTGAACTTGCTTCACCAGAAATCTTCTTGAACGTGACACTGTATCGCTCTTTCCAACGACGAATCCAATCATCTGCCGCTTGAAAGTCGTATAACACCGCTTCTTTTGCGTAGAACTTTGCCTTTTCTTTAAAAAAACAGCGCCTCCAATAGGTACATCTTGATTTCTTACAAAAAGAAACCACTGGAACATTGCCTTGTTTAAGTTTTCATGATTTCCACCTCATGCTTTTCTGCGCTTTGGATTTCTTGCTTGGAAGTCGTCAAATATTTAGTTGTTGTTTTTCACCCATGTCGAAAGTGTATTCTTGGGAACCATGTACTTTTCCGCAACACTTTTGTTCCCCTTTCTCTAACTCTTTTACTGCTTCGTACTTTTCTTTCAAAGTCTTGTTTGTAACAGAACGTTTTGTAGCAGTTGCCATTGCTTCTTTGAACTCTCTGACTGTTTATCAACTTGTTTGCTTGACCCGTACACAAGAAAGGAAATTAGCACTGCATTGGCTTCGCTTTCTCAAATCGAATCGCATGTTTGACATTTTTCGAGATTTTATTCCAAACAATAGCCAACTATAATAGACGCATTTTATTTTATAAGCAAGTGCTCTATAAGCAAGTCAGCACTCGGATACGCAAAAACTTAAGGAATTCCTATCCCCCCGATTTTTCTCATCTCCCCGTTTATTCGCTACTCGAGAGTACGAAACTTTTTTAAGCCATTCACTCTATAAACTGTGACGCAAATAATCTAAACCTGTTACATTTGGTTAGTGCCTTCATGTTAGTATACAGTGTTTTTAGAAGTATGGCAATTGTAACAAACTGACGGTAATATTGTGAATGTTGAGGACCAGATTCCTATTGCGGTCGTTACAAGCATTGAAATGGATTCGTATATCAAAGGGTATCATGCTTATCAGGATAAATGGACACCCCAGATTGGCGAAAAGCCTAAAACTGCAATAGAACAAAATAATATTATGGATAAGTATGCCGTTTGCGTTTTAAAAACAATGACCTTGCTGGTCATCTACCAAAGGGTAAAAATGGGAAATTTGCGAAAACAATCGTTTTGTTTCTTGAGAGCTATCAGTACAGTTATTGTCATGCAGTTGTAAAAGGGAAATCTTTAAACTTTGGTGATGGTGATGGCATGCAGGTCCCTTGCACATAGATGATAGAAGGGTCAAAATGCTTTATTGTCAGAACAGTTATCATTTACTTAATAAAACATTTAAATTGTATTGTAACACTGTATTTTTAATCTGTTAACTGTCATCTGCCGTTCAAACAGTTTTTTTACTTGTATTTTTTATTTCCTCACATAACCAAAAACAAACAAGTTCGAGATAGCGAACACTTTTCGTCTAGGGGAAACAGAAAACGGTTCGACATAACGAATATTCGAAATAGCTAGCAGTCGAGATAGCGAACGGTTTTTCTGTACTTAACCCTATAGCAAAACCAATGGAAACAAAAAATGGTTCGAAATAGCGAATGTTCGAGATAGTGGACAGTCGAGATATGGGATGTCAACTGTATTTATACAGGGTTACAACTCAAAGTTAGTATCTGCTTTACAACTAGCTTCGTGAAAAAAACATTTACGATATGAATTTATTCAAACTAAATGAATAATTACGATCCAAATTATTTATATAGAAATGTGGCAACTAAATTGAGACATTTTAAGTCTTCTTGGCTTAATATCCAAATAAATTGATTCCAACTTGTTAGCTTCTTTAAATTAGAGGCTGTTCGTTGGAGTTCATTTAAGAGAATTTATCAGCGAATTCTGGACACACCATAAATAAATGAAATTCATCTCCGAAAACCCTTAAACCTGTCGCTAAGCAGAAACTGCAATGTCGTTCTTCTCTAGGGATAGGGTTTTTTCCAAAACGGCCAGTTTCTACTTCTAGATTATGAGCGCTTAGTCTTGACCGTGAAAGGCATCGTCTTTTGTTAAAGTCTTTGACAATTTCAAAATAGGATTCGAATTTGAAAACCGTTTTAACTTGAGCATATGCACATAATTTGTGTTCAGTACAACGTGCATTTTAAGCTTGTTCATTATTTCACTCGCAAAATGACTTCTAATCTTGGATTTTATCGCAGCAGTGGTATCGTTGTGACTGATTTCATATCTGGTTTTCAATTTGTGGGCTTTCGAAACCTAGTTGGGGGAGCCATTGTTTGTGCCGTTCGAGAGCGCTTCAAATGATTTGCAAACGTACCTATCTGGTTCCAAATCAAGAAGGGACTCGAGCCTGAACAAGAATTTTAAGATATTTATGTGTCTGCTATACTGAATAGAAATTCTGCCTAATTCAGCATAAATAGCTTCAGTACAAGTAGTAGATTTAACTCGCAAGTATGTTTTTACAAGCAGAGAAATGTAAACGTTCAAGGGTAGGCCACTCATCAAATCCCCAGATTTCTGAGCCATAATTGATGCATCTGAATTCACAATTTACGCGCTCTCTTTTAAATCTACATTTTCTGGTTCTGAGTAACACTACAAAAATTTCCAAATTTAATTACCAATAAGAAGCAAGAATAACATGTGCAGTTTTACGTCAACTAAAGCTAATTAACAGCAATTTTTATGTAGAACGCTGCATGCCTATAACACGCTGAATGCTTATAACTAAATTTACCTGAACATTTATCTGTAGCCAAGCCAAGTTATGGAATAAACAAGCAATGTTAAAGGTTCCCCGCGATCCTAACAAGTTCACCATGCGATCCATCTGAATGAACAGTAGGAAAAACAACTAATCACTACACAATTCTGTGTTTATAGCAAATAATTCACCAACTACACTCTTTTTTTTATAAGAACAATTTTATAAGAACACGCTGAGACTGAGCTTCTGCAAAATGCAATTTTGAACAACGTTTTTGCTCAAAATCGAGGATTTTTAGTGATGTGTGGGTGCTTTTTCGGTGAATATTCAAATTTGTCAGCAAATTAAGGCTGTCTCACTCACTTTGTTGGCAAATGAGGCCTGAACACCTCCTTAGAGCGAAAAAGCTAGCAATCACAATGCTTACACCCTCTTAATTTAAGAACAAATTAAGAACAATCCAGCCTCAGATTTTCGAAAAAATTAAGAACAGTCAGCCTGAACTTAAATTTACTGTTTCTTATAAAAAAAGAGTGTACGTGTAGCAATTATGGTTAGAAGAAAAATGCCCGAAAGCAATGGAAAAGTTCCGACACTAGTGTCATTGATTAAGTCATGTCATAATCACTGAACTGCTTCTCGCAAAGACGTGTAGAATTTGTCACCTTGGATTCTGATTTTTTTTGCGTGAATAGTAAAAATGTGGGCGGCTTGGAGTACCATCGGTGTTGTAAAACGTGTTGTAACAACCAAATGCTGCAAGCTGTCTTCCAAGAGGTCGCTTTTTTTCTTCCTGTCATCCGCTTTTTGCATCGGAGCTGAAGGTTTGTGTCTACAAATGAATGTCTTGGAGATCGGAACATCATTTTTCTCGTTTGGGATAATGCGCCCCGACTACTCGACAACGTACAGCCAGGGTTGATCCATGACACATCTATTGGTGAAAGTTTATGTGCTAAAATTGCAACTTCAGTATCCGATCTAAATGCTGACATATCTTAATTAAATATGATTCAAATTTTTTGAGCTAAGAAAAAAGTACAATATAAATTTTTGAATATCGACAGTCTTAAAAACAAAATAATCGCTTTAGTTGGAATGATACATCTACCATTAAATAGCCATTGTTCACTAATGATCTAATTGCTTCAAAGCTGTAAACAATAACTTTTGCATCAACTTCAAACGCCGCCAAGACAGATTGTGGGGAATATCCAAAGCTTCGTTATTTCGCTGGCTCAGGCAGCATTCTTAGTAATGCCGAACTTTTTCCTACTGATCGTGTTTAGATACATTCTCAATTCCCTTTTTAAATGCTTTATGCCTTTAAAGATGCTGCTTTGGACAAAAAAGAAAATAACAATTTCAGATAATTGTGCATGTTAAAAACGTATTCACAAGAACAATTACGAAACTAACAATAAATCATCAAATACGATACTAACAATGAATCATCAATTACAAAAATAGCATAAATGATCCACAAAGTTTATTAAATGAAGAATAGGTCCTGTAGAGCGTGGACCTGTGTGAATTTATACAAACAAGCATTTGGAACTAAACTGTAGCGATAAATGAGCGGATCTGAGATAAATATATGTTTTTATGACATTACACCAAAAATGCAAGTTTTATGTTCGCCAGCAATTAGTGTTTAAACGTGTAATTGAGGTAGCTAGAACCATAACGATGAAACGTTGGTTTTATTTGTTTGTTACGTGAGTCGAGGGGCAAATCACTCTAAGAAAATCTCGTACAGCTTTCGTGAAAATCCTATTGTTTTATCTGAAAATTCTCAAAAATCCTTTTGTTTTAGGCAAAATCTCGTACGCTATTTGCAAGAGTGAATCGCCCCTCGACGGGAGTTGTCCCTTGAATAATTAATTGTTCCTTATAACTACACCTTCATACTCATTAGTTATCTTCTTAGGGTTTTGTGTCTCTTTCTTCAGTAAGTACCTCATGCTTTAACCTTTTCTTGCTACTCTTTCTATGTAAATATTTAGCCACGCTGAATTTCAAAACGTTTTCGTTAAGGTATTTTTGTTATAACCTATTCAAATGAGAACACGCGTGGCCTGTGGGCACTTACGATTAGACCAAGAACCGCGAGAATTCTGCAAATATTAAGCGTCATAGGAGGTACTGTGAAATGAATTAAGTGTGAAAGGCAGTGCACGTGTATGCTGAATTTTCACAAATAAAACTCGACCCTACAAAGTAATTGTTAAGAAACTTGGCATTGGTAATAGCCCTAATCTTATTGTTGAAAGACCACTTTTTGATTAGTAGGTACAAGGTGGAAAAACATGGACTTTATCATTTCGAAACATATCATTTCAGCTTCATCAAAAAACATTTCTCCTATAGACAAAAGCATTCGATTACCCCCAATTCAAACGATCTACATCAATCAATGGTATAGCACGCGTAACAACATTTTGTACTAACTTTCGGCGTTAAATCGCAAATTACAGCAAGCACTGCAAGATTGATAAGCACATGGTTAAATATTGAATTTGAATATTTTGTTGTTCTGTAGAAAATAAATCAGCAATTAATTAAAAACTGACGTAAATTTTCCATATCATGTGTAATATTACTTTTCAACGATTTTGCGCATCATATGTAATTTTACTTTTCAACAGTATCAATAAGAATAGCAGATGCAGACTTTGCTCGTTTATGTCCAGGTTTACTTTCATCTTTCTCTCGCAAAACCTCTACATCTGAAACCAAATCATACTGTTCAAGCGTAGAACTAGAATGTCGGAAGCCATTCATCACTGGAGAATTGGATTGTATACCATTTTGTGCCGTTAATAAACATCTTGTTGACTCTGGAAGACATACTTTGTTGAGCTCATATCTTGCTCTTTTAATTACATACCACATAAGGCACAAGCTAATCATAACTTGAAAAAAGATGATGAGGTAACCTTTTGACTTTTCTTGATTTACCACATCATTTATAGTTCTTAGTGTTGAACCAATGTAAGAATTCAGAGCTTGAGTTGGCAGTAGCCCAATCGCAGATGCCATTGATAACCGCGATATACTGATGTTTGTTATCTACGATTGAAAACACCAAATGAATTCACTAAAACCTGTATTCGTCAATAAGTGAAAAAGCAAACAAGTTTCATTTAAATGACAAATACTCTGATTTTCCTGTATGACATTATCATATGCACACTGGAATTTGCTATAAGAAATTTTCAATGTGAAACCTGATTTCTTGCAGAACAGAAACAAGATAAAGTAGGAGAACTAAGATAGTCTAACTAAAAGCCATTGATGCCCATTTCCTTTTCTCGGTAGGTCAGCTCTGTTCTGCGAAGAAAGACTATCTATGACAGAAGCTGGCCTCAATGTGGCAAATGAGATACCCCTGGCTCCTGTTTTTATAATCGAATATGATACGGTGTCTAATCACCTTTCGTTGGGCAATTTTTGTTTTCCCTTAACTAAGGAGATGAAGAATCTTAACTATGCAGTGCAGCGATGAAACTTCGTGCAGTGATGAAACGAAGATAAGATTTTGCACTTAAAATGATGGACTCATCTTATCGACCAGCGTCCTTCCTCTAGATGTGACCACACCTTGTGATTACTATGCCTGAAATTATAGAGAGCTAGAGACCCTCAATACTCTAAGTAAAAGTTTCATCAAGTCAGAACCATGGTCATAGAGCCTTGGATCTGTAGTCCGCCACACTAACCACCGAACAATTCCCATGGTATGGATTTTGCAATAAATATGTAAACGGGTGAATTTACGGACCAAAATTGGGTCAAGGTTTTGACTGCAGTCAGGGAATTCAATGAAGGATACCAAGAAGAGTAATGGATAATTGTAGAGGTGTTGAAATGCAGTTTAAACCAGCTCAGAAAAGACATATCAATGCCAATCACAGAATGCCCAGTCAAGCTGATAAGATCTGTCCAGAACCAGACGAAATAATAACTGGAAGCCAAACAACAATCAATTGTAGGAAAATATTTTATCCTCTTTTATCTGAATCCTGAAATGTATGCCAATACCAACTAGACCATTTTTGACATGCACTTTTGCAGTTCTTCAAATTCAATCATGCTGGACTAGCCATGTAGGAAGATAGCAGTACTTTAAAGGGAGCTCCTAATAATAAATTAAGGAACGACCATATTCAACATTGTCAAATATAACTGATAATTTATTTGAAAATATATTTAAAAATATGCCACTCTCACAATGCATATAAAGCACTCATACAAGAAGACCAGGGGCGCCGGAAGCATTTTGAGGTGGTGGGGGCAGCTACTCAAAAAGGGCACATTTTCAATGATTAACATTAGAAGAATAACAAAAAATGATATAACATAATAATTTAGTACCGATAAAACGTTTAATCTAAAAGGCCCATTCTGTTGTTTAGGCTTTTGCTGGGTGGGTACCTTAACATATTTGAAGGTAGGGGGATGTGCAATGTTTTAGGGGTACTTCTTTCTAAAAAATGCGGAATTATCGGTATCAGTTTTTGAAATATGTGCAGTACAATGAGTACTATTTTCGAAAAATATTGGAAAATTATTAGGAAGGAGATTGAGCATTAACAGAATGAATGTCCAGTTAGAAATGAAAGTATGAAATATGTGTAATATTGAGATTTTTGGCAAAGGACATGCAAAATTTGTTTGATGACTTTGTTGTGCTTTAAAAATGTTATTTGCTTTGCGGAATTATGGGTATAGTTTTTGTCATGATTGCGGAATTACGGTTCACATTTTTCAGACATCTACGGACTTATGGGTCCAAACTTTTTAATCAAAATGACACGTCCCCGTTCAAAATTAGACTTAGTTAAACCACCACCAACCCCCCCGTGAGCTGTTGGCTGTGGCCGCTACATTGTGCTAAAAGTACGTTCTGCAGTTGCAGATGAAAGTGCAAATGAATTGTACAATTGCAATGATTTGTGAGCTCTGGCAGACATTCTTTATGGCATTAAATTGAAGTCACGATTGATCAAAGGGTTTCCATCTTTGTTACCTTCTTTATTGGTATGGCAACTTCTTTCTTGTAAATTCTGATGATTTTGCTAAAGTCTCATTTTTAAAAGCTTCTAGATTACTTCAATTGAAGCTTCTACTAGTTAACTTGGATTAGTGTTTCGTGTTGCATTAGTGTGCTCTACTAGAGTCCGTTAAAAGGGGCCCCATCTCAATTTTCCCTTCGGACCCCAGATGCCTCCATTAAGCCACTCACCTTATTCTACAGTAATTTCCTACATTTTAGAGTGTTGCTGAAAGAAATAGCACTACTGCACATAAGTTCATAACAAATGCACCCAATTGCTTTCATTTTGTTCCTAACCGCACTAATCTCACTATTCCATTCGCATAAACACAGTGCCATTTTCACAAGGGCACAGTGTTGTCCCCGCTGCCCCCTTAGAGTCAGGGTAGGGGGAGGGGGCAGCTGCCCCCGCTACCCTCGTGCTTCCGGCGCCCCCGCAGAAGACTCTAAAGGCTACCAAAATGATAGCTTGGGAAAGATTTTGGGCATCCTGGAAAAACCAGACTAAATAATCCTAAGAATCCTATGACCAAATAAAACTATGAAAAGAAACTGTCATATTTCCACACAACTTGGTTCAACTATTGGAGCTGCCACTATGGTGTTCTTTCTATTACATGTGTTCAATCAATTGTATAGGGGCTACTTTGCAAACCAAATTATTCCCCTGTTTATACTATAGGCCTTGGATACAATCAATACCATGGTTTGATCTCTTGAAATTAATTTAGTTAGGAATAAAATCAAGCAGATTTAAGAAGGACTGGTGCTGTCAAGAAGGACTACTATAAACTATTATTGAATTAATTGCATTAATGCTTTAGGAACCAAAGCAAATTGCATAAAACAACATTTTATCTCCTCGTTGAATGAAAAGACCATAGCTTCCCAGGGGAAAAATGTACACTCATGGAAACCTAAGGTACAAAAGTAAGGGAAATGTAGTTCAAAATGGCAACTCACAGTCCCACAACAAAATTACTAGGTGAAGAGGTTTGGAGGCAATAGTTAATGGCACAAAAATGCATTCGTCATCTTACAGTTGGAAACAAAATTGAATGATTAGTTTGCTTTTTGAGGAAGGTTAGTTTTGAGGTAGAAATTTAGAAAACATTGAAGCACTGCCTCAAAACTGTTCTCTACAAAATTGTTGAAGCATTCGTAAATAGTGACAATGAAATGCAGCTTTTTTGAAAAGGATGTAACACTTCAGTCAAAATTTTAGTAAAGAAACTTCAAGCTTTGCTCTGATGACAAAATCAATTCTTAAGAGGCTGTTTAAGCATAAATCTAGGACTTGAAAGTTTCAATATTGACACCAGGTAAAATGCTCTGCATTTGGTAAAATACACTGTGATTTTTGAATCTTTAATTTGCTCATCATCTACACAAGTAACAATTAAAAAAATTATGTTAAACATTTTCTCTTCATTGTGCTTTTGTAAATTGTGAATAGAATTAATAAATCCAAGCTGTCTATCTTTTTTATACAATAAACTATTTTGATCAATAAACATCGCCTTTAAACAGTGTTAAACTGGTTTCAATATCAATAATCTGCAGGCCAATATATCACCTAAAAGAATCTTCTATAGATCATATAGTAATATTATTCTCAGAACAAACATAGACATATCTAGGTTTAAGTATGGAAGCATGCTTTACTTCTTTATAGCTGCCTAACACTTTATCATAATTGTTTATTACACCTCAATAATTTTTTTTCAAAATTTTTCAGAATATTGCTTAAAAGTTTTCCCGTATTCTTGTTCTCAAAACAATATAATAATCCTTCGAATATATTTTTTTTCTAAAGCCATTAAAATGACACATTATTTTCCTGCAGAAGTCATTAGCAATGAAGGTCCCTTCACCTAATAATTTTGATCCAGTAATTTGTCAGCTAAGGCCTTTGGGCACTGTGAGTTCCCATTATTGACTATCCTCTCCATACTTGTGTGCTCTAATTGTATATCAATGGCATGGAAAAAGTGGTCATAAAAACAGCTGAAAAAATTGCACTTTCAGCGAACTATACTAGGGATCATGTTAGTACTCCAACAAAAAAATGTGATCTTGCAAAATAATGTTTTTCTAAATCTATCATATTGGGTCAAACATGACCTGTTATAAAAGCTTTGAGGAAAATTTGCCATGTCTCATTGTTTGAAAGCTTTGTGACTGTGTGATAAAAAGTTAACATTTTTTAAATTATAGGGAACAAACAATCGATTTTTCAATAAATAAATAGGATATCTTTCAGCACATTTCACAGAACTCCTTTCTTATAGGTGTTTGCAAAATATACAAATAGACCAAAGTCATGCTTGTTGTCCATTGGTAAACTTGGACCGGTCAATAAGGGATGGGCAATTTGAATCTTACAGCCATTACAGGTTTGGAAATTATGCTGGCAACAGTGAAAGTCCACAGCAGTGTCTGATTTTAGATTCATTGTCATTATCTTTATTTTTCAACTGTTATGCTTTCTTGATGAAAAGTAGTTTTGAAGTTTTTTGCACTTGTTAAACCATCTCATTTTTAAGAAAGAAAATTTATTTGCAACAGTCACATTATATTTTCAAGACTATGGTAAATGTGTGTACCCCTAAGCAAAAGGAGTTATCTATATTTTGTAACATGAAGAGTGCAAATTGTCAATCAAATATAATATGGCAAGGCTCAAACCAAAAATCTAAAGGGCTGCTGATGCAATTTTAGAAACAGTTGGCAAAATTTAAATAAACTCTTTGGGTCATTTCTTGTCAAAACAACACATTCTGTTGTTTTATGGGTGTGTTGACTTCATATGGAATTAAACATTGTTAAAAAGCTGTTGTGCCAAAACCTTCTACATTGATTGAATCAAGTGTTCTTAGCTTAGAATCTCACAAGGATAGATACAAAATCATTGATGTGCATCATGTCTTGATTTTTTGGCATACAAGGAACCTTAGGTCACTCGAAACTTATTTACAATAAATGAATTTTGGTGGTGAGGCTCCTAAAAATATTGGAAACTTAAAATTATGAAATTAACCCTTTCATTAAAATTGAGATTAACTTTTCAACTCAATATTAAATGTGTTGCCTTAATCATGACAGAAGTATTATCCATATCTATCATTCAAAAGTACATGAAAAAAGCAAGTAAATGAAACGGCTGTTAACAATCAGAACTGTATAACTGAAGTTGTGAAATGTCTCAAATCATAGAATTTACTGTCTATTGTTTATTATCAAAACCTACAAGCCCAGTATTGAAATAATGTCAATGTCATGAACTAAAATACTTTTCAATAAAAAGTTGTAAGAAACAATAAAAGATAGTTGATGTATATGAAGAAAAAGCAAATTACCGCAAATAGCCCGTTCTGCAGTCCAAACGGAATTGGTGTAAGGCGTGTCAGCAGGACGACTTTGAACCCTCTCCTACTCTCAATAACCTGAATAATTGCTTTGAGGTGAGATGATTGCAATTTCGATTGAACAAAACTTCTAAGAAACTTCCTACAAATAATGACTGAAGCTGTGACACCAAAAGCAACTGAAAAACTAACCGTGACCAATCCCGCAATAAATCCATAAATATAGCCTGCTGCAAGATTTAAAACAATATAGCCCCATGTCATAGGGAAAGAAACCACAGTAAACATTATCACAAAAATCATTCCAGATATCCATTTGTCCAGATGCTGTAACCACGCAAGGAAGGTTTTCAAGTATTGACGGCAGAAAAATACCAGTCCCAAAGCAGTTATTCCATATAAAAAAAATGTCCACGAAAAATGGAAACATTTCGATCTCAGGCAAGGACATTTGGAATCAAGAACTCTTTCAACGTCTGTCGCTTCACCGAGGCATGTTTGACCTCCCTCAAGTAAACCAACATCATTTTCATCTTCGATGTCTATTTTGGAATCAATTATATTCATTGATATATATTCGACTATGTTCTTCTATTTTGTTATTCACAAGAACTCTCAAGAAGCAATGGCGGAACGTCCAGCCTCTCCCTCACTCAGCTCAGTGGTTCACAAGTTCACAATAATAGGCGCCGAAGGCGCTAGAATCACTCAAAGGAAAATACTGGCAAAAAGAATATCACGGATATAATAAGGGCTCAGTATGGGAAATTGCAACGCGGACGAAGGATAATCAATATTTTCGAAAATTGGCATAAATTTGAAAGATCAGCTATACTGTATCAGCTTGCCATAATCATTTCGAAGGTTTCAAGCTATAAATTGTTTTGGTAAATGGGGTTTTAATATTTTTAACAAAAATTTTCTGGCTGCGGCATTCGTACAGGCACTGGCCTAGGCACTTGGCAATGTTTACGTTGTCAAAAATATTGTTTTATATTGTTTATATTGTTTCAATATTGTTTTCGAGCTTATTCGGAAAAAAATCATTTACACGAGTAGGTATTGCGATTACTTTTGGTCTAGAATATATAGTTTGGGTCAGGGATCCAGACTGTCTCACCGTTCGCACGTAAGACAGTCAGATTTTCAGACTTATCTTAAAAGGGGGCCTATTATAGGGGGTCCTGAAGCCGCCAAACCGTGCAAAAATCAGCCAAAATCCGCAATCCGCAATGAAATAAAGCGCAAAGACGCGGCCGCGTTGCAAAACGTCCAGAAACACAAAAAGCCAATTACTTGCTAACAAGAAAAAAGGATACATTGCTAGAAATCGCTGTTTCTCATGCTTCTCATTCTGTTTCACAGCAAGCAATTGTGTAAATCCGAAAACTTTTAAAAATCTATTGACTGCATATTTTCATGAAAAGCGTTTAACATTTTTCGTATTTGTCTGTGCCCAAGCAGTGGCGTACCCAGGGCCGGAGTAGTGAGGGGGTCTGGGGCGAAGTCCCCAGAAATTTTTTTGGACCACGCCTTTAAAACACTCGCAAATGCGGGGAAACGCCCTTTTTGCAAAATTTTCCGCCATTAATTGATTCATGTTAAATACAGTAATTAGCAAAGTATTTTACAATTGTTATTGACACAAGCATACAGTAAACTACACACCCCCCCCCAATGAGTTTTACAGCGTTTTTGGACAAATCTCGAGGATTATATTTTAGAAAAGTGGGGGGGGGTCCGTACCCCCCTATTCCCCCCCTTGGGTACGCCACTGTACCCAAGTATTTTTCACATACCCTGAAACATTTGAAGACGCTAGGGGCTATTCCATTTTTTCTCCATACAGGGGGATGGAAGTAAAATTTTTGCTAATCATATATCCCCCAGAAAGTGAATTTGAAAATCATGACCACTCTGATTTTGATTCTTTCAACTCCCCGGAAAATTCATATCATTCATTTTAATGAATTTTCTTAACCCATTTGAGAAAACATCGTACATTTTTTAATACTGCTTGGAAAACTTCATATATTTTCTTCTTTCAACCCCCTGGAAAAAGCATACATTTGTCTGATACCCCCTGGAATATTGTTATACTTGAGGTTGAACGACAGTGTTAAGTATAACATGAAATTGCGTGAGTTCTTACTACTTTAACAGATACCAATAAAATTCAGGGCTTTAACTTACGACCTTGCTTCTGAATCTTTACTTTAGCGGCGGCAGGAGAACGTCAGAGAGAGAAACGGCGACGGCCTGGTCTTTATCTTTATCTTCATCAGCGTCAAACTAGCGTCTAAATTACAACTCCTCTAAATCTCTAAACTAAAAGCTCAAATTTATATAAGATTAAACAATAGATGGTGCAATAAATCTAAACATCCAATAAAAGTTCCAGCAAAGCAAACGTCCAATAGGAAAAGGGGTTCTTGTTATTATTTGTCCAATCATAAGGTTTTTCTTCGAGTTGCACTTCGTGGTGCAATCCCTGACGGCCAAAATATACCATGACGTAACTTGTTTTGAGTTGCATGTCGTGGTGCAATCTCTCGTAATCTCGTCGTCCAATGACGTAATGTTAACTATACAACAATATCCTTCGTGCCAGACCCCCCTGGAATTTTACTTCCATCCCCATGTACAGATATCAAATGGAATAGCCCTAGACTTCTAGTAATTAATGGCTCAAAGTTCGAAAAACAGAACTAAAACTTACAATTTAGCTCTACTGAATAAATAGACCATTGAACCTAACTGCACGACCAAACTGTGACTTTGAGCCAACAAGGTACAAAGCCTCTCTCGCTACTCGACCCGTCATTGTACCACTATCCGTTTCTTCGCTCGAACAATTAGACCGGGCTACAGTGGCGGTAGGTACCACCTCAGGGCGGAGAAATTCAAATGGATATTTTCAGGTAGCTATGGGTCTGGTTACTTGGAAAAGTGATGGTGAACGGGAAATTGTTGGGGTTTAAGGGGTAAATACGGGGGTTAAAGTTCGTCATATTAGCATATTACCTCTGCGGAGGAGCCACTGTTTGTCTACGACTTCAGAGCATGGCAAGTGCTTGTTATCATAAAAAAAATGATCTAGAGGAAATCTTTTAGAGCCTCTTCTTTAAATTTCGACATATTGCTACAATAAGAGTAGTCACGTGACCAATTTTTACCCCTTACCATATTTGGAAGGTGAGCTTTTTTAACAGAATACCTTTGTTCTTTTTTTTGTACCACGTATTCTTTTGGTTAATACTCTTAAATGTTAAAAGATGCAAATTAAGGCAAAGATATCTGCATTTGTCATTGTTTATCCATTTAAGGTTTCATTTTCACTTTCTTTATCATCTCCGAAGGTCACGTCTTCTTCAAGATCCAGGAACAAGTCAGTCAGTTCGTCTGGAAATGCTTGTCGTTGCCAGTCTATAGTCAGATTCCCTTTCCAGCCAAAAGTAGAAAGATCTGTCAAATTTATGGACCTTTCACCCGATGACTTCCAAATCTTTGCAATGATGTTTGATCACAATATGTGTAGCCTCAGTGATGATTGGCATGGAGGCAAGAGTGAAATGTCTATGGCTTTGCCTTGCCTAACATACTTCTTGTCAAATAATTTTTTCCTCACATCATTGACATTTTTTGCCGGTACCCATATAAATGGCAAACATATTCTTCAAGGTTAACAAATATTTGCTCATCAAGTTCCCATACCTGCCCAAGTAGCGAAAATGTGTTAACAAATCTGTTGTTCTTCTGGACAACCTCCCAACATTCTGATTTCCCTTTGCGGAAAAAAGATGACACATAGTCATTCCCCGTGAATGCATGAAAGCCTATCAGGCACTTCTTCAAACCATCTTTCATCTCAATATCAGACAAAAATAGTCCTTTTCTATTCAGACCAACTCCAAAATCGAGATATACTTGACTTTGCTTTTTAATAATACTTAATAAAATTACCAAGATGTCGATGTCTGAGGATGGAGAGCGTACAACAACTTTTTTCGATGGATGCCAAGTTAAAGCGTTTCTTTTTCCTTGTAAACTCTTTGTAGCAGAATTCATGGTATTAAAATTCTTTAGCTATGAGATCAACATCTTTAATTTCATAATAAATGTTCTGATCGATATTGGCTTCAGCAGCTTCTTTTACGTTAGTTCGGCCTGCTTCGTCATGATCGTTATTGGTACATGATGTTTCTGTTGCCTCTTTACCCGGTACTTTTGGCAAAAATTACACACCTGGGGATAAACATCTGGTCTCTGAGTAGCTGCAGTTTTTAGTCTTTGTGGACGCTGAATAGCTTCTTTGGTAGTTTCTGCGAGGAATTTCTCATGGGACAGGATCTTTGTAAATTTTTTATAACAATACAGCCTAGGCCTATGTTTAAAAATATAAATAAAACAGGACCTCCTCAATACTTTAAAGGTACACAGAGTATCCAATTTTCAGAGCGAAAATAACAACTTACATACTGAAAATGACGCTTAGAGCAAAACAATTCTTTCTTGGTAATGATGCACACAGGTCTTTTTGTTCTGCTACGTATTTCCGTGATTTCTTGATTTCATTGCGTTACATATTTGTGTTACTATTTGTACAAATATTTTCAAAACGATGAATTGCGAAAAAAGTTGCCCAGCATCTGAAGAAGATGTGGAGTCATTACGTAATAACCAAATGCGCATGAAATCAAACGGACCTAATAAATGATCATGTCTTCGCAACCATTTTTCTACACATAGTTGAAAACATTCATAAACTCAAAGTTATTCAGGGTATCTATCAAAAACAGCTCGGTTGTAGAATGATCTTGCTGATTTATACATTATTGTAACATTTAAGAATATTAAACAAAAAAAATTTCAGGTATCCAAATATGGTAAGGGGTAAAAATTGGTCACGTGACGACTCTAATTGTAGCACTATATCGGAATTTAAAGAAGAGGCTCTAAACGACTCCCTCTAGATTACTTTTTTATGATAACAAGCACTTGCCATGCTCTGAAGTCGTAAACAAAATAGTGGCTCCTCCGCAGAGGTAATATGCTAATATGACGAACTTTAACCCCCGTATTTACCACTTAAACCCCAACAATTCCCCGTTCACCATCACTTTTCCAAGTAACCAGACCCATAGCTACCTGAAAATATCCATTAGAATTTCTCCGCCCTGAGGTGGCACCTACCGCCACTGTAGCCTGGTCTAAATTGCTGGCTTCACTTTCTGGTGAATCACTGTCATATTCTGGGCGTTGTGATTTGACCTAATACGGTCTATTATCCTATCTCCATGGTATGAACACAAATCAAAGCTATTGTTTTTGTTTAGATTTCCTCTCTCTCTTTTGTCCTAACTGACAGTGGCTTGTCCATTTTTACGTTACCCCTAGAGCTCTTTTCAACACCCTTCAGTATGAAGTGAAGGGCCTGGCCGCAAGCCGTTATTGCAGTCAGAAGCCGCAACCGCATCATAAAAGCCGTAAACCGTCGCGAATATACACCGAAAGACGCAAGACGCATCTTTTGCTGAAGCCGCAATCCGTAGAAAAATCATACCCAAATCCGAAGGCCGCGCGTAAAAGTTGGGTCCAGGCCGCGAAGCCGCAAACCTATTGTAACACTGCTTTGTGCTTTGCCTTGCAACACATAACATGCTTCGCAGCGACCGCACCGCCACGCCTTATTTGTGTTGCTCAGCATTTTAATTTAATGATTGCTACCAAGAAAGCTTCATAAGAGGTTTATTTCGAATCTCATTTTGCTTGTTTTCTACGTTCACGTTTTTTAATTAACTCAGTAACACTTTTGTATTTTCTCCGCATTATATCTTTTAATCCTATTAACCTTGCAGATTTTAAATAGACCTTCACGTATCATTCATTTGTCCCTTGAGCTATGCTATTATATTGCACAATTATGTATTTAGATTTTTACACAATTAGTTCAGTTCGTTTTATGAGAGCGCTTGTGAAAGGTTCTCCGGTTAGTCTAAAATTACGATTTACTTGTAAAAGCATTTCGTCGATATACATCTTGTTGTTCTGAGAAATTTGTCGTTGTTCTTTCGTTTGAATCTGAAAAAAAGTCCTTAGACCGCTGAACATATTACACTGGTGACATTTGTCGTAGGATATTTTTATTGAAATACATCGCAACAAATTCATGAAATCGCTGAAGTTATTGTTTGTATATGTCACTTGGATGGTACCACTTTTGTAAATATACTCGATTCCGGATTAGAGTTTCTGACATATTAAGTTTGCTATATCTATTTAAATTATGGGAGGAGGTGCGAGAGCAAGAATGAACACAGACGGAGATGGCCGCAGCGTCGTCCATCCACATAAATTTTATGGCGAAGCTGGAGAGGATGTCGATAAATGGTTCCAGAGTTTTGAGAGAGCGTCCCGCGCTAATGGTTGGAAAGCTGCAAGGCAGACAGAAATTCTACCTGCATTTTTACGGGATAGAGCAGCTGATTTTTGGGAGGAACTTCCAGGGGAAAGCAAAACAATCTTGATCTCTTAAAGGAATCATTTCGTGACAATTTTGCCCCCAAGGAAGCGAGGAGATTATTTTATGCTGATTTATACAGCCGCCAGCAGGGAGAAGAGGAATCTGCAAACGATTTTGGAAGAACTATCCAAGATCTCGTGCGCAAGGCATATTCGGAGATGCCAGCTAACCACCAAGATACTTTGATGCGAGAACACTTCATCAATGGTTTGCGTCCAGGATTGAGACGGCTAGTACTACTGGCTGACCCTAAGCGATTCGAAGATGCTCTTTCTTTCGCAAGAAGAGAAGAGATACACGATCAGATGGTACATGGTTCTGCTCCATGGGTTAAGCCGACGATGCCGACTTCTAGTGTCAATGTCGCAAGCGTCGAGCCTAAGGGTTCATTTGAAACACGACTTGACAGGATAGAAAGCATTTTGGAAACGATGGTAGGCAAAATGCAAGTTTCCCACAATCCTGCGCGTGCACCGCCCGATTATGATCAAAGACCAAGAGCAAAGGGCAACCCAAGAAACCTACGAGCGAGTGATGGTAGGCCTATTTGCAATTTTTGTCTACGGGTGGGCCATGCTGAAGAACGATGCCACAAGAAACAATCTCGAAGAGACCCAAAAAACTGAATTACGCTACCCATCACCTGGTGTATGAGGTAGCCTTTTCGTCGCTAAAACCCCCAAACGTTTCTGTACATAAAAACATATTGCAATGCATCACTTTTGATGGTAAAATTAATGATTATGAGACTTCTATCGTTTTAGATTCAGGTTCTGGAATTTCTATAATGAGCAGTGAGCTATTCACTACTCTCGTTCGTCGCAACAGTAACCCTCCCGTCCTAACTAAGAGTTACGTTTCTGCTAATACTGCCACTGGTAATTGTTTAAGTATTATAGGTTTGACCACCGTAACATTAGATGCAGTGGCGAAGCTGGACTCGCATGGATGGTCGTGCCCATTGGCCACTGCGCAACAGAAATGCGCCTCCGCAATATTATCAAAAAAAATATTTCAGTGATCTAAGGAGCTCATATAGCAATTGCATGGCACTTCATTACTTTTCTGACAAGATAGAAACAAGCTAAAA